GGGGGCGGGTTGGGGTTAACCCCCCCCCCTAACTTGACTTTTTTTTATGTGTATGTTTTGTGTATGATTTTTTGGAGAAAAAAAAACCCTTTTGATTTTATTTTTTTTGTAATAAAAAAAAAAGGAAACAAAAATTATGCCAATGGCTGAGCTAAAAAAAAGGTGACCTTACCGCCCCCCCCCCCACGGATAAAAATGTCAAATGTTCAAATTTCGAGACCAAAAAATAAAAAAGGTTCCCCCCCCCCCCCCCTCCGCTTATTCAGCGGCTGGCTGAGTCGTTGCGATTTTTTGGGGACAAAAAAAAGAAAAAAGAAAGGGTCCTCTTAACCCCCCCCCCCCCCAATCCCCCTCCCGCTTATTCAGCGGCTGGCTGAGTCGTCGCGAAATTTCTGGCCTGATTTTAAACCCCCCCCCCCCTTGAAAAAATTCTGCGTACGCCACTGGTCAGACGTTTAATGGCAGCAAGAGTGGGCATAGATTTACGATAGAGGTTTACAATAGATTGCAATTCGAATTTCATGTTACATACCGATGTCACATTAGGAACAAAATACCGAAATCTCCTTTCTCTCGAGTCTTGACCAGAGATTTTCGGCGAACGTTTTTTTAGAATGAACGTCTATACTTTTAACTGCGACGCGGCGGTAGTGGTTTTTGAAGGAGGTTGGGGGCTCAGGTCCCCTCGAAAACCTCGGATTATAGATTAATTCAAGCGAGGCAAGTTATGAATGCAAAAACTCGCAAGTCCCCAAGGCCACAAACCCCCCCCCCATTATTCCTATAGAACCGCGCCTACGACATGGAGCTCATTTTTATTGGTTCGTGTAATATTTTTTATTTTTATTTAATGTCTCCTTCATTCCTCGAAAGATCTCCTGGTTAGATTTCATTTATCAGGTAAAGATGGTGGTGCCTTTTGATGAGAAGCCATTTGAGTAGCTTGACAGAACTGTAGGCCTAGTTCCTGACATCGTTACTCTTATTTGAAGCTCTTTCTGTGCCTGGTCCTTCTACGATCACCACTGGTTATGTATTAGGTGGTTTAGCAGATGCTCCCTTGGACTTCCAAAGATGAAGTTTGTTGGCGAACGACATCATGAAATTCCCTAACGAAAGTTGTATGTGGAAAATTGAACATGCAGGTCATTACATCTCAGATTAATTTGAATAGTGCCATAATATTTAAAATTTTTCGTATTTTGACAGCAAATTGTAGCATTTCTACATGAGGCTTCAATCCTCATGAATTTTTTCAATGAGCCTAACAAGTCATCGTCATAACCTAATAGAATCTTTGAAGGTAATGTTTTGCATTATCCTTCTTTAGACGTTCTCCAAATCAATGATCGCTTCTGAGGAGATCAAATAAAATGATTTACATGAGTATCGAAATTCCAAATATCATAATAGAAAAACATATATCATTGTAAACTTCTGACCAAACATGAGTATCCCATTAACGAAAAGTTAATAGTCTGACATGAAAGGAGAAAGTGTACCTCCTGGAAGCTCAGCAGGTTTATTTCTATCCTGCTGAGCTGAGAGTTCTTCACTGTTGAATGAACTCGACATCGGTGAGGATGTTGATGCACCTTCTTCAGTAGACTCTCCTTCTAACTCAGTCGTGGCTTCATCCTGCAAGAGCCAACACAGATACAAGCCAACACTAGATGATGAGAAGTGTATTTTGTTCTAATATCATTCTGTCTAACGCTCAAGCTCCCTTTAGAAGCCATGTTACTAGTATGATGTTTCATATCGCTTGATCGCTTTGCTCCCTATATTTGTTCCTTCCTGTATATATCACGAAGATCTTTTTTGTTGCAGCGCCCTTCGTCTTAGGGCAAAGGTATATACATTAATGATCATTAATTGCAAATAGAAGAAAACGTTTTTTTTCTTCTTCTTTTATCACAAGAAATTAATTTCATGTAGTATAGTACCAGACGGTCAGGAAGTGAACTTACCTCAAGAAACATCGACATTGATGGTCGACGACTTCTCTCTCCTCTTGCTCTGACTTGAATTCCTTTGATCAGAAGTAAAATGGAGAAAAAATAAAGTTGGTAAGTTTTGGTTGTAGGAAGAAATTCCTTGAATGCTCGTGCACTTTGGCACCTGCAACCGTGCTAAAGCCGGGGGTAATAAAAAAAATGGTTGCAGGGCCCTCAGAGAGAACGGCATTAATACTGGTGAGGCTACCCTGGGTAAACAAGCCATATATCATCATAATGTCTCGGAGTGTAGCCTTATGCGATAAAAAATACATAAGAATAGTAACATATTTCAATATAATTGTGTCTGACTATCCCTAAATGATCAATAGGGTGTGTCATATCGATCATTTAAAAAAATACTCTCAAAATATTGGACGAGAGACCTTTTCAGAAAAATGATACTTCTATAGCACCACATCGATGGGGACACGTGCGTAACTATTATATGCCAACATAAAAATGACGAAAAGGTGACGAACATGTAGGTCTACTCTTGACTGTTGATAAACACCAGTTACACCGCTGTCGTACTGATGGGGGGGGGGGGTGGGCAATTGAAACGTGGTTTATTTCTAATTCGATACCAGTGATTTATAAATGTAGCTGTAATGACATGATTTTCCATGTTTTTTTTTTCTGCCCCCCAAAAAGTTTTTGTTCATTACGCCATTGATAAACACAATAATTGTCAACTGTAATTAGCTAATTCATATGATATTCTACAAACCTGGGGCATTAGCGAGGAAGTTGCTGAGCTCTGGAACATCAGTGACACTCACGTGATCGTCATCCTCACCGTACGCCTGCTCCTCTGGGGCGGCTACCTGATCCAAATCTGGTAGGGCCGCAGTCCCGGGTCGTGCTTGAGCATCCTTGTTTTGGTCATCCTGAACGATTCGTAACGAATGAGATGGGTGGCAAGGAGGAGGATGAAAAGCATGATTGTTACAACAATATTAAGGGGCATGAACGGGAATTTCGAGATATTTGCTGTTTTGTCATTTTACTTCTTGGTAATCAAAAGCCCTTATTTAACATGATAACATGATAACATGATATCATAAATTGCAGTGTATTATCATCACAAAGTAAAGTACTCACATGTTTTTTTTTTATAATTCGTATATATAGAGAACAGAACCTCATCAAGCACATCCCTCAAATAATAATAATAATATTCTGCGTTTATATAATATAGCGCCTAATACGACGATGTCGCTCTATAAAGCGCTTTACAGATTTATTACCCCGTCATCGGATTCAAACTCACCCGCACAAAATAATGTGCACATTCTCTACTCCTTTGGGAGTATTCCAGCCAGGTGCCATTTTATAGACGCTCATAATGCTGAGCAAACTATAATGTTCGAAACCTACGCATCACAGCACAGAAAACGGTGAAATCACGATTTTTTTAGGATCCTATAAATAGAGGATAGAAAACTTCGAACAAAAAAAAAATCCAATTAAGGAAGAAGAAAGAGACAACATTCAGGAAAGAAAATAATTTTATTAGAATGTTAATCAAATTGTTGTCATCATACTTCAATATTTTTACCTGTTTTTTAGTGTCGTCTACCTGACGAAGTATTAGTTTCTCCAGAAATTTCTTTCGCTGTTGTCTGCTGGTCAGCATACCAAAATCACCTTGAATCTTCTGCAATCTAGAATGCAGAAACAAGGGATTAATATTTTGCATTTGCAATGTATCAATTTTTTTCGCAAAATGAAATAATAAAAAAGATGAAATAGAAAAGTTAGTTTAAACACTAAAGTTATTAATATACTTCATTAATTTGAATTTATTGTAAGTTCATGATTGTACACCTTCCTTCCCCGTCTGTTCGACCTCATTGCAGACATGCCTCAATATCTTGTCTAAATGTTCCCAAACCCTATGCGCTCTATCCGTGATAATGCCTACCGCAAGAGGACTGGTTCTTCCAATCCTATTAATTTTGGCTGTTGCTGTTTGTTCTTGTGGATATGAGTTTACAGCCTATAATTATACTGTGGACTATAATTTCTTGTAAAACTCGCTTATTTCAACTTAATATTTTGTTTTTATTCGGGTAGTTTTTGTTCTAATGTAACTTCTTTTTTTAATTAACAACAACCGTTGTGAGAAGAAGAAGCTGCGGAGATAATGTGGAATCATACCTTCGCCTCATAGTTCTTGCTAAAATCACTGGCTCATGTTTATCAAGATCGGCAAAGACATCCATATCGTATTTGCTGTATCTGTCGGCTGGAAAGTTCAATAAAATCACATAACATAGTAATGCTCTTATTATATACTTTCTAAATATTTCCAAGTTCATTATTTTTTCTGACCATTGTGTGAAACACAGATAGTTAAGTTTAAGATTTAACACTAAGACATAATTATAACCCATGCTGTAATCCCAACTTAACACCAAGTCGTAACCCTATCTTGATCTTCACGTATTCTGGAGGGAATGTTCCCGGAGCTGTCGAAACCTCCTTCTAGCACGAGTCTTGAGACTAATTAACAAACTGACTCTCATTTCCCTTTCATATTTTGCAAGGCTTACCCAGCATTTCTCTGACTGCAGGTGAACCGATCTGTACCTCCTTAGTAAATGAAATGAGGTCTGGATGTTCCATTGGAACTGGCGCCATGGTGACACTATACATAGGGAAGTAAATCATAGACTGATTGTTATTTTTGTAACAAAAATGGTGTAAAAATGGTGTAAAATGTTAAAATGTCATGAAAGGATTATTTGTTTATGTCTCTCTTTCTCTTTCTCCATGTTCTTCTATCTAACTCCCACTTTCTCTCTTTTCAATGTCAAGCACTCTATGCTTTCTATGGCAGCTTCTATAATCAGTCTACTAACTTAACATCTTCATAAGATACCACGAGACAACTTCTTAGAAAGAATACGAAATGTCAATATTGCTCTACCAGTACCCTTATACAGGGGCGGATCCAGCCGGCGGCAAGGGGGGGGGGGGGGGGGATTAAGAGCACTCTTTTTTTTGCCCAATTCGCGGATGCCTCTTGGATCCGCGCCTGCCCGTATACCTTTCTGATTGCTTCCTGCTAGGTGGTGGCTCTGACCGGTAAAGGTACGAGTGACTCACGATGTCTTTAATCTTCTTTTGTCGATTTTGTAGCTGATGTGAATGGCCATAACCGAAAATACCGTATGCAAAGGAGATCTCAAAGTCCAGCAGGGCGATGGTCTATAATGGAAAAAACAAACAGCGGTGATCCCATCCAAATTATAAACAGGACGGGGGGGGGGGGTGGGGTGATGTTATGCTACCTCTATCCCTTCCCATATCTCTCTCTTCCCTCTTTTTCACTATTCACCTTATACGATTCGACAGAAGAGAGCTCGTACCTGCATGTATATAGGCCTACGCCAGTGACTGCAATGTATTATCATTATTATCCAATGCAGCTATACATGATTATTTCGGTCTTCAGAAATATATAGTAATAGCCAGGCGCGTACGCAGGGGGGGGGGGGGGGGGGGGGGGGTGTTTGGGGGGTTAACCCCCCCCTTTGGTATTTTTATATGTATAAACCCGCCTAAAAAAAAAAAAAATAAATAAAAATTATTCCCATGGCTGACCTAAAAAAGGCGACCTTACCCCCCCCCCCCCCACCCCCCCCCCCCCCCCCCCCAACGGAGCAAAATGTCAAATTTTCAAATTTTGAGACCAAAAAAAAAAAAAAAAAAAATTGTCCTCTTACACCCCCCCCCCCCCATCCCCGCGACTGGCTGAGTCGATGCGAAATTTTCGGCCCGATTTAAAAATGTTACCCCCCCCCCACCCCCTTGAAAAAATCCTGCGTACGCGCCTGGTAATAGCTCCAATGTTGACACAAAAAGTGATGAAAATACTCTTAATTTCATGGAGATAATTATTGAATGGTTCAGACCAGGGACGGCGATTTCTTCTCGTGACGGGGGGGGGGGGGTGAAATCGAGGGACAAGGGAGCATAGTGTAAACTTTGCTTACGTGATACCAACGCAATTCAGATTTTCTACAATACAGTCTTGCTTGTACGCTGTGAAGAATATTATGCGAGGGAGCGTAGCAAACCGAGCGAGAAGATTTTTTCATTTTTATTAGACTAAACGGTGTACTCTTGGGCGCCTAAAAATGTGTCGCACTTTTCAAATTTTCCGGGGATAGGGGGGGGGGGGACGGGGGACGGGGGACGTGTCCCCTCCCGTCCCCGGTATCGCAGCCCTGGCTCAGACAGAGAGGAGTTTCATTATTAACAAAGAACTTACATTTTGTCGAAATTGAAGTTCGTAAGTGCCTGCCAAGTAGAGGTTCTGAAAGTTAAAAACACAGGAACAGATCGTAATGTCCCGACTGCTTTATCCTAAAAAAAAAAATTAAAATTAACGTTGAACAAAGTATGGACAAATCATTACTCGAATTAGCAATTGCAGTCGCGTATATACCGGTGTATGAGTATATTTATTAACACGTGCTATTTTGGTTGAAACATGGTTTATTTTGCAATTGAATTGTAAAAGGAAGTCTTATTGGCGTTGCAGCAGATAATGTATTGGAAAAAGATGGGGGAAAAACCCCTAGTATGGACAAATCATTAAAGTATGGACATATCATTACTCGAATTAGCAATTGCAGTCGCGTACCGGTGTATGAGTATATTTATTAACACGTGCTATTTTGGTTGAAAACATGATTTATTTTGCAATTGAATTGTAAAAGGAAGTCTTATTGGCGTTGCAGCAGATAATGTATTGGAAAAAGATGGGGAAAAAACCCCTATTTATTACTGCAATTAATATTCACTATTCAATCCAAGCGCGGAATGTTTGGAAAAATATCTTCTTTACCATACCGTTAACAAGGAATCGGACAAAATTTCGAATAGACCTACGAAAGCTATAAGAGCTCTTGAGAGGTTAAGAAATGAAACGTTGAACATACCTTTATCATATCGTAGAGATGAATTTCTTTATGACCAATCATACGGTGGACGTGTGCTGTTTCAACCATCACCAAATCAATGCGAATATCATTGGAGGGGTCATTTCTGCTTTGAGACACCTGTTTATAACAATATTATGAGGAAAATGTAAGAAACAAATGCACTTGAACCTGTTTCATATTGTGAAGATAAGGGCATATTTTTCTTCTTTTGCGCAATAAAGGGATTCATGCTGCTGTACTAGTATTCAAGAAAGATATATAATGGCAGTAATCACTTTATCGATTGAGGCCAAAAAAAAAAGAATATAATTATTAGTGTAAATATTTATGGTAATTCTGTACTGGTTTGGGGGAAAAGTAGAAAAAAATGAAGCAAAAACCTATGAGCAAAATAAATGGAGAAGAAGATTTAGAAAGACAGAACGTATTGAGTATAGATAGAGAGAATGAAAGAGAGAAAAGGAAAGAAAGAATGAGAGATAGATAGATAGAGAGAGAGAGAGAGAGGGGGGGGGGGGGGCTAGCAAACGTTTTAAAGTAGATGTAGCTGGCGGACCACTCCGCAGACAAATTCGATATTCAACCGACGATCACCTCATTATTATTAGGGCAGGGAGGCGATGATGTGTATCCTTTCTTGGACTCATTTACGATACAAAAAAGACGTGTCCAAATTTTGATACTTCATGGAAAGTGAATATTAGGGCAAAAGGAGTGAGGGCCATTGCTGTTCCCTTACACCCATGGCAGTGGAAGAGTACCATAGAACAACTGAACAAAAGTTAGCCAATAACGACTTACCATGAGAGAGAAATGTTTGATTTCGTGAACCAAAAAATCCTTGGATCCCGGTGTCCAATGGAAGTTCTTGGTGCATTTTATATTGGCTCCGACGCGTATACGCAGGTAGAGCTCAGGTTCGGCTACAGCTACATCTGTGGCAGGTTGTCAATAAAAACTTTCCAATTCTATATAATCGCATTATTTTTTAACCATTTACAGATATTTGCAGACCATGAGACCATACTTATCCCATAAGAGGTTAAAAATTATTCACAGCCTAAACCCCAATAATACTTCAAATCCCTGTGCAACGGAACTGAATAAAATGAAACACAAGAACACGACATGTAAAAGAATATTTTTGTTTGTGTCCGTTTTGTTTTATTTTTGTTTTTTGTTTGTCTTTTGCACCTAAGACACCATGGGGAGGAGAAAAGTAATTTATAAGCCTATCAACAAGCGTACGGACATCGTTAAAATATAGGGTATGGCGGAAGTGTGTGGTAGCCCCTGGTTTCAACGTAGCAAAGTCATCTTTAATGATAGGAATTTTTTCCGGCTAGTTTTAATGAGACGAAAGGTTATAGACTACCTCGATGTCACGATTCGAACAAAATCAAATTTTTGAATAAAAAGATATGGAAGGATACGATTTCATCAAGGTTTTTATCTTCTTGCAATGCACACTGAGGACTCCACTCTGCAATAAAAAAAAAAAGATAAAAAAAGAAAGAAACAAATAAAAAGAGAAACAAAGAGAGAAAGCACAAGGTTTTGGATAAATTTTCTCCTTTTTTAGTGTCCAGACAGAATAATTCTCAAAAAAATAATCAAACACATTTCCTTCTTTCCAAATTTAAAGAATTTCGTTAAAATGTATGCTGATAATAATCTGAATACCAAATGACATACGTGTATGATCGAATCTCTTTGCAAATATACATGAAGTGTAACAGTATACGGTAAGAGTGCCCAGGCGCGTACGCAGGGAGGGGGGGGGGGGGGGGGGGGAGGGGGGAGGGGGTGTTTGGGGGGGGGGGTTTAAACACCCCCCTTTGGTATTTTTTATGTGTATAACCCCCCCCCCCCCCCCCCCCCCCCCCCCTAAAAAAAAAAACCAAAACCCCCTTTGGTTTTAATTTTTTTTTTTTTTTTTTAATAATAATAACAAAAAAAAAAAAAAAATAAATAAATAAATATTACCATGACTGACCTAAAAAAGGTGACCTTACCCCCCCCCCAACGGAGAAAAATGTCAAATTTCAAATTCGAGACCCAAAAAAAAAAAGTGTTCTCTTACCCCCCCCCCCCCCCCCCCCCCCCCCCCCCCCCCCCCCCCCCCCCCCCCCCACCGCTTATTCAGCGGCTGGCTGAGTCGTTGCGAAATTTTCGGCCCGATTTAAAAATGTTAACCCCCCCCCCCTTGAAAAAATCCTGCGTACGCGCCTGAGAGTGCCCATGTCCGCGCATCAAACTTTGTCTGTGCATAATACCAAAAAACTGCTCGATTCTGATAAAACGGATCAAACAACCAACACAAAATATCTGACTTTAATATAGCGAAACGATATCATTAAAAAAGAAGAGTAAAAAATGCTGAGAAATTTGTAATATTAGTATACTTTCATGCACAAGTCTATCATCTTTCACGTTGAAAATCCCGAACTGCGTATTCAAAGCAAATGAGTTGGCAGGCATGGGAACCTTTGTTTTTACAATCTGTCAAAATTAAACCGAGTGGCCAACGTGTGCTGTTCCCTTAGCCCAACGTCGCCAACATGGCGTTGGGCTAACTTCTTTTAGGCCGACGGGCTATGGCTTGTTCGACAACGACAAATTGACGTTTAGCCAACGTTGGCCCAACGTCGGATAGCCAACCAATATCCACCGTTTATGAGTGAAAATGGCGACAATTGCCCAACGTTTAGCCAACGTTGACTCGCCGACTGCGACCGTGCCTACCATGGCCGACGTATTACCCCACCCCTAAAATTACCCCCTATGACAATTACCCCCCCCCCCTCCCACGAAAATTACCCCCTGTTCATTAGAGGGGAAGTCCACCCTGAAAATAATTTGGTGTTAATAAATGCAGAATTTTGTCGGGTGGTAATTGTCCTCGGGGGGGGGGGGCGTAATTTTCAAGGAGTAATTATCCTCACGGGGTGGCTGTCCTCGAGGGGGGGGGGGGGGTAATTGCCCTAGAACCTTCTTTGATGTATAGTTATTGGTTAAATCCAAATCGGGCCCAATCGAGCCCCCGAGCCCACCGTTCTGCAGACATTAAGGCTTCTATATAAGTATATTTTTTTGCCTGATTGTAATTTGGGATTGTGAATTTAAGACAGAAGCAATTAAGAAGAAGAATAAAAACATTGCACCACCAGCGAAATAATGACTCATCACCAAATGGGTGAGAAAACGAACACACCAAAAACAACTTACTGGAGGAGCTGTCACATAATGAGAACTGTTAGCGTTGAAACCATCTTCGTCAGTTTCCTCCTCTTCTGAATATGTTGATTCTGATGACATTTTTCCTTCTTTTGTTCAGTTACATACACACAGTAAAAGCCACAGGTATGTTTAGGCTATATTGGCAGCGCAAGTTTTAGTGTTAATAATCCACATGTGACTTTTTCTAGCCATCGGAATTTTTTTTATGTATGCGCATGGACAACGCACAAAGCGCAATATACGCGAGCAAAGTAAGTCTTGAGGGGGGCGGTATTCTGAAAATTGTTGAAGTGACTTATCTTTTCTTCTATCTTCCGGACATAATAGAGCGTTTTCTTGTTGTAAGTTGGTATTCTGAAAATTATCATAGATCTCTATTGATCTCTTGAAGAACCGCCTCTTTACGAACATTTTAGTGGACCCTACCAATCAAGATCTATTTTATATAAGCATGATACGTAGAAGTAAGTACGTATAGCCAACCAATAGGAGTACTTTATTTATGCCATTATCTGAAGATGCGTTCCGCGCATTTTAATGTTGGGCGTAATTAGTTAATTAAGCGCCTATTATGCGTCATAATAATTAAAATATAGTGTACGCGATGTGGCCCTTCCCATTAATAAATTCCCCCATTTTCACCTCTGATGCGGAATGCCCCTATCACAATCTAAAAGGTGTCCCTTTTACTCTGGCAACCCCTTTCCTTTGTACCAAGTGCATTTTAATGACTGCCACTTTTTAGGTAGTGAGAAATGCCCCTTTTCATATCTGATAATGAAAAATTGCCCCTTTTACTTTGACAGGTGCCCACTTTACCTTCTTATTATTGCCCATTTCCCCTTTATTATAAGTTCTACTCGTTCTTATCAATGCCCCTTTTCACATTTGATAAGTTAACTATATATCAAATATGATTATTGATATAATCATTTAATTATCCTTTGAGAAATGTCAATTTTTACCCGACATTTCCCACGGCGCTTGCAAATCGTGCCCTTTTTCCGGTCATATAATTACTATAAATTATGTGCTATAATAAAAAGATGTTCTTATCATCCCTCATCTCCCCAGAAACAATAATTTTCTCATAGCCACAACGTCTTTAATGTGTGCCCCTAATTTAAAGCGGCTGAGTGCTCACTCATTTTTTTTTGGCCGGGAGGGGGGGGGGGGGCACGTCCCTGTTTGTCAGTACATTTTGGCGAATTTGGGGCTGATTTTTTAACATTATTTTTGGCCGGGGGGGGGGGGGGCCGGGGCACGTGTCCCCTGTGCCCCCCTGTATCCGTCACTGAGTATCAATAAGTACAAGTCACAATTCGTATCAGGACAATTACCCCCAGGACAATCACCCCGAGGACAATTACCCCCTGTAGGACAATTCACCCAAAATTCATTGCATTTCCCCCCGGCCCCCAACAGAAAAAAATTCTCTGTAGGGCCATGCATTATGGTTCAAGGCATGGCCACATAGAGGAATTTTTCCTGTTGGGGGCCGGGGGAAAATGCAATGAATTTTTGACAATTTATTGCATTTTCTTCGTTTTGGGGGATTTGTGGAAGGGGCCGCGTACCCTAGCAAACACTGCGTACAGTCATGATTCAGGGGCTAAGCAATGGCCTCGTTTCTGTGAGGCCCCAGGATAAAAATCGTGTCGATCAGCTATATATTAGTGCCCTTTTGTGAGGCATTAATCCTCATTACTGTCAATTATGATTTAAGGACGTAGGTTCCCTAGCTGATTAGCATAGTAGCACACATATGATTTAGCAGTCACGCAAAACAAACACTCGCAAATTAATATTCAATAAAATCTGAGAATGTATGCCATTATTGAGATCTATTAGAAATATATATATTTGTTTTAATCCTACCCTAAACTGGGGTAAAAGTAATTATTCCACCATTATGACCAACAGTGTATATCTCGGGGGGGGGGGGGGGTCATAAAGGAGGAAACTGAGTGCGGACACGAACACGAAACCTCACCATAGCTTTAACCTTACTTAATATTTTCCCAATTACAAATCTAACCCTAACACTGACGATATAAGCCCGAAGCAGCTTCCCTACACATGATAATTATTATTTTTTGTATAAATAATAAGTTTGTACCGTACCTAGACCTTGTTCTACCTAGCAAGCTCTATAGCTAGTACGCGGCGGAAGCCTGGCCTAGCTGGCGCCTAAAGCGCTCGCGTATTAACCAGCTCATGGTCAATCATGGCGACCAAACTTGACGTAAAGGGAAAAGCAGCTACCGAACTCCCTTCTAAATGGCCAGTGGTCGTCAATAAAAATCTAAAAGACACTGATATTTCAAGACTTCTGCTACAAAGGCATAAAGTTAGATGTAAGTAGTATTTAGCTCAACAAATATAATATCAGAGACTGAAGCTTTCGGTCTAGAATTGATCTACCGTAGATGTTAAACCAGTGAGTGGGTGTGGCACAAAAGCAGAGGGACTTCACTTTTCTGTTGTCTTATGATCCGTGTCAAGAGTTTGATGCAGCGATGATTATCATGATGATTTAAAACTTGTCTAGGAGAAAATTCTTGTCCATGTAATGTAGCCTTTACCAACTGGTCTGCCTCTGCTCTGAGATAGATTGTTACATTGTAATTTGTAGTCGATAGCGCCATTGCCTTGGCATTGCTTCCTATCTACTGCCGGCCTGGGCCTAGGGCAAGGCTATGTCTGCCCCCCCCTGTGGCTGCCGCCAGAATTTGTCATTAGTATTTTTAATTTTTGTTCATAGCACCACCTATTTTACATGTGCATCGCCCTTTAAGTAATTTCTCTTTGTTACTTAAGAAAGATTTACAGCGCATGCCTAGCGCGGGTCAATGTCAATAAAAGGCCTACAAACACATTTTTAGTACGCACGAGAAAATAGTTCCATACATTCAAGCATAAGAAATAAGTTATTATCATTAATTATGTACTGAAATGTAAAGTAATGTTCATTGAAATGCGAATAACATTAGTAAATTCTGTCAAAACTAAATCGTTGGTCGTTTTAAGTAAAATTCCAGTTGGACAAATTATTTGATATCCGTGTGCCGATAAGTTCGGTGAACGCGTTGACCCTTGGCTTTTCTGAATTACGACCTGGCCCAAGCAATACGTGTTTTGTGGGGTCTTCAAGAAACGCCAAAGTTTCAAGGTATATTTTGCTGCCCAAGGATGGAAAAGTCCTGCCAACGAGGTATGTTATGGCAGAAATGTATTTAGAACAATTTCATATTACTTACATGATCTATCAGTTTGTAATTTTGATACATTATAAGTGTTTTTTCATGTTGTGATTAGTAGCGTTCAGTGAGCTAGTTTTCCACACACGTGAGATTGTTTACATCTAACGCTAAATTATGGAAAGCCATTTGAATATTTCATGTTTGAGTAATTATTCATGAATAAGAATTCTCTGTAAATCAGTAGCATATAAAACTTGCTTTTATATTCATAGTCTTAACTAGTATGCTCTTAATGCATGTTTATCAAATTTCTCGTAAGAGACTTGTAGCTCATATCATAAATGTTTTATCATGAACCCTTTTATACTCATTCTGACAAATCATATCTGTATGAACAACTCTCGTTAAGAACATCTATCTGGTTTATCAACTCTTTAAATTGACAAGTAATCTGTATATTTACTTGTGTACATATATTTGTATCTTTCGCACGGTATTTATTATTCTGTGCTATTTTATACTTTTTATGTTCACAGTTTTCACGGCACTGTTCATCACTGTTACTTTGTTTTGACAATCGTTAAGTCAAATAAAGACATTCGTCACCAGAAAATGAACATCCGTTTCAACGTTGAGTTATTTTGATCCTGCGGCAGCAACAGTGAAAACTCGGATGGACATGACACCTGAGAAATCCATAATTGGATCAACTACTCAAGCCAAATATTTGATGTGATGTCTGGAACTGCATTCGTCCTCACCTGGCCACTAAGGAAGCTGACGAGGAACTCGGCAAGACACGGGCAATCAAACGGCTTGGAGGTTGATCATCGCTCAAGGATGTCAGGTTCATTTTCATCAAAATAATTGAAGATTGAAATCAAAGAAAGAACACTAGAACATTTATATGCGATTGAAATTTCTCGTTTGGAAACTTAAGCAATAAACAAGCTAAAGATTGATTTAGGCTTGCATATCAACTTCTCGAGAGAATTTCAGATTTAAAACCTTTAAGATCTCTAACAGAGTCTTGGTTCGTATCCCAGAATTGTAACAGCTATTTATTCTGATTTGTTTGGATAACGTAATTTAAAACAACATAAGACTTGATTCCCTTATGATGTTTGGGATTTAAATTTTCAGCTAAGATTATAATTTTCTTAAAATACTTATCTAACGAGTGGAGATAAGTTTACAGAATTTGTTATGTGTATGTAACATCTCATCAAGAATAACCTTGTGTGTGCACTTATAGATGATTTTGAGACAAAATAACATGATCAAGTTCATTTGAAAGGATATTTTTTTATTAAGATTGAAAAAATTTCTAAACTAAAAAGAAACTGATTACCGATAGTGTTTTCCTTTAAGAACAAGGGAACAAAAGGTCATAATAATTTGAAATTGATTAGAAATCGGGTTACCTTGTTGATATTGGAATTGATTTGGATTCATGATAATATCATTAATTCTATGCTACGTTTGATATTTTTATTATTTCAAAGCTTGAATGTATCGAATTGTATGTCCTGCGTAGCGCTGTGTTTTTATCGTGCCCGAATTGAGATTTGGGTTAAAGCAGTTATCTTTGCTATTTGTTATCAGCTACTGCCATTTGCTGTTACCAGCCCACTCCCACACGCCCATTTCTATTTCACTTCCAAACTTTGATTCAAATTCAAACTTCAAATTTCGGTCAAGATTATTTAAATTTGATCTCAAATACTGATTTTCTCGTTGGTTTATTTACCTCAAAAATATATCGTTCAATATGGAAGGGCAACAACCAACTGAAAATAACTTGACTACTGACTCGACTAACTTACCTCCTGAAACACTTCGCCGCTCCACTCGTCCTGTCAAATTGACAGAGAAAGCATTGCAGAATAAAGAAGACGACCTTCAAGGTAAGTTTTTTGTTGAACATATAGATTTGCATTCGATCATACAATCTACTCGAAATAGCTTATTGTCTCAAAACATTGATGGTGATAGCTTAGCAGTGAATAAGCTTGACATTACTGCTAGGCTCAATTCTTTGAAGGAGATATTTGTTGAGCTAAAAAGGCTCAATGAAGACTCCATTGATGATGAGGTTATTGAGGCAATGGATGAATCTTCTATTTCTGTTCGTAATATCTTATCGGATATTGATAAGGTATCCAACATGTCTTCTTCTAGACAACCATCAATTCGGTTGGCGCACTCAACACAATCACGACTCTCGAGGACATCTTCCAGATCGTCACGACGAGTTGCAGTCGCAGCAGAAGCCGCTGCATTACAAGAAGAGCTTACAGCCCAGAAGCTTCAAAATGAACGGGAAAAGGAGCTCGAAAGAATGGAACTTGAGGAAGAAATGAGGAGGAAGCAAGTAGTTTTCAAAATGTCCGAGCTGAAAAGACAACTAGAAGAGGAAAGACTACAAGGCAAGCTCAAGGCACAAGAAGCAATTATGAGAGTCTACGATGAAGAAGATGGAACCAGCACAGTCTCTTCTTCATCCTCGCGTGGAGGTAAAACTGTTGTCAAAAAGATCGAAGATCAGCCAAATCCAACTGATGTGATCCCAAGGGCATCTCCCAAGTTAGAAAGCAAATTGATTGATGAACCAGCCTCCATCGTGTCACAGCAAGCGCAAGTAGTGCTTGATCCCCAAGCTCCGATGTTCCAGCCAAGATCACCAGTTTTAGATCTCGCTGATGCCTTGGCTCAGAGTCGTCTACCCGTTCCGGAGCCGCCAATATTCACTGGAGACCCACTCCAATATCCAGATTGGGTGTCGGCTTTCACTACTCTGGTAGAGCGAAGAGGCATCCCTCCTGGTGAAAAAATTCACTACCTTCGAAGGTATCTTGGTGGTCCAGCAAAGGAGGCAGTCAGTGGCTACTTTCTCCTGAGGTCAGAAAATGCATTTGAGCAAGCAAAGAGCACCCTTCAAAAGAGGTTTGGCAATCCATTTGCTATTGCTGAAGCCTTTCGGACAAAGTTGGATGTGTGGCCCAAGATAACCAGCAAGGATCACAATGGGCTGCAGCGGTTTGCAGACTTCCTTCAACAGTGTCTGGTAGCCAAGGCTGAGATTGTCGATCTCAACATTCTGGATGATATACGAGAGATCAACCGAATGGTTGCTCGACTACCAGATCATATCGTCCATAGATGGAATCGCTCGGTGGCACAGACAAAAAGGGAGCGACTTTGTTATCCTAGGTTTGCTGACTTCGTTTCTTTCATTGGGAACGAAGCAGACATTGCTAATGATCCTCTGCTCACTGTGGATGTTGGCAAGACTAGAGAGAGAAAACAGGAAACCGCAGTCTCAAAACGGGTAACCCTCTCTACGTCTGGCTCAACTTCACAGAAGCAATGTCTGTTGTGCAAGAGACAACATCATTCCCTGAATGACTGTCGGGAATTCCTTCGGAAAGACATGTCCCAGAGAAAGGATTTCATCAAAAATGAAAGACTTTGCTATGGCTGTCTTGAAAAAGGCCATATGTCTAAATATTGCCAAAGCAGACTGGTCTGCAAGAAGTGCAGTAAAAGGCATCCAAGCTGCCTTCATGAGGACCAAAGAGATTCGAACAAGGCCAACTTGGCATCAAGCCAACCGAAGGAAGCTCAAACCGCATCGACCTCAAATCCTCAAGCTGTAACGCACAAAGTACAAGGCGATGAACGTAGTGACCTTACATCAATGATTGTGCCTGTGTACCTTTCTAGTACAGAGAGGCCTGACAAGGAGGTTCTAGTGTATGCACTACTAGACTCCATGTCAAACACCACCTTCCTTTCCGAAGATGTCGGCCAAGACCTGGATGTACAATCCCAGCCTGCCACATTGTCGTTGACAACTTTGACAGATGAGATATCGATCTCAACCTTCAAGTATGACAATCTTCGTGTCAGAGGTTTTTATTCCTCGGAGAAAATTCGTCTACCCTCCACATTTACTAGGCAGTCTATCCCTCTGGACGACAGTCATATCCCGACTCCAGAAACTGCCTCCAAGTGGCCTCATCTCGTGTGTGTGCAGGATATGATAGCGCCAAAACAAGACTGTCCTGTCGGTCTTCTGATTGGCTACAATTGTGCACAAGCCCTTGCTCCTCTGACGTCAGTCCGAGGCCAAAATGGTGAGCCGTATGCTGTCCAAACAGACCTTGGTTGGAGTATTGTTGGAGGTCAGTCTGACTTGTCCAACAGCTTCGATTCGTTTGGCCACACATACAGGACAGTCAGCATGAAGGTAGAGGCCCCGATCGATATCAAGAAGGTGACATTCGCTTACCAGTCTCCCTTAAAGGAAGCGACTGCATCGGATTTCCTTCAGCTCATGGAAAGGGACTTCCAAGAAGCTGAACAAGCTGATGCAATGTCACAAAATGACAAAAAATTCATTCAAGTTGTCACCGAAGGTTTACGCCAGAGAGAGGATGGGTTCTATGAGATGCCTCTTCCATTCAAGAAAGGACCGCCATCTCTTCCGAACAATCGACAGGCTGCTTTGGGTCGATTAGCAGGTCTCAAGAAACAGTTCCTAAAGAAACCTGAATATCACAGTCACTACAAGGTATTCATGAAGGAGATCTTGGCACGCGGTGATGCAGAGATGGTCGGTGATAGTAGTGACAAAGGCTTGTGGTATATTCCTCACCATGGGGTATATCACCCTAAGAAGCCTGGCAAGGTCAGGGTTGTATTCGATTGTAGCGCCAGGTATCTTGGGACAAGCCTCAATGACCATCTCCTGCAAGGCCCTGACTTGATTAATCCTCTCATCGGTGTCCTGTTGAGATTTCGCCAAGGTCCTGTGGCATTCATGTGCGATGTGGAGAAGATGTACCACCAGTTTAAGGTTGCAGATCCACATCAAAACTATCTGCGTTTCTTGTGGTGGGAGGATGGGGATCTCTCCAAGACCCCAGTAGATCATAGGATGAAGGTTCACCTCTTTGGGGCAACCTCATCTCCGGGCTGTGCCAACTTTGGCTTAAAACAGATTGCGGAGGACCACAAGAAACTCGGTGACCGTGCAGCCAACTTCCTCAAGAGGAACTTTTATGTCGATGATGGCCTAAAAAGCATGTCTTCTGAACAGGAAGCAGCTGTGCTAATCAAGGACGCAACTCAAATGTGTGCTAAAGGCAATCTACGTCTGCACAAATTTGTGTGCAATAGCAAGGACGTAACCAGCACCATTCCAAAATCGGAACGTGCCACTGTCACGAATGCAAGTGTTCAGCTAGGTGAACAAACCTCACCAATCGAAAGAGCTCTTGGGCTTCAGTGGTGCGTCAGTTCTGATGAGTTCTCCTTCCGACTTACTCTGAAGGATCAACCCCTCACTCGACGAGGTATTCTAGCTACAGTTGCGTCTGTATATGATCCCCTTGGTCTCATTGCACCAGTTGTCCTTGCTGGCAGAATGATTCTGCAGGAAATGTGCAAACAAAAGATGGATTGGGATCATCCCGTTCCTGACTATCTTCGGACAAGATGGGAAATATGGAGACAGGAGATCCTGAAGCTAGAAACTGCAAAGATTCCACGCTGCTTCCAGCCCAAAGATTTCGGAGAGGCTGAGGAAGTGGAATTGCACCACTTCTCAGATGCCTCATTATCTGGATATGGACAATGTTCATATGTCAGATTACGAAATCAAAGGGGACAAGTCCACTGCTCTCTTGCCATGGCAAAGGCGAGAGTAGCACCGCTCAAGCAGTCTACCGTCCCCAGACTGGAGCTTCAGGCAGCAACCTTATCTGCCAAGGTTGCAAAAATACTGAATAAGGAGCTAGACTACAGCTCAGTCAAGAATATCTTCTGGACCGACTCCAAGGTTGTTCTGGGTTACCTGTACAACCAGTCTAAGCGCTTCCACATGTTCGTTGCGAACAGAGTGGATTGTATTCTGAGAACCACAAGTTGTAGTCAGTGGAATTATGTTACTAGCGGTGATAATCCAGCTGACTACGCATCACGTGGACTGACAACAGAGGAACTTCTTTCGTCAAACTGGTTAGGAGGACCAGACTTCCTTTGGGAAAGTGAAGTTGCTAAGCAAGATGTCACACTAGAGGTTTCTCCTGACGACGTTGAAGTGAAGTCTTCGACAGTACATACAGTAATGTCAAAGACCAAGATTTCAACCTTTACGTCATTTGAAGATAGGTTGAACCGCTTCGCCATGTTGGACAGCGCTATTAGAGCGGTAGCTGTACTAGTGAGGTGTTGTTACAGGCGCAAGGGACATGACATAGATGATGTTGAGATCAAAAGAGTCGCTGAGAGAAATCTCCTGCATGCTGTCCAGAAAGAAGCCTTCTGTGATGAAAGACAGCAAATCAAATCTGACAAACATGCTGTGTCAAAATCTAGCCGCCTGAGTCAATTAGATCCATTTCTTGACAAACAAGACCTCCTACGGGTGGGAGGACGCATGAAGAGGTCTGAAATGGTGTATGGAGTTAAGCACCCTATTATCCTTCCGAAGGGAAGTAGACTTTCCATGCTTGTCGCACTTCACTATCATGCGAAGATTTCTCACCAAGGTAGAAATATGACCATCAACGCAATCAGATCAAGTGGATACTGGATCATCGGTTGCAGAAGCATTGTCTCATCTCTGATCGGCACATGCACCCATTGCATTAGACTAAGAGGCAAGTTGGGTGGACAGAAGATGGCTGACCTTCCATGTGAACGACTTGAGCCATCGCCCCCTTTCACTTATTGCGGTCTGGACTGTTTTGGTCCATTTGTAATCAAAGAAGGGCGCAAAGAGCTCAAGCGCTATGGCCTCATCCTGACATGCATGGCAATGAGAGCCATTCATGTGGAAGTATTGGATGACATGTCATCCGATGCATTCATCAACGGACTGAGATGTTTCATTGCTATTCGAGGAAACGTAAGGCGGATTCAGTGTGACCAGGGCTCCAATTTTGTTGGAGCCAAGCATGAACTGAAACAAGCTCTCCGTGAGATGGATGCGGACCATGTCGCCCGCAATCTTCTGGAGCAGAACTGTGAGTTCAAAATGAATCCTCCTTCCTCTAGCCATATGGGAGGTGTATGGGAGAGACAAATCAGAAATGTGCGCAATGTTCTCAATGGATTATTGGAACAGTGCGGAACGCAGTTGAATGTCTCCTCTCTACGGACATTTCTCTATGAGGCCATGGCTATCGTAAACAGCCGTCCATTGAGTGTGGATAACCTGGAAAGTCCTGATGGTCCTCTTCCGTTGACTCCCAATCATGTTCTGACCATGAAATCCGGTCTTATACTGCCTCCACCTGGAAGCTTTGAAAGGGAGGACATCTATCTCCGCAAAAGATGGCGTCGAGTCCAATACTTGACACAGTTGTTCTGGACACGATGGCAGAAGGAGTACCTGCACACGCTTCAACCAAGAAAAACTTGGACTGAAAAGAAGACCAATGTGCACGTAGACGACATAGTACTCTTGAAAGATGAAGCCATTTGTCGGACAGATTGGAGAGTTGCGAGAGTCATGGAAACAATGTCCAGTGATGATGGTCTAGTCCGGAAGGTGCGACTTCTCATGGCGACCCCAGACTTGGACAAAAAAGGTAAGCCAGTAAATAAGAGGACAACTCTTGAAAGGCCAGTACACAAACTGGTAGTTTTGATCCGCAGCACCGACAAGGCGATTGAAGACTAAGCTTGACTTTAATAGCTGACATTCACTTTTACCCAGACAAATGGCTTTGACTAACCTGGACTTTCATCCTGCCCTGACATTCTAAGAAATATTTTCTCAATTTGGGGAAGACCATTTGTATTTATAAATTTTGCAAGTCGGTCAATTCCTTGTTTTGTTTCAAATAGATAGTTTTGTTGTTTGAAAAATCAGTTAGATGATTTGGGTGGGAGTGTGGCTGCCGCCAGAATTTGTCATTAGTATTTTTAATTTTTGTTCATAGCACCACCTATTTTACATGTGCATCGCCCTTTAAGTAATTTCTCTTTGTTACTTAAGAAAGATTTACAGCGCATGCCTAGCGCGGGTCAATGTCAATAAAAGGCCTACAAACACATTTTTAGTACGCACGAGAAAATAGTTCCATACATTCAAGCATAAGAAATAAGTTATTATCATTAATTATGTACTGAAATGTAAAGTAATGTTCATTGAAATGCGAATAACATTAGTAAATTCTGTCAAAACTAAATCGTTGGTCGTTTTAAGTAAAATTCCAGTTGGACAAATTATTTGATATCCGTGTGCCGATAAGTTCGGTGAACGCGTTGACCCTTGGCTTTTCTGAATTACGACCTGGCCCAAGCAATACGTGTTTTGTGGGGTCTTCAAGAAACGCCAAAGTTTCAAGGTATATTTTGCTGCCCAAGGATGGAAAAGTCCTGCCAACGAGGTATGTTATGGCAGAAATGTATTTAGAACAATTTCATATTACTTACATGATCTATCAGTTTGTAATTTTGATACATTATAAGTGTTTTTTCATGTTGTGATTAGTAGCGTTCAGTGAGCTAGTTTTCCACACACGTGAGATTGTTTACATCTAACGCTAAATTATGGAAAGCCATTTGAATATTTCATGTTTGAGTAATTATTCATGAATAAGAATTCTCTGTAAATCAGTAGCATATAAAACTTGCTTTTATATTCATAGTCTTAACTAGTATGCTCTTAATGCATGTTTATCAAATTTCTCGTAAGAGACTTGTAGCTCATATCATAAATGTTTTATCATGAACCCTTTTATACTCATTCTGACAAATCATATCTGTATGAACAACTCTCGTTAAGAACATCTATCTGGTTTATCAACTCTTTAAATTGACAAGTAATCTGTATATTTACTTGTGTACATATATTTGTATCTTTCGCACGGTATTTATTATTCTGTGCTATTTTATACTTTTTATGTTCACAGTTTTCACGGCACTGTTCATCACTGTTACTTTGTTTTGACAATCGTTAAGTCAAATAAAGACATTCGTCACCAGAAAATGAACATCCGTTTCAACGTTGAGTTATTTTGATCCTGCGGCAGCAACACCCCCCCCCGTAAGACTCTAGCTCTGTATGTTGATGCCTGGTTCACCGTTCAGTTTCAGCATATTTGAAGGAGGGGCAAGGGAGAGGGGGGGGGGGGGGGGTGGAGGCGGGGGTTAGGAAGGCAATTTTCCCCTCACAGATTTCAGTCCATGAAAAAAAATAGCAGCCACCTATTTAGAAAAATCATTTTCTTAAGTCAATAATTTTAAGAATAAGAGTTCTCTTACTAGTCTTAGAAACTCTTAAGAAATTCTACAACTTTTCGGACAATTAAGGGCCCACAAATTTTGTTTCTTTGCTGTCCGGAGGGGGGTGGGGTGGGGTGGGGTACTCTGATTTGTTTTGGACGGGGGTGTGCCGCTGAAGCCTCAAAAACCCATTTTTTAAGGGTCATTTTGGGGATTTTTCTTTAAGCAAAGCCCATTTTCGCAATTTTGGGGATTTTGGAAATCAGACCCATGTTTAGGGATATTTTTGTTTAAAATGGGACCATATTTAGGGATATTTTTGTTTAAAATGGGACCCATGTGGGTTTTTTGTGAAAAAGTGACCCATTAGAGCAGCAAACCCGTATGTCTTAATATGTGAATACCTCCCCCGGGCTTTGCTGAATTTTAATATGAATCATTGTAAGCAGAGATGTTTTTCCCCTCTTGAGGCCAAGGTCTGGATATGCCACTACTCAGTCTTATCAACTCATTATCACACTTTGATCTTCATTGCAGTCAGTGACACCACTGTGCCTTCATCCATCATCTTCCCCCTGTCTTCCGTGGCCTTCCTCATAGTACCCATTGGGAAAGCTTCTTTAGAGTGGCCTCCAAAGTCAGGTCGAGTACAATTGGATCATGAATTTACAGAGAGGTTAGTTTAGGAAATAAGTGATAGAATGGGTTTAACAACAAAAATTTGTTGAAGTAGGAACACTAAAAACAAAAAAGAAAGAAAGAAAAATTAATTATTATTAGGTCTTGTCTCCTTGCTAAATTTTATTGGAATAAGGCTTATCAAACTGTTTTCAACCTTCCCAGTATTGAACTGTTTAACCATGCTATGCAACCAATGTATGTTATTAATATAACAAGGTCTCTTCCAATGTCCAATGATGGTTGACGCAAACTTTCATGCTGTATAACTTTTCCACAAAGCCTGATCTTGCATATTTTAAAATCCAGTTAAATTCTGGCAATATTCATTTGTATTTCAAAAGAGCAGGTTCACTTATCATTTGGAAGTTGTAAGTAGGTAGGTGTTAGTATCGTTACAGGAATTAATGTTCCAAATGTTTTAGATGTCTAGTAATTTTCTCTGCCCATGCATTTAGTCTAGTGTTTGCTCCTTTAAATTTTCCAGGGCGCAGAAATTTGTACAAATTCATAGGAATAGCTACATGGTGTTGACATCAGCTCTTCATGGTCCACATGAGATGGCTGTCATAGCAGCCATACAAACCAGGTAAAATTTAAAAAAATAGAGTTTTGAAGACTGTTCGTTGTAAAGAGTTAATACAATCCTTCATTTTTATGAGGCTGACTTATTTCGACCTTTCCTCAGGTGATTGTTTTTTTTGTATTTTTTGTTTCCTTAACCTTTGGTGAGCACATTTGCTGACACTTGGTATTGGTAATATTCTTGGAATTTTTGTCCCCCCTCTTATCAAATGAAAAGAGATTTGGAAGTTTAATTGCTAAAAGTACATATTTCTGAATGTTAGACTGAATAGTTTCTGTGTGTAAATGTTCACTTTGGTTAACTTTACAGGTTCATAGACCACAATCTCCGGATATTGCCAGTACATAATGAAAGTGAATGTTTGCAAACCATTCTGACAATTGCTCAGGTAAGAAAGTTATTTTTGTTGATGTTCAGTCAATGTAGATATTTAAGCTTCATGTATTTCGGTGGAAGGTGTTCTCTAACAATATTTAATTTATTATTTAGACAGTGATGAGAAGTTTGAGCAAACAGTTCCAATGGTGTCCTTAACAATTCATTATGTACTGTATCATTATAATCATTATTGGATCTTATTTAAAACTTACTGAAGTTAAGTCAGTCTAATTCTTTCCAAGATATGTTCTTATACGTCTGGCTTCACCAAAAGACAAAATATATGTTTTAAGACAGACTTTGCTGTCTTATATGTTTGATAACTTCATTAGAGCATTGAAGATATTAATTTATTGGGTAAGATTTGTATTCTTCTTTTGTTTTCTTTTATTATATGATGCAGGCCACCTGTAAACCGACATGCAACATTCTCAAGTCTCGTCTTGATGCCATCGTATCAAGGCAGAATAGTGAACAAATGATTCTAAACATCCTCTCTCAGTTGGGCCTCAGTCATCATCATATCCTTATCATAATATTATTGAAATACTGTATATTTCTTAATAATCAAGAAATAGACAAATATTTTGAGTTTTCATTCTGGTGCATTCTGATACATGTAATGTATATATTTACAGATTCTTTCTCATTCTTGAGGATTTGTGTTTGTTAATTGTATTTGTTATCCTTGACTGCTTTGAACAATGCATGGTGCTTCAACAAGGTTGTGGCACTTTGGCATCTGTAGCTACAGCATCCAGAGAGCAACTAATGGATTGCAGCCTAGACTCAGAAGCAGTCAACAAGATTATCACATACTTTGAAAGAGATGATTATGTTGACGGATAATGCCCGCACATGTTGTGATGTTACAAATGTAAAGCACAGCCATGAGCCATTGGGTAGAAGAAAGTGTATAATTACAGTTTGTAAAGACTATGTTGTAGTCCTGAAACATGGGCTTGCGAGGAAAAGAAGATCAAACCATTTTAGAAACACCAAATTCCCAACCCCTGTGAAGCCTAGCCTACCCCACTACTGCGAAAAATACCCCCTATACAATTACATCTAAATTCAACAACCCCTAGGTACTTCTACGAGGTCGATTAAATGGTTACTTGTCTGGAAAGCAATTGTCTTTTGGGGTAGTTGTCTTGGATGTGTTAATCTACAGGTTCATTCTAATTGTCCTTATTTGTAATATCAAATTGCTCATAACGCTATTTAATCTTAGCACTGATTTTGATCAGAAAAACCAATAAAATCATATTTTTATGGAAGTATTCTGCCTTCTGAAAGCTGTGTATTTGTTGTACCAATACATAAGATTGATTGATAAAGTTGGCAGCTTGTTACTATTTCTACAACTGTTGTAATGACCTTGTAGATACTATTTTCTGCCTACAGTTCAAAAAACCGTTTTGGTTACCACCACAAAAGTCACTGTAGTTCTTTGAAATGCAAATAACTACTTCATAAGTAGAGCATAAAATATGGCATCGACTACCAGGTCAATCTTGGTTACAGTAAATTAGAGCTGTGCTGATGCACCATCAAGGTTTCCTTTTCATGAAAGGTCAACTCATAGAAATAAACAGCCACAATCTGATTAATTCTGACTTGATTTCCAATTACACTCTATTCTAATGTGTTCTTTTTTAATAAAACCGAGATGCTTGGTGGTTGTATTTGATTAACTCCATTCTGAAGATGAACAATCATGCCCTATTTGTGGGCTTAACTTCACACATATTCGAGTTTGAATTTTTAATTTGACTTCATAAATTATTATCTTTTCATTTTTGTTTTTATGTCAGATTATCATGTGATTTTGCATTTTATTTATTAAAGTTTCCTTATAAAGAATGATGGTTTTTAGAATATGTCTATATATAACTCTATACCCACTACCCAGTCATCAATGTAAACAAGAAGAGAGAAGAAAAAAAAGAAACACTACACCCAGAAAATGTTCTTCCCTTCTTTAGTTTTATCAATAGATTGAAAGTGATACAGTAGCAGGAATACTTTAATAACAAAGACTGTCACCATCCTCCCCCTTCGTCGTATCCACCTTACACATCAATTAGATATTACACATTGAACCTTCAATTGCCAAATTAAACATTTTCATTTTTACCAAGCATTCAAGCCAGAAGTACATACTAACATTTTAAGTGCAAAATCATACCAGGGTTTTAGAATTCCATTCAGCAAGAGCCTGAATTAGTTACATCGTAATTATTTATGTGCATAAAAGTATTCTGGGATATTCTGGGAATCATTTTATTTGGGGAAGTTTAATCTGACAAAGTTTTATCTTGATCTCCCACCTTTCCATTGTTTTTTTCTTTTTCTCTTTTGTTCCTTTCCACATTTTGGCATGGGGGGGGGGGGGATACTTTGTTGATCGCACCAACACCACTAATGACTACCGGAATGTGTCTACTGTCTAATGTATCAGTAGTCTTTTCCTAAACTTTTTCTGTTTTTTTGTAGTCTCTATCTCTCCCTTTCTCTCCTTACAATTCTTCTCTCAGCATATTCTTTTCTTTCTGTATCTTCAACAAGTCCTATCTATCTTATATTCCAATCCTTTTACATTCCCCTTGCTACCATTCTGCTTTACATTTTTCTACTAGTTTAAAGTTACATGAGTAAATTGGATTGGGATTTTTTATGATTTACAAAAAAGCAATTTAAATGATATCGACAAATATATTCAAATTACTATTTTGCAAAGCCATGATCTAAATTGACATTTACAATTAACATTTTTCTTTGCCAGTCCCACCTGGTATTCTAAGACTATAATACCAGTCGGGTAGTTGAAATGAACACCTGTCTCATTAGTTTTCGTCGATATATAATCCCACTTACTTTCATGATTCGCAGCTTTGGTTACTTAAGTCGGGTAACAAAATCTTTCTATTCAACATATTTTTGTCTTGCCCCGACACTATTTTGGTTGACTTATATGACTGCTTTTAAACTTTGAACTGTCTAAATCATTATTACATGAACAAATCTTTTCTCAAACTTGAAATAATGTTCGCTCTCTCTCAATGGGATTTGACCCCCTCCTTCTCTCGTACAATTGTAAAAAAAGAGAAATGACAATGGATATGTCTCTATCCAAAGAGAAACACAACTTCAAATTGACATTCCTCTGTTTATTGTCAACAAATAGGTTAACATTTTACAAAAGTTTTTGTCAAAAGTTCTTATTACCAACCAATTTAAAGTGATTAGCACTATAATACTTTCTCTCTATTACACACAGCAAATAGCTCTTGCCATCGAACTTCATGAAATAATTAAGTCCAAAATCAAAAGGATGTTTTAATATCATATTTGCAACTCGCAAATAAGTAAGATAAACAAATTAGACTTGAGTTCTTGAAATACATCATCGTGGCACATCTCAAGATTATTATTTCATTGCTGAAATCCCCCTTTAAAAATTACGTTGTGAAGCAGTCGGTGCTTCATTCAATAAAATAATCTTATTCACACCTCAATAATGACTATTCATCCACTGGAAAAGGAGCTACTTAAACATTAAAGCATGATCAATACAAACCAGACTACATGCCCCAAACAATATGTTACGCATATGTAAAATTTGCTTTGTACAGACCCAAGATGTATAGGTAATGGCATGTTTGAAAAATGATCTGCTGCATGTTCTTCAGATGATCAAACAAAAATTAAGTACCACATACAAATGAATGTACTTTTGAGCTTTGCTCATATATGATCACTGATCAATACAGCATGCCTAAATGGGTTCCACATACTGATTCAGGCTGTACTGTAATAAATTCCCTTCAAAAAAGAAGATTTTTGTTTCACATGTTACATCATTTCTACCAAATTCCCTTTTCCAGTGGATGCATAGACACTACAAATATACATTGAAGGATCCGAGTGGATGAAGGCATCCACTACCAGAAGAAGAAGTACTTGGAGCCAGTCTTTGAAGCGGGAAGATTAGCTGGTGGAATAGGCCTAGGCGTTGGTTCAGGAATCGGTCTCAAGTCAAACTCTGGCACAGGTCTCTCAGTCTTGACCACAGTTACCTTTGAATAACAAAATAATGATAAGAAGAAAGAAAAATCGTAAGACTATTAATGATTCAATTGGTTGAATGTTAAACAAAACAAAAAAGACAGGGTATAAACATATGCTTTTGAATATATTTTATTTTAAGGCTACAAATGGCTCTCCATAATTTTTTAGTCCAACTTAGAGTTAAGTTTGACTTCGAATCTTTGTGAAACACCCCAAGGATTGTCCAGAACCCTGTTATCAATTGGGTTACTAGTGTTATTTCTAGCATTTGCAATTTGGTCTGGAAAAAACCTTACTTGCACTTTAAGTTAGCATCAATAATTTCTTAATCATTTCACCACATCATGTCAATTCACCTGTTGCACAAGATACATCAAAAATTATTATCAGCATACAAGTACGGGTAGATGAAGTACACTTCTGTTTAATCATACAACAATAAAAATTACATGAAATGGCATATTAAAATATAGATAGTAAATATGATAGCCCTTACCTTTCCTAGGTCTCCTAGCTCTGGCCTGACCCACCCAAGGTTTTCAAAAACACACGTATCAAATTTCTTTTGAGATTGGCGGCATCTGAAATCAAGCAAAGTAAACAGTTTTTAATACATCATAATACCACAGGCAAAAACTATGTAGTGACAGAGAAAGTATCTCTTGAGCATCAAAATGAATTGGAAAAATAAAAATAGAAATGTATGGTAAATAAATTAAAAAGAAATGATACATTAATAAAGACTCTAAAAACTCAGTGATTTAACTAAAATAATGACTAAATCCTAGTTTGTTTAAAGAATACATGTATTCATAATGAGAACATAATTGATTTGTTTACATAGCAACAAGAAAGTAATTGTGTACAATCTAGTATACGTATGTTATTAAAATCATGTTTGGAACATAGAAGTTAGATGTAATATAAATAATACAAATGGACCAGTTCCAGAAAATGAGTTGTACATACCTTTCAATCATCTTCAAAACGAGATAATAATAAGATAAGTTCATTAAAAATGACATTTTAAAAAGCACAAGAGTAATATAATTCATGAGATCTTATCATCTTACTGACCTTCTGAATTCTTGCTTGTTATAATCTAGACAGGTCCAATGCTCTGTAAATGATTCATTGCAATGAGTCCTGATTTGATTGAAGAACTTGAAAGAACAAGCTGTGACTTGTCTTCCTTCTTCTAAACACTTTCTTGGGTCCTTCTCCTCCTCCCTGCATAGCATAAATTCCTGCAATGACAAAAATTAAGAAGGCAAAATCAAAATCAGGACAATTAAATTAAATGTATTGATTCATTTCCTTTCCATATTCAACAAATGAAGTTTATCAAAAGGAAAAGAGAATTTTGTCAACATAAGAGAAACTTCAAGTCTACAGAAATGCTCAAGTTAATATCTGGTTAAATCTTGATAGCCCAATTGTCTCATTCATTATTCTAACAAGTACTAGTCAATTAAAATGTACAAGGGGAAAAAATTAATATTTATTTTTCGGGGGCTACTTTTCAACCTTACCTGCATGAAAATAACATTCTAAAATTTGTTTTGCATTGAACTCTATGCAAATTTTTGGGGGCTCTTTTGGGCATTTCAGGGGCTATTGTGCGCTGAGCCCCTGTGTATTTTTCTCACTGAAATGTACTGGTAGGCATCATAGCCCACTCACAGTAGTGCATAACATTAGTGACAAGGTCCTTTGAGGTGTGTATTATTTTGCGTTTCTTTCATCAGAAAATATTCAAATCGTAAAATTAATCTCCTCCATACAATTTTATGAACTTTTATAAGTATCTTTGTATAAGTATCTCATATCTCATATCACCAATGGAAAGAGAAATTACCTTGTAACAAACTTTTCTTTGGAATTGGGTGTAAAACTATGAAAATATTGACAAAAATTCAAAAGTTTAGCAAGTTTTAGAGCATCTGTTCCAAAAAAAATATGAACTTACCAACAACAAGGGTCTGGAATTCTTAATTTAAAAAAATATGTTATAAAAATTGGAAGTTCATAAATGATACCAACTGATTGTAATTTGTATGACATTTTGACTTGCAATTTATGCTTTTACAAATGAATCATTATTTGATAAATCACTTGTAAACTCTTATGCATGAATTAAGGCCTCATTACTTTTATGACCTTTTCGCTGACAATTCTGATTTTCAGATCCGCGGATTGGTGATGCAAAAAACGGGTTCTGCAATGATTTTCTTGATACATTTTACATCGCTTTGTACAGAGACTTTCGCATTATGAGCGATAAATCCTTGGGAAGACGGACAATCCATAAAAGTAGACGGTGAACTAGGGGTATTTTATTACGCGGAATCTGTTTTTCACATCGCCAGCACGCGAATCGGGAACCAGAAACCCGCAGAGTGCCGATGAAAAAACGTGGACGATCCTTATTTTTGACGATGCATTTTGTCCGCGTTATTACGATTTAGAGTAAAGGAGCCCGTAATCGGCCAGCTCCAGTTTTCGGCCGATTGGTTGGATGCAAGGTAAAATCACTCTAAAATACATCGCATAATAGCATAACACATATCCCACACAAACCATACCATGCCAGTGTCACTGAAGAACCACATTTGCAATGGAAAATATATCCTAAAATATCACATTTTAGCGATGTAATCGCCGGTCCCGCTACCCAAATCTGAAAAATCGAGTATCTTACGCGTGTCTGTAAGAAATATGGGTACCATAAAATGAGCTTTATTTCAAGTATTTTTCAGATTTAAAGCCCGATTTTGTGCTAGTCGCAAGCTCAAAAGTATCTCATCGCATGTATTAAATCAATGCAGCCGCACACCGCGACGCACACACGATATGTCTGTCTAATTCAGATTCCAACTTCCGATCACCGCTGTGCCTGTCTTCGGCCAGGCGAGCACCAGGGAGCTCCGGCGTGGGATACCTGTTCCGCCCGCTTGTGCTGTACATCAGCGCGGAAACGCAAGGCGCGCGCGAGCGCTTCCTATTGACTCTGTACATGCGGCCGTAAACTGAAACGCCCGGCCGATAACGGGCTCCAAAACAGTGAAAATTGAAATGAATATTGTCATGGCAATTCGTGATTTTTTTCTGGGATTCTTTTTTTGTTTAAATAATAATAATATTTGCTTCATGATTTGAACAAGAAATGATAATAAATAGGAAGTAAAGAGTCCTAAAAATAGGATTTTGTCTTAAGTGGCCGAAAACGGGCTCCTTCTATGCCGACGATCTTCATTCTATGACCAGCGCCCCTACTGCTCAGTTGAGTTTTGTACAGTGGTGTTTGAAATGTTGAGAATCAATAGAGGTCGTCTGAAAAGTTTTTATATAAAAAAAGTATACCCGGTACCCATTTAAGGCATAACTTATCTAGGCATAACTTATGTTATGAGATTGATAGGCTTGGATTAACACACGCAGATTACAACGTATGGGGCAAAGAAATAGAGAGAGCAGTTAGAAATAGAATTAGACCAACCTTGTTTGCCTTGTCACATTGTCGTCCGAAATGATGAGCACCGGCTTTCAAAGCAGATGATGTGAGAGGAACCTCAGGAACATCAAGCTCCACTTTGGATGGCAAATTTACTACTTCAGGCATGATTCCCAGGCTCAATTTCTCACATTTGTCGAACTACAACTGTCGACTCAAGAGTGAACAAAATGTCGCCCTCTATAGGGAAAAACGGTATACGAACAAATAAACAATTCTTGGCCAATTCATGCCCGTGTATTTTTCTTGCTTGCGTTTACTTTATTATAATTTCATGCTCTTTTAGACTCCTAAATCTTTCTAATGAGCAAGTACTGACGTCTTGTATTATATGATTAAGGTATAAATCATCAATAATGTATCAAGAACACAATTCTTTACTTGTCTTTTAATTTTAGTTGGTCATTCCCGTTTTTAAATTTGTATACAAATCTTCAAAAGATAAAGGAAATATATATTTTAAAGGCCCACTGCACTACTTGTAGCTACTTGCGCCCTCTATATAACAAACAATGCCTAATCGGTGACCATTGGTCCCCCATGATCCTCTTTTTCTTATGTTAACTGAGAGCTGAGTTGATGAGATAACCACCTGTCCAGTGACCTTGCAGGGCAGTCTAATCCCTCCTGTAAACTACGGCAGATAAGCTTTAAAGTGGGTCATTTATAAAGAGCAGTAGAAGAAGCAAATATGTCGCTGTCATTACACAGCATATGATTTGGTAGCTCAATAAAAAAAACACATCAACAAACTAACCAACAACGGTTGGTGAGAGCAGGGATCGAGATGAGAGTTTAAAACTCTCATCTCCCTGGTGAGAGTAGGCCTATACGCCCGAGTAATTTTATACCAATTAGATCAATCGAGGTAATGAAAGAGACTTTTGTAGCTGACAAAACTGTAGAAAAGTGATTTTATCGATGAAATAAATTATATTTGGAACGGTTTAAAATCTGGTAGCTAGTTTTATTTTCTTACGCTATACGACGTCACCATAAAATGCATTGGCTAAATAAAATCTCCACTATGCCGCGTTTTATGCAGTCAACTTCTTATGTTGATTTGCTTCCAATTTGCCCAGATGGTTATGAGGCAAAGTCACAGCACAGTGGCGAACGTTCTTTCTTCAGGAAATTGTCAGTTTTTAAAGAACAAATTTGTGTTTGCTATGCTGCCCCACCATTCCACGATAGAAAGAAAAAAATGTTCCCAAACTGGAGATTGCATGCCCTCTCTATTTCTGCCTCTCATGTAATCCTTTATTGTAGTTTCCCTAGAAGAGTATAACTCTGACGGGACAAGACGGGACCCTTTGGCATTTAAAGCATCCCACCTTGCCCGATTTTTTTTTTTACCACGATGGTTATCCTATCTTCTAATGAATTAATGACTTCTAGATTTTCAGAACGTGTGGTTTATTTTTACCTTCTTTCTCTTGCATTGCAAGAATCTCGTCAGAGAGAGGCGGGGGGGGGGGGGGGGGAGAGAGAGAGAGAGAGAGAGAGAGAGAGAGATAGAGATAGTTATTATACATCCCACTCATAGATCCTAATCAAATGTTAATACAATTTATTGCTTGTATCTTCTAACGATCGATGTCATTATAATTTCAAATGCACCAGTATAGATCTAAAGTCAAACCCGTTTCAGTGTTCAACTCTCTATAATGGCCACTTTCTCTGTTTCCCTATATAGCTGGCTCCAGTAGACAGGTTTAACTGTACTTGATTAGATACCTCGCTATTAAAGGGAAAGTCCACCCCCAAAATAAGTTTGTTTCGATAGAGGCAGAATAATAAGAAAATCAGGTGAGTGAAAGTTTGAGCAAATTCTGAATGAAAATAAGAAAGTTAATTGAAGTTGTGATCAATCAAATACAAATTGGCAACTCTGTGACATATTATACGAGCTCTCCTTCATTTGCTTTGTGCATATTATTCCATAAAATCATGTTTTCTTCGTTATTGATGACGGAATATATATTTGTTCCTTGCAGGGGGAGTATAGAAACATATTTGCAATTATTATATTTAGGGTGCATGTATGGTTGAAATGTTTCTTGAGGGAAAATGAAAATTTTAGATTTTTTTAGTACTGAGCAAATGGAAGTTGACCTCGCATGATACGTCATAGAGTTGCCAATTTGTGTTTGATTGATCACAACTTCAAAAATCCTAACTTCCTTATTTTTAATCGGAATTTGCTCAAACTTTCACTTACTTGTTTCTCTCATTTTTCTACTCCTATTAAAACTAACTTAATTTCAGGGTGGACTTCCCCTCTAAGAGATCAATATTTTCATCAAAGGAGAGAAACTGCTATGATAGTTAGCATACTGTAAGCAGGATGTGTGGACTGCTCTATATTTTGTATATTTCAATCAAATTGTTATAAATGGGTACAAAAGAAATGGACATTCACTCATATTTTGTTTACTTTCGTGAAAATAAGCACTTTATTTGGAATACACTTCAATCGCAAGGTTGATAGTTTATATATATACAAAGCAACAACAAGAAGGACGAGGTAACATATGGACGGACACAAAGAGTATAATTCTTCTTCAAGGCACAATTCATTCAAAATAAATATTTATGCTTTGAAGATATGACAAATGGAATTTGCAATGTATATGTTAGTAAAACATCCAGAATTTGTGTATTGTTGAGATCAGTAAGATTTTTAAACAGAAGTTTATAATGTACATTATAGTAAACAGAAAAATAAACATACCGGTACATATGCATACATGTACTACAAACCCCCTTAGGAATGTGCTGTAAACTATTTGAATGCGGTATTTCCAAAATATAAAAATGTAACCTCCACTCAGCAGGCAACAATGAATACCAATTCATTGGAATCGGACTTGAAGAAATTTAAAGAAAAATTGAGACTTATAAGATAAGAAGAAAAAAAATACTCCCCATGAGAGAGAACTCATTTTACCAATGCAACAATAATGATAATAATGATACATATTGGACATTTTCACATTAAAAATAAGTTAGTTATTAGTCAATAGAAGAATAAGACTTACAATGAATTCCAAACTATTACATACCAGTCATCAAATAAACAACTAAATATCAATATGAAAATATCTTGTGCAGACACAATGGTTGAACATAGCCATGTATTGATATATAAATCACTTGGTACTGCTATGTACAATTATTAACAAATGGAATCTTTTTATCCGCTGAATGTCAAATGAAGCTTTCATACATTAAAAAAAAAATCTCATATCAATATGCTATGCTCAGATTGTGAAACATTTCTGACTAAAAGGAAAATATAGTCCATTCTGCACTTCAATTGTTATAGATTCTATAAATATAATATATACATGAACTTCAAATTAAAGCCCCCAAAAGAAGCTGTAATGAAGAGAACCAAGTCAGCATATTAATATCCTTATGTACAGCATTAATCTTCAAGTACAGTTTCTCAGATAAAGACATCAATATTTAGGTTTCACAGCTTATTTACTTCTTTGCATCCTTGCTGCATTCAACATACTAGTTAAAGAATCATTTAGTGATACTAATTAACTCTACTGTACTGCCATGCAGTCTTCATCCACTTACTACAAGTATATTTACACTTACACATATTTATTTATAATTCTTTAAAGTCTGTTCATTCAATGTTCAAAATTGGGAAAATCCATTATGTAAAAACTTCTTTATCCATTTGCTGAACAACAATATTTGAATGATATTCTTCTGATAAACACATGGCTCGTTGAACCCAATGAAAGACGATGCACTTTGCATATCCGTTTATTGATAGCTTATTGAAGGCAGGACATGAGTAAGGCATTAAATGTAGATATTTCTTAAATTAGTTTCTCTTGAAAGACGACATATTATTATTCAGATGATAATGCATAGATATCATATTATTGGAAAAGAGACAAGTGAATTATGAACTCAACATATTCTGAGACAGATATTACATAGAAAGTAGAAAGGCATATGCATTTGTTATTGTCATGTTATATATATACATGTGTATACACTTTAAGACCAACAAAAGTCTTCTTACTTTCTATATATTTTACAATTTTGTACACCTTTATTACATGAATAAAATATATGTTATGTATAATGAATACTCAATAATATCATACATTGCACAATACAATGGATTTTGTAAATAACAAGAATGTTTATTCCATGGTCTCATTAAAAAATCCTTCTTATCTCACACTATCTAAATATTTTGTTTGTAAGCACTGCTCATTTACAGCCATTAATTGTTTTACATGTATCTCAAGCAAGCAAATAAAACCAAACTATTAACAGAACAACATACATAAAGGCATAGTTGAGCTACTATGATATTCTGCTTTCATAGACAATTCTTTCTTACATTGTGCAAGCTGTGATACGTTGTACTAAGGCTCGAAAATTGTACCTACCAAGGCTCTAACAACAAAATCAGTCAATGTACTGATCTACTGGAATGTAATTTTAATGGAGAATAAAATGATGGTCCACTGACATTTTTGCACGGCATATGTCTTACTATTATAAACCATGTGATGTTTCCAAGCCAACATTTGTTTATCTCTGATATATCTTATGGACCTCAACTATACTGTAAGTACATCTTTGGCATACAGTTCAAGTTCTTCACGTTGTCATCTATTCAATTCATGTTATATCTTTTGTTTATTCCAGTGGCTGAGTGAGTAGAGCTGAGGCTTTAGAGATCCAGTAATCTTGAGGGAGGTCTGAGGGCAGGTGAATGGCAACCACAAAGTTGGTAGAATGACCTGGTGTAGGAATAGGGAGTGAAAGAAAGATATATACATTATAATTTCACTTTTGCAAATGATGGTATGAGATTCCATCAATAGGTAATAGGGTTCATAATAAGTTCTATATGTTAATGGGAGTATGAAATAAGCAATTGAAGAGAGAGGGAGGGAGGGAGGGAGAAAGGGAGGGAAGGAGGGAGGGAAAGAGGGGGGAAGGAGAGAGGGGGAGGGAGAGAGGGAGAGAGGGGGAGGGAGGGTGGGAGAGAAAGACATAAAAGGGGAAAGTAAGCGAGATAGTAGTTTTATATCTTAGCATGATGAATTATCCATTTTATACATTTTAGTAGAGAGAGTGAAAGAAAGAGAGAGAGAGAGACAGAGAGAGAGAGAGAGAGAGAGAGAGGGAGTGAGAGGGGGTGGGGGGAGGGGGGGGGGGGGAGAGAAAGACATAAAAAGGGAAAGCAAGCAAGATAGTTGTTTCATGTCTTAGCATGATGCCTTATCCATTCAGATACTTAATACATAAGTATTACAGTTTATGAACAGAGACGGTTCATAAGCAAAACAGATTCACACCAATCATAATGTGAATAATTATATTGATGAAAGTCATGTTATGTACCCCAACAAATAAATGCAACATATGTATATATGAATCCGGGCTGACTCTGCTCAAAGACAACTCGGCCCAGCTGCAAAAACGGTAAGTTTTTGTCATTTTACCCGAACCCTAACTCTAACCCTATAACCCTAAATCTGCAAAAACTGACTGTTTTTACAGCTGGGCCGAGTTGTCTTTGAGCCGAGTTAGCCCGACAATGTTGTTTGCTATATAGAGGGCACAAATAGCTACAAGTAGTGCAGTCCTACTTTAAAGAAACAATATTATCTATGTAAAAGGACTCACCAGTGGTAGACAGAGTGCCAGCTCTAAGTCCGGTCTTGTAGAGCGGACTGTTGTAATCTGTTTCATCAGGTTTGAAGTTCATCTCTGGCTCCATGTGCACGACTGGTAGCGGTGGATTCATCTCACCAAACTTGGCATCAGCAAGCTTCATGTTATCATCGTCCCATCGGCATGCATCCATGAACAAACCATGGATCAATACACCGTCCTTGATCTCAGGAAGCTAGAGGATTGACATAGAAAGAAAACAGAAATTATTCATGTATCCATTTCAGTATCAATTACCTTTAATCCATTCACCCAGTTTAATCATATAATATGTGAATTAAGAAATGAGGAAGATTATTAATGATGGACACAGGAAAATTGTTGATTCCAAAATCATCTCTTTCGTAAAGCGTAAGACTTCAAAATGACAGATGAGCAATATAGACAGATAAGGTAGACACTAGTAGCAAATATTCTCTTTAAACAGTCAACTCAGCAAGGATAATTATTGACAAATTTCTCTTGGATAATGAGGCAGGCACAGATATTGCTTTATTTCTTTGCACAAAATTCTATTTGACTTGGATTCATCCATTTCTAGATAGATAAGAGTCACATCTTGGAATACCCTCATTCAAAATCAATCAATTACCAATCAATTATCAATCAATTATCCTGTGGAAAAATGTAGATAAAAACCCTAGTTCATGCACAGATCATGCATCTCATGTACACTTGTGTATAGTATTGTTAAATTGGTTTCTAAATTTTCTTTTCAGGAATGATTTTTCACATGCAAATTTTAGTCATGCACCTTTACAATTGTCAAAGTAAAAAATGTATCCCTTTCTTTTAAAGAATAACAGTATTTTCTTCAAAGAATGCAAAATAAGAAGAAACTACCGGTACTCCAACATGCAGGAAGTTCCATGCATGCTTCCTTTTTATAAATTAGTTTTTCATGCAAAAACAAGACAATCAAACCGAGGAATCATATAAATGTGTTGTTTGTACCTGTGTCAATACATAATTAACTCATTTTCATATTTAATTGTGGTTATTAAAGCAAGGAGGGGTCAACATCAACACGCGTGCATGTGATATTGTGTTAGTTCAAACTTTCCCCAAACAGCAGTGCCAGTCAAATCAAATTGTGTAGTTCCATTAATACAAAAACAAACGTGTCAGTATATCTGCTGGAATTAAGATTTTCGAATTGTGTTAGAAAACAAAATATATTAAAAGGAAGCTAGGTCATTTCAAATCAAATCATAATCGATCTGCTGGGCAATAGGTCATTTCAAAATGAAAGAGTATCATCAGTTCTCAATGTGTCGCATAAACCAGTATTGAAGATCATATGAGTAACAGATTTTAATCAAAACTTTACAGCAAACTGGAGAAAAAACCCTGATAATACTTAAAGTAATAAGAATAATTGCATTCCTAGGTCATATTCTAATTGAGCATTGTATGTATCACGACATTTTTAAATTTTTTATCGAAAAAGATTATTATTCGGGTGAGCTTGTGTTTATTACAGGGAAATTTGCAAGTTTCAAAAATTCTGATTTTTCAATATCCTTTTGTTGTAATAGCTCTAATGCTGCTTTTGATTTTTTTTTAAATTACAACATAATATATCCAAATCTCTGAAGCTAAAGACTGTCTCAAAATGGGTATTCTGTGCTGCCAATGAAATTTGTTATATAGAGTCTGGAGTAGGTATTACAATCCTTAAAAAGATAAGATTCGTTGAGGAGTTTGTCTACCTATCTCAGAGTCATTCAAGCACAGTTTACTTGATTGCGTGAAACTGTGACACATATTCATTGAGAGTACAGATAATCGACTCCATCTTAAAGCAATCTAAAGCTTCAGAGATTGGGCTATACTGTTTTGTAACATGGCAAAAGTGGCTCAATGGCATCCCTTGCTGTAGTGTAATGTGCGTCACCGACAAATCATAGCATTTCTTTCTTTATTTTTCAAAAGCATATTCCAGGTTATACAAATTTCATCAAAGAGCATCATTACCCTGATAATATAAGTTAAAAGTAAATAAAATTGATTCAACCATTTGAAATATGCATTAAGGAAAACATCAAAAGTAATTATAAGATTTTCATTTATGTTAGTGTTAATAATTCGCAAAACAATCAATAGTTCAAATTATAGCATCTTTGTATAATTTTTTTTTCAAAGTTAGCACTTAAATACACTTTAAGATGGGATATTATTCTCCCTTTTTCAAATATTTTCGAAGGCGGGGGAATTTTGTCATTTAATCTGATATAAAGGAGGCATTAATTATTACATACTTTGTGAGAATTATAATTCAGGTGCACAGGCTTCCAAGCAAAGCTCTTGGTGAATAATATGGTGCAGGTCATTTTTTGAATAAATACTGAACTTGAACTTGAAATTTTGGAACAAAAGTATCTCATTGCTTCAAACAACTAATGCAACTTTAGGAGAGCACGGCTATAAATGCTGTTATTCTATTGTCTTTGTTAGTAACTTTACCTTTCACCGCTTATTTAATCTTTTTTTTCTTTCTTTTGTTAAACAGCTGCTTAAAGGATTTGTGAAGGGTAATAAAAGGCAAGTATCAGCATTGGAGAAGTGATCAAACAAATGATAGATTAAAAAATTACACAAGTTTCATGGTTAGTTTTCTCTGCCCATCCACCAATGATGACCACAACGTGAGCCAGGTGCTATATGAAGGGGAAAAGGATTGTGAGGTGTGAGGTTCTGGGTCTTGATGTCAGTGCACGTCAAACCATCATACACCAGGCATTATTTAAACCCTTTCAAACCACTCTACTTACTTCCTCATCAAGATCTTTACCATCACCTGCTGCTTTCTGTTCCATTCAAGAAGGGGAATTAATTATCGTGGGACAAATAAATGTTATAATACATGTCAACACAGGGCAAAACAAGTAAGAATGAAAGATTCATAAAATGAAAAAGAAAACAAAATTCAAAAGCTGTTTAACAGTAAACTGAAGTGATATTTCTACTGAACATAACAAAAATACTTGGTACTGTAAAGTTAAACATCCTATTACATATTTACTTACCTCTTTGTTATATAAGAGTAAAATTATATACCTCAGCCAAACCACTAGACCAAACCCAAACTGATCAATAACACACAATTCATGGTAATTTGTGGTAATGTCATTCTTTTTGTTTGGTCTATTGTCGGTCTGGAGTTTAAGTCATGTCAGTGTGGCTGGTGTATAACTTTACTACATGACATGACAAGGCGTGAAATCTGAATATCTGCCTTAACCCTAAAGCTATGCTTACGTCTGATTTGCTACTGCTATCTTTCTTTCCTCCCTAAACATGAAATACATGACACACAAGACACAGACATTATAATGTTACACAAAGATATGGTAAAGACAGAGAAGGTAGAAAGGAAGAGTAAATTGAGTCAAAGAAAGAAAGAAGTTACACAATGAAAAAGTGGGATGAGTACTGTCAAACATATAAAGGGTTTCTCTATTGTGGTACATGCAATGTTATATCTTCAATACAAGTAAAGAGTTATCCAATTTAAAGGTTAAACTACTCCATACTTTTATAGATCTGTAATGTAATATCATGCAATACATAAGAAAGACATAGAAGAGGCAACATCAAGTATGAAGTTTTAGTTTTACTCATTCTTAAATAACTATATTATGTAATTTAGCTTTATTTTTACATTTTATTAGACTATATCATCTATTAGTCATAAAATATACATTATAATATCATTAAAAGGCTATAGTTATAAGATATTTGTTCTAAGCTATGAATTTGGGTATAAAAATCTATTAAATTTGAGGAAAATTTAGCCAAAAAAAACCATCAAGAAATAAAATGAAAAGGGAAAGAATTATAATACTTTATAAACAGGAGAGGAAATATGTTTGACATGAAAAAAAATAAGATGAAGATACAGTGTCAGCTTTAAAACATTATGGTGCAAGAAAGACAGTGGCAGATGTCAATATTCTGAATGATATCATAACATCTAAATAATCAGTATATTTTTTTTATCTTTGATTCACATACCTCCTTGTCAGCATCAGTGACCTGTCCAAAGCTGAGTTGATCTTGTTGAATAGCAACTTCAGCCTGGTCTCGGTAAAGGGGCTTCGTACGGAAGTGGAAGCTGAGCTGGTCAATGGGGTAGTCGTACTTTCGTGCGTAGTTCTGCAGAGTACCGGTCAAGAAACCTGCAGAGAAACAATTTTCTTGTTTATTATGCCCATGGATTCTAGATTTAATTTAGATTTCTTTACATCTTACAAATACAGTAAAACCTGTCTACGAAGATCACATTTTTTATTTCCCTTAAAATGGTTTCTCATTGAAACGTGTACTATAGGCACCTGCCTATCAAGACCACTTTTCTAGTCTCCTTGGGTGGTCTTTATAGACAGGTTTCACTGTCCAACAGGAGTGTAATGATTGATGGGAATTTTTTATTTACAAGCTAGATGAATGTTTAATACCACATGATAAAGCAAGATAATGACGGAATCACATCTATCCATAATTTACATGAAAAAAAGTGATTGTATCATACCTTGAGTGTAAAAGAAACCAGAGATCCAGAAAGACTTTGGAGGCCCATGGAGGATCCAATGCTGTAGACAAAAAAAAAGAATAACTTGTCAGAATAAAAGGAAATACCAACTTATTGCAGTTTCATGTTAGAGTGAGAATGACCGCATGAATACATATTTGAGAATATCAAAGTATAAACTGTAAGTAATTCTCTCACCAAGTATAACTAGTCTAATATTTAAATTATAAAAACAATTAAAAAAAATGATCATCAAGTTTCTTATTGGGCATACCCATTTCAAATCAAATATAAACTACCATTTAAAGTTGACACAGGATAATTAACAAGCGATAAAAAAAGACTGGAAAAAAATATCACAGGTCGCCACTGGACCGAACGCCCTATAATTAAGCAGCAAACTTACCCCTATGAATCCAACTCTGAGAAGAAGGTCCTTGACCCATGAAGCTAGAGGCATGAGGGATGGGTAGGCTGCATCGGACCACATTGTAGGAACCTGGTTGTTGAGGAAGCTGTTGTACACCATCTCAAGTTCCTCAGACATTACCACCAGACCCTTGATGGCTTTCTGGATGGTCTTCAGTGAACTCTGTAGCAATTAGAATGAATCAGACATTCACGAATGTATCTAGTTTGTACTCCTTTATTGTTTAAAAAAAAGAAGTTTGTGGATAGCAAAGATATTGTCGCATAAAAGTTTTGGAAATTCGTCTTCATGCCCTTGATCTTTATGATAGACTTTTGATCTGTTAAAGCTGGACTGCACTACTTGTAGCTACTTGCGCCCTCAATGCCTAAGTTGTACCCGTTGATCCCCCATGGTCCCCTTTTTCTTATGTTAATTGAGAGCTGATTTGATGAGATAAACACCTGCCAGTGACCATGCAGGGAGGTATAATCCCTCCTGGCCAAACTAGTGCATAGGGGCTTTAATGTACAATGATTTCTAACAAAGATAGAATATAAAGTCACCAAAGCCCCAGGTCTATAACTAATGATGAACCTTCATGACTTCACTTCCATGATTCATAAGATTTTCCATGTGATAAAAACATGAAAGTAATCTCCTACATACCTTCAATACTATAAGAAGTTTGTTGAATCTGTCCACTTCTTGAACAAGAACAGTGGTGAGAGAGTTGGTACGTCCCTTGTCATCCGGCTGTAAAAACAAGAAAACAAACATACTTTTATAATCAGAATATATCAAAAGATGGGAATGGGACATTCACGTTGCAGTATGAAATGGCAATCCGTAATATGAAAGTGTGAGTTTAGATGTACTTTGGTTCAGTAAAGAGTCAAGCCTGTAAACACCCAGGCTGAATTTCAATGGGACACCAGTGGCTTTGTATATGTGATATAAATGCTCACTTCTACGGATGACACACGCAAATGATGAAAAATGCCTTACCTTGAACATTTCTTGCCATGCTTCATCAATGTCCAGCTTCTCTGGTATCTTGGAGAGAATACTTTCCGCTAATTCAAAGACGATGTCATCATTCGTCTTGCCTCCTCCACCTCCTCCCATCCTAGGCTGAACCTCCAAGATGGTGGAGATCAGAGTTTGAGTCTCTTGACGCTATCGTACAGGAAGGTAAAAAAAGGAAAATGGGTTTATCTATATGAAGCAAAGAATGTGAAAAACTATACAAGTACAACATGACAGGAACAGGGTTGGTTTACGTCTTGACCGACTGTAAATTCTACAAGAATGTTTTTTGACTTATGCTTCTTCCAACTCATTCTTAAAGCCTGTCTGCACTAGTTTGGCCAGGGGGGATTAGACCTCCCTGCAAGGTCACTGACAAGTGGTTATCTCTTCAAATCAGCTCTCAATTAACATAAGAAAAAGGGGATCATTGGGGACCAACATGCACTGATTAGGCATTGTTTGCTTCAAAGACGGCGCAAGTAGCTATACGTAGTGCAGTTGGGCTTTAAATTTCATATATGTACAGCATGATTCAATCATTCAACAATACATCAGAGATGCCAACTTTTGGAAATCAGAAATAGGGAGGATTTGTAATCGACACCAATTAATGTGCGCGTAGCGCACATCTCGAGCGCGTAGCGCCCGACACATGCGGCCGGGGTCCAGGGCCCGCCTTAGGGCCCTGGAAGCTCTGGGGTTCTAGATGCTCTCTGGTGCAATCTGAGCCTTATTTTGGAGCATTTTACATGTGTATTTAGTTAAATAATTCCCCCTTTTTTTTTAAATAACATAAAAATTGTACAAAATGCATGATGAATTACTTTCAGACTTCCGATTACACAGGTACTTGATACTGTATTCGGTATTATACTTCCGAGACCATTTCCTGGTCTTATTTTGCTGATTTTCCGCCATTTGGATTCTGTGGCAATATCCACGCATTGGTTACGGCGATCCATATGCTGAAACAATCTTTCGCTACTCTTAATTTGTCTTTTAACATAGTGGAATTATTACATGCTTAAGTTAGCAGATGATATTTCTCTTTCAATTCACAGATATATATACTGATAAGCGCCCTCCAAAAAAAATCATAATAAAAAAAAAAAAAAAAAAAAAAAAAAAAAATCATTTTTTTTTTTTTTTTTTTTTTTTAATAAATCGGGAGGATAAGGATGGTGATCGTAAGGTCGGGAGTTGGGGTGAATTATCGGGAGCCTCCCGATAAAATCGGGAGGGTTGGCATCTCTGCAATACATGTGAGTGAGATTATTACCTGAAAGCTAATGTTGGCATTTTCGTGCATAGCAAAGATCTCTGGTTCATCAATGATAGGTAGATCTTCAATGTATTTCCTGTATTCACCAAGGGTATCCATATCAGGGCTGTAGTAGATACCTGTGGATATAATAAAGAAGAAGATGGATATTTACAATCATTATGGTAGTGATAAAGATATATGTACTATACCTGGTCATATCTTTACACTTTCAATAGAGGCCCCGACGTACACAGAGGCTATACATGACAATTAAAGTGTGCGGGTTCACTGACTGCAATGCCCCTCAGAAAATGGCAAAACTTAAAGGCATTTTAGCCATGATTTTGTGCAAATATGTAACATACTGTGGCTTTTGGACTCCAAATAGGTACCAGTGGCCCACATGTGTTTCATTTTTTCCACATTAATAAATCTGCAACTTCTTAATAATCAAATATATTCACAGCTAATAAATCCCAACTCTGATATCATATCCAGATAACAGGACAGCCATGAAACACATGCACAATTAAGTTACAGGGGAACACATAATTAATTACAAAGGCATAACTAAATATTACATGATTCAACAAGAGTATTTGTTGATCTATTCTTCTACCTCATAATTATCATATGTGTGTGTTTATCACTGTCCTGTAATATTTCATTTATATATTTTTTTTGTATTACTTTGTAACCTGTGGAAACCAAATTTCCTGAAACGGACAATAAATTATTATACTTATACTTATACTCTGAGAAGAAACTGAATGTAATTTTGCCTCCTTACCTGACTCTGAATATTTGTAGTTTTCTTCCAAGGTGTTAGGAGCAAAGAACCTCTTGAGGATGGTCCTGAGACACCTCTGATCCCAAGCATCCGTTACTCTGCCTCCATAGGTGATCTAATAGAGGGTGAAACAAAGAGTATATTTGCATCATAGTCGAATGAAACGGTATCCTCTGACCAAGCAATCACAATCCACACCAGGGCCCCGTCTTTAAAAGAGTTGATATCAATCGCAACTAGATAGGAGACTGCAAACTTGCGATTGATTAGAGGACTTATGATTGACTTGGATCAATCGCAACTCTTTGTAAGACAGGGCCCAGGCATACTGTTACACATTCTTTGGAACATTCAGAGTGTCCATAGTATCAACCCCTACATCATCCCTAATTAATACATTTCTTTCTGCAATTAGCATTGAAAACAGGGGAAAATAACTTCAAAGCATCATATGGAAATAGGAAAAGTTAATATGGTGTTAAATGACTCAATATGTGATTCCATGTCAGTACTTGATGATCTCCTTGTTCATTCAGACATTATTGGGATTTTGCACTGAACTGCTTTTCATCTTACCAACGAAGAATACATCCAAGACACCATGTTAATTGTGTCTGTTTCTTTTCATGGATTCAGATTGTCTGCAAGAGCGTCCACAAGCATAGCAAATTCTTTGTTGGGGGGGGGGGGGGGGATTAACTAGCATGAAACAGAATTATAGCACAAACATTGATCCTTACCTCTCCAGTGATGTAGATAAGTGCATCCCAAGGAATCTCACCATCAGCAAGGAACATCTTCAGGTTCTCCAAGGCACATTCTCTATCACTCTCATTGAACTCATACTGAAAGGTCAAAATACAAACAAATGTGATTAATAAAGGAATCACAGTATATGTAATAGTTGTAATCATGCCAGTAGAGTACAAGAACAGGTCATCAACTGATAATGTATATCAACTACATTCTCTTGGAAAATTCTACTCCAGTATTTCCAATGACGAAATACAATTCATTGAGAAATTTGTTTAAACCTTAATCACATACAAGTAGCAAAAAACAACATCCATTGTCATTTTTTACTATTTGACTATCAAACTGTACTGGCATATTCTTTTCATAACGCAGAATGACATCTTTACTAATACATGATAAAGATTTCTCTATTGAATTTACAATCACTATGATGTCATTGGTTTGACAAGACATTTCTAATGGGTCTATATTTAAGTTAAAACACATCAATATCTGTGACTGACATATTTAAATGAAAGAACTGTACCTTTATGTTCCAGCCGAGAGGACCAAACTTCTTTCTCTCCTGGATGATAGCATGGAAGAGACAGATGCCAAAGATCATCTTCCTCCAAGACATTCCCAGGACTGAAAATGAGTGAAACAAAATAATAAAGGAATTTAGAATAAACGTTTAACCATATCAAAAGATCATTCAAGGAAACATATCTTGGAGTAATATATAATTTAAAAGCCAGATGAATATGGGTGTTTGGCTGATCTATCTGTATTGATCATAATTTTAAATAAGAAGCTAAAAATGATATTCAAAACAGATGAAAAAACAAGGATAAGTTCCTTCAATAAAAAAAAAGTATTAAGACTAGCATGTAAAATGCACACTCACACATGATCTATGTAGTTAGATTAAACCTTGTGATTAACTTAACCAACACATTCTTCATTAAGCCTTTAAAGCCCCTCTGCACTAGTTTGGCCAGGGGGATTATACCTCCCTGGATGGTCACCGACAGGTGGTTATCTCATCAAAATCAGCTCTCAATTAACATAAGAAAAAGGGGATCATGGGGGACCAACGGTCACCGGTTAGGCATTGTTTACTATATAGAGGGCGCAAGTATCTATAAGTAGTGCAGTGAGGCTTTAAACTTACTATGTTCTTCAAAGTCCTGCGCAGTCATCTCGGAGAAAGCTCTCCTGATGTTAGACCTGAGGCCCTTGGGGGGCTCATTGGTAACCTTGACACTGTTCTGCAGGACAGCGACAGGGAACTTGTCTGTAGGCATGGAGCTCAGGTAGAGACGGAAGTCTTCGTGGATCTCAGCACCTGGCTCACCAAATGCCTTGATGATATCCTCCAGACTCAACATCCATGATGCTGCTAAATGGCAATTCTGAAGAAAATTGAAAAGATTGATGAATATATGCTCGTTGAATACAATAGTTTGTGACTGACAATAAACAAAATGAAGAGACAGAAAGTCTTCAAATTGATTCACATCTCAATGAGGAGACATACTATTGCCTAGATAATAACTGTGTCTATATTTATAGGTGATTATTAGGAAGGTATTCATGATTTCCTCACAAGTGAACCATCAAAAGCATGAAAGTCCATAACACAAAAATCTTCCTTATTAAAGTAGTTGTAGTAGATTAATTTAGTTTGCTCACCTGTAGGAAGACCCAGTCTCCATTCTTGACGGCAGCATCTATTAGTTTCTCAGCGACGGGACCTTGGCCCTGGCCTAGAGAGATGGCCTGGATGTGGTCCAAGTAGTTCCTCTCCTTAGCAAACCTCTGGAATGCTCCCATGGGATCAGACCCAGTACTCAGGATGAAGACCAAAGGTGTAGATGGAGTCATGTCGGTGTATAGGGTAGCCAGGTCCACTGGTGGACTCTCCACAAAGGTCTTGCCCAGATTCTCACTCACAAAGTCTGTGACACAGAACACGACCTGTTCAAGAGACGGGGGAGAGAGAGAGAGAGAGAGAGAGAGGGAGAGGGTGAAAATCTTACTAGTTTGTACACGACTGCCTGCATGAATTGCACAACATATGATTCAGTGATGTCATGGCTGCATTAAATGTTTAGGAAATTAACAAATCATTCTCATGTCATATTCCCACATATCTGCAGGTAAATCTCATCCAAGTTAGATTCTAAATTACCCAATTTAATTGAGTTTTCTTAGAGCAACCCTTATAGATTGAATACATTGACTATATTGCACATTTTGTATAAATACACAAATTTGAACTTACACTCTCTTCCTTGAAGCATTTGATCATCATGAGTTTCTGGAAGCTGGTCAGTCTTTCCTCGTAATGACCCTTGATTTTACCATCATCTTGTTGCTGTTCTTCTTCCCCTTCGGGGGGAGGGACCCATGGGGGCAGGGCAGGTCCATATCCTTCCCATGTCTTAGGGTTGGGTCTCACCTGTTCAAAGACAATGAAAGACAATTATTCACTGATATTTACAATTTTGTTCACATTAGGTATAGTTCAATTGTATTTCTAAATGTTCAACGCATTCTTTTAAGTATTGTAGAACAAACAAACTGTATATTATTGGCTTGAAAATTACAATAAAGATGATATATAAAATTTAACTAATTTCACCATAAAATTAAACAACTTGAAATTTGGAATTTGATCAGTGTCTATGTAAAAATAGGGGAAACATATCCTGGCATAATTACCAAATAATGAACGAGTTAAAACATTTGGCAATTTTTATCCTTAGATTTCAGCTAGAACACACACTTACCTCCATCCTTCCCATCGTACAGAAGATAGGTGCAGCCACAATCTCTTTCATGAAACCCTTGAATGCTGGGATACAGTCATCAAGGTCACAGCAGGTGTTCCACACAGTGTCCGCCAACCAGGGAATGTCAGGCTTCGCTGGACGTTCCTGTAATCCAACAGAACAATCCATGACATGTTATGTCATACAAGAGAAACAAACCCTGCACACACACTTTGTTGATACTATATTGCTATCTATATTGGAAATTCAAATTCAAATGATTTTATTTCTCGTGCAAAACACAATACAATGAATATGCAATGAAACGACAAATATAATAGTCATAGCACGAGAAAAGAGGAACTAACTAGAAGCAGAGCTTGTTGAAGTATTAGTTCCTCAGAGACTGTTTCACAATATGTCTTGAAAACAAAGTATACATAGAAAATCAATAAATTAAAAAATATGTAGCAAAGAAATTATGATTTAAAAAAAAAAAAAAAAAAAAAAAATTAATAATTTATTTTATTTTTATTTATTTATTTATTTTTTATTTTATTTATTATTATTATTATTATTATTATCATTTTTTTTTTTTTTTTTTTTTTTTTTGGGGGGGGGGGGGGGAGGATTTTTTGTGTACTTCTTCTTGAATCAATAAAAGAGATAACTGCTATGAAAGTACTCACCTTGTCCATGCCAGCAACACCACGAAGGAAGAAGTTCCATTCTTCATCAGTCACTTTGCTCTCCTGCCTCATGATGTCGATACACAACATGAATGAAAAGACCAGCTTGTGCACTTCAAACAAACCCCTGCAAATAATCAAAGTCCATGAAAGTTGAATATAACCAGCAATATGTACACAGTCACACCTGTCTATAAAGACCACCCAAGGGAGACAAGAAAAGTGGTCTTTATAGGTAGGTGGTCTTTAAGTACAGGTTCCTTCAGTACATGCTTCAAAGAGAAACCATTTTCAAGAGGAACAAAAAATGCAGTCTTTGTAGACAGGTGGTCTTTCTATACAGATGGTCACTAAAGCAGTTTTCACCTTATTTGCAAATTACATTTTGAAACAAAGGATGCTCATTAGTAACAAAAATGGGAAAATAAATAACTTAAATCTGTGATTCTAAACTAACAATAGAACAGACTTATACCTGGAGACATTGGTGTAGACCTGAATTGTTGTCTGACGAAGCAAGATCTTAAGCCTCTCCTGAAGATCACTGTTCTTCTCGCTGGTCTCGATACACAGGTTGAAGAGCTGAAAATAAGAAAAATAAGTAACAATGATACACATGATGTTACCCTTAGCACAAATTTTGAGGCAGAGACCCAGAGAAACAATTATCATTGTGCAAACCAACTTGCTGCACATCTGCTAATCCTAACATAAATCCTACCCTAGCTAAAAACTGAAACAACTGAAACGGCTCTTTAAGACATTATCACATTCAATGTCTTTAAAAACACTTCTCAGGACATACATTAAACTCATTGTTTCCCTGATCTCTTCTAGAGTATGGAGTGGTGAAGTGTGACGTCATCAAAAAACTATTTTGAGAATTTCTCAATTTTAACTTCATTTTCCGAAAGAGCATTGTATTGGCTGAGATATGACGATCTGAATAGATAGATTTCCTATTGGAACTCAACTGTTATTTTGCTCCGGTTCATAACATTACGAACAAGAGCAAATAACACTGAGTTCTTATACGAAATCTATTTATTTAGATGGTCATATCTCAGCCAATACTTAACATATTCAATTGGTTTTCAACATTTTGTACATTATTTTTTATGCTCTTTCAGAAAATGAAGTAAAAATTGATAAATTCTAAAAATAGATTTTTATGTCACAGCTTTGGTACTCTATACTATGAATAGATTGGTGAGCTGAAAGTTGTAATGCTTACATTTTTGAAGTACTTGAGGGAGAACTGGTACATAGGATCAATCTCTGCTAGTGAGGCCACCACAAAGTACATGACAGATCCTCTGGAAGCTACCACTCTGTACTTCTCTCTGGCCACAGTGATCTTCTCTTCTGTCAGTTCAGCTTCCTCCAAACGCTTGGTGATCACACCGGATGTAACCTGTTCAAGGTAAAGCAATGGAAAATATATATCAATGTTTAGAAAACATGGCAATGTAAGTTTGAAGCAAACTTCTTTATTATAAATGGGTTACACTTTAAATCTTTTTTTTCTGTCAAAGAAGTGTCAAATAACCATTATTATCTGTTAGCAATGGCCTTTCTTCAAGGCAAGAAATCAACAAATCCAGTGCTGTACTTCAATTATTTGCAGTACAGAACTTTCACAAATTGGGAACATTCGTTTCGTCATCGTACAATGTGTCATACAGAGTACTGTAAGAAAATTTACCTTGGATTCGTTGAGAGTGTTGATGAGTTCTTCATTGTCTAGGATGTTACCCTCAGACTCGAACAGCAGCTTCAGGATTCGATCCTCAATGGCTTTGAGTTGGTTCTTGTCTGCATTGATCCTCACAATCAACTGATTTCGCTGCTCCTCAAGATCTGGACGCTCCAAACGGACAACGTCACTGGCAGAAAGAAAATGGGAAGTAAAGATAAGAACAGCTACATAGAGTGTGGGAACATTTCTCTCTCTCTCTCTCTCTCTCTCTCTCTCAATACCTTGTAAACTTACAATGTATATTTAGGTCATATCATGAAGAGAAATAACTTCTTCATAAACAGCTAAAAGAAACGTGTTGCATGATATAACTATTCTTAAGCACATCAGATGGCTATTAAAACTATAATTCCACTTAGTTTGACTAAATATGTATTTTTAAGGAGAATAACATCTTCTTACCTGAGCAGCTGATCTTCGAGTCCAGACTTGGTGACAGTGAAGTTGATGATGGTAACCTTGATACAGATCTCAGGTAGGTAGTGAGGATTGGCCATCTTGGATGTCATGTAGAAGCGGAAGTTCTTGTCATAGTCAATGTCACTGTCTCCAAGACGAATCAGAAGACGACCACCCTGCACAGAAAAGTAAAAACAATTCCATCATAGATTACAGTATAAGATGATGATGATGGCTTCTGATGCAGCGATTGTATACGCCTCTGCTGGTGCGTATGAGGCTTACTTTAAAATGTCTCACATAAGGTGTCATTCCATTTTTTTTCCTCGTTACAGTCTTGAACATCTTCCTGTCAAAAGGAGGTCAGCATGGTAGATGAAAAGAAGAGAATCTCATAAAATCCCTTGTTTTAAACACCTTTATCATATCTCATTGATTCATAATTGGAAAATAAGAAAAGCACACCTTTTCCAAACATTTTCGAAATTAAATAGGTAATAATCAAAGCCTTTTGCAAAACATAAATGTGCTATCTCTCAGAAAAGTTGCGAAATGACATGAACAATACCTGGACAAAGGTCTGCTTGAGAAGGATGGGCTCCAGTGCAGGATCAAGTGTTTCAGCCAGATCCTCTAGGAGGACAGGGAGTCCCACGCGTACAGCATTCTCTAGTGTTCGTAGGAAGTTCTGATCAGTCAGCTTGATGACCTTCAAACCATTCTTGGCTTCCCGGTTACGAATCCAGCGGTTAGCCTGTAAGATTGAGATTGTGTGACCCTTGGTTAAGCATCTATCTCATATATATTCACTGGTATGATTTCAAGAATGCCTAAATTCCATGGTATACTTTGGAAAATATCCACTTATATCAAGATGACTGAGGAATCAATTCTTTTTTACCCTCTCTCTCTATACCTTGATAGATCTTAAATTCTGTGAACACACTTTTATCATTTCATTTTCATTTTCAATTTCTAGAGTTGAATTTTTCTGCGTATCTCACCTGTTCTTGTGGATCAATCATAAGGGGCCACCTGCGCCCTCTAGTGACAAGAATAGCGTTCTCTGTTGACACAGCATCTCTGGGTAGACCATCAGCATTCCATTGGCGAATCTCAAAGGGATCGGCCAAAACCTGTCAAATGAAATGTTATTGATTGATTTTCATTCTTCTGAACTGATATTTTTTATCACAAGACTGCACTTTGAACATTTTTAGGATTTGCCTTAAATGTACATTATTTTTCCTTTTCGCATATTTTGATTAATGTTGATAATGACTTGACAAATAGAAACAGGTCATAAATTTAACCCTCAGTTTACAAAAAAAAAGAAAGATGAATAGCTGACACATCTAATCAGTTACTACATACAGAAACTAACACAGAATAATGATAACCTCTTCAAGAACAATCACAAATGTCCCATGAAAACAAGAAAGAATTAGAAAAGTGATTTAAGACATACCTTGATGAGTGTTAGGTCATCTGTAACAGGTATGTCTAGTTCCTTGCATCTCGCTGTCCAATAGTTGACAAGCTCCACACGGTATGAGCTGGTGAAGGCACCATAGTACGCAACACAAGCAGCAGCCACAAACACATTGCCTACGACATTACCAATCTCCTTGTTGAATTCCTATAACAAAAAGTAAAACGATGTGATGTCATTTCTCTTTGTAAAGAAAAATGATTTCATATGCCAGGCCCTAATCGAAGCCTTTTCAGATTGATTGAAGGATTCGATTGAATATTATCCATTCTTGCAGTCCAAAGTCTGAATTGCAATGGTTACAACCGTTTACAATGTATATACATGATAAAAGCAATTACACAATAATTATTACATTTTTAAAATACTGCATCAGTATTTTGTTATTTGGATGCACTACCAAGTTTTTTCAGTATTTCTTCCACCAAGTGGATAAGGAAATTATCTATTTTTTTTCTCATAATAATGGTACTCCTTGAGAGAATGTCAAAAATATATTCTAGTAACAGATGCAATATTTGTCCATGTCACTGTGATCATACGTACCTTGACTGTTTCCTCCCAACGCCCTTGTTCATCTCCCAGAGCAGTGGTCAGTTTGCCAGCCCTCTTCAATCTTGCAGCTGTCTGTGCCATGTTCTTGGAAAGTGTTTCTTTCTCATTCACACTGTGTTCATAGGAGGCTTGAAGTTCTGCAATCTGGGCTTCAACATCAGCCAGCTTCTTCTGCTTTTCTGCTAGGACAGACATTACGGCTGCCAATTCTCCCTCAGCTTCAGCCAGTCTGAAATGACAAGGAAGGAATTGAAAGTGGAATTGTCTAAGTTGAAAATCAAGAGACCAATTAATGTAATTTACATGACGAGAAAGTTTAACTACAGAATTGAGCATTAACAGCATTGATGTGATTCATAATTTTAACTTACTTTTGCTTCTTAGGTTCGACAGTTTTGAAGACTTTGGCATACAGATCCATGGCTCTCACCCACATGCACATAGATTTGCAGGCCTAGAAAAGTGAGAAAAAGAAGGTACATGAATCTTATGAACATGGTGATCGAAACACACACATTTCACATCCAATTTCATACTCTCTACCAATTAGAGGAGCTAAAATCTGATCAAACATGGTTAGAGATATTCAAAGGATAATGTTGGAATCGTACACAGATACTACTTTAAGTTAACATGCTGGTTATAAAAAATGCTTGAGATTAGAAATGTTAAATATATGAAGTATACCTTTCCCATGCTCAATCTATCTTTGTAACAATAATGTGCCAACAATGTCAACCATATATGGATGTCATCAACAACTCAATTACTGTTCTCAAATGCCATAAAATTAGGTAAAACATATTCTGCTGTAACCAATGAGTTATGTTAAAAGTAAAAAGAACTACCATCAAATTATGAAATAGGATAATTAACATTTTGGTTCCTACAATATCAATGTTATGACGGATCTTCAGTCTACATACCTTGGATGTCTTTTCAACAATATCAGGCACAAACTTTGGATTTTCAATGTACTTCTTGAGCTTCCTAAGAAGGGAGTCTGCAATATTTTCTTTGTCATAATCCATCAGTTTCTTCAAGAAAGTGGGATCGCCCAACAACACCTTCGCACTTGGCCAGTCAGGTCTGTGGGATAATAAGAATACAGTGCTCAATGTCTCAAAGAAATTTCATGCACTATATTTCTAAATCATGCAAACAAATCTGCCATTACTTCAAATTATTTCATGCACTTACTCTATCAGGAGCAATTATTTTAATTAGGTAACTTTGCAATTGTTTTGCAAAAACACAATTAATATAACATATTTGTCTCATGGTAGTACATGTCAGGGAAATGGTGCTCACTTGTATGCGGCAAAAAATGAGAAAAATAGTTGCCATACAGCTTGTATCATCTGTTTAGAGCCAAACAGTTGCTAACTCTACATTATAGTATGTAAGTAAAATGCCCTTCCGGCTCAAAACTGACATTATCATGTAAACATTAATATCAACAAAAAAGCTAGCTTCCTTTATCCTTAATCTAATCATAAAGCTTTGTGACTCACTTGACTCCGAGTAAGATGCAAATGGACTCCATGACTGTCATAACCATGTCGGGCGGTTTATTGAACACCTTCAACTCGGCTACATCACTCTTATCTAAGGAATCCAGGGCTTTGTTGGCAGACTCTAGGGCAGGTAGAGCCTCATCCAAGTCTCGCTGGGCATCATCGGCAATGGCCTGGGTCTCCTCGGCCTTCACCGTGGCTGTTGCTTCATCATCAAGCACAACTTTCCTCACCTTTGAGAGAAGAACAACAACACAATCGTTAGTTCTCCAGAGTTTTGTCCACAAGAATAAAATAGCTTCAAATGCCGTCCCTATATTCAGATCGACACACAAGTACCCAAAATTATTTAGATAAATGTTCCTTTAAAACTAGACATAAGGATTCTGAAAGAGCATGCATTCATTGGGACATTGGAAAAGGCATTAGGGTTCGTTTCTTACTAATTCATAATTTTGAATTGATTTATGTGTGTTGGTTTCACCAGCTCAGAAACAAGCTGAATGTAAGAATAGATATAGCCTATATGATCGAGGGCTTTGCCTCTAAAACTTGTAGCTCTGCAGTTCATCGCTCACCACTTTAAGTGACATATCAAAGATGTCATCATATGGGATTGTATCTTAATCTTTGAATATCACCACTAAACTTTAACTAAATGAAACTTTCACTACTGTAAACAGAGTTATCTCTCATGTTAAGGGGATCACCATGCTACAGGGCCATTATACATGTACTTGACAAACGTCAGTAGAATCCATACTTATGCATACCTGATCAGCCTTTTCCTGATCAACAGCTAACTTCTCCATGAGGATTTCTGTATCAGCAGATTTCTTCTTCAGCTCGGGTTCTAGGGCTGTCAGCTGAATCTCCATGTCGGCTACAAGGTCATTGGTCTCCAGGAGCTTTCCAAGACCATTCTTTACACGGTCTCTTGCATTCACCAATTGCCTTGGTTGCGATAATGTAATTGACAGAAAATAAAACAGATTTCCAATGCGTGAAACTTAAGTGATTTCTCATACTAGCATCATTGACACATAGATTACACACAAGTAAAGACACAAATCTTATACAGCACTCAAAGAACAAGGTATTTATTGTTTTCTGAGGCAGCTAAAAGAGGAACAAATCATCATATTGCATTTAATCATTCCTTTATCTGCTGCAATTCCCGTGTTCCAATACGCTTCATATGTATCACAGCATTTGACCAAAAAATTATAATAATAATAACAATATTTATTAAGCGCAACATATCCATCTCTAGAGATGCTCAATGTGCATACAAATAATTTAAGATTAAATAAACATTAAATGTTAACTTACATTAGATCACAGATCACACAACCTCATGGTGCCATGGTACATACAATGTGGCACAGTGTGATTATTCATTGTGTATGCATGAAAGAACATGGAAATTTAACAAGCATCCCTTATTACTGTAAATATATATGATAAAAATTACCTTCTCTTTTCAGACAGCATAGAGAAATAGAGATTGATGAGTTCTAGGTAGCTGGTAGGAGTGGTGTAGTATCTCCTCCTAAGCTCGTTATAGTACCGCTCAGCCATGGAGCTGACACTTGTGTGGATTTCTACACACATCTCTGCAACTTTCTCCTGCAAATGGCATACAATGGTGTTACCACAGTCATGAATACATATAAGATCAGGTAATAAATGACAGCCATGATATCAATCAATGTACATATGAGGTACACATCTAAGTGTGCAAGAAGAGGATCAAATGTATTTCCATTTGCCTTTCTTCTTGTAGCTTTGGAATAATAATGTATATTGCCAAAAGAATGCATCAACTACAAAAGATGATGCTGCACGTCAAGACAATTATTTTAGAATAAACATGGTTGACTTGACATGAACTTATCGTGTACTTGAACAAAAATCATGGAAAGGGGAAAGAGGGCAATTTTGCATCAGTTAAGACTGAAAAGGGAGTAAAACACCTGCGACTAGTCCTTTAGATACAAACATCAAAAGACAAAACTGAAATATAAATTTTATCTGAATATGTAAATAGTGTGATCCTTGAAAAAAAAATCTTACCTTCAGATCATCACGTCCAAAGTCCATGTTCTCAAAGAAGGTTTTCGATACAGAGAGCAAGGCTTCCTTAGGCCACTCCACGAACCAGTCAATGGTACAGCAATTGACCAACGACGGGAACATACGACATCTTGCCCTGAAGGAGTCTCCAACAGGACTCATACACAGCACGATATGGAGGTTCTTCCGGACGCGACTGATGAAGAAGTTGTAGATTTCTTCTCTGTTGCCTTCTGAGATTCCTGCTTCCTTGGCAGCGGGCCGACAGCCGATGATCACCCTCTCGTACTCATCAGGTTCAAAGAGATTGGGCACCTCTCCAGAGTTGAGGATATTGTTGATATCTTCAAGAAACTCTTCAACTACGATCTATTTACAGAATGATAAAAATTGGATCAATGCTTCCTGATCAATGGATCTATGCTTTAAGAGATTGGGCACCTCTCCAGAGTTGAGGATATTGTTGATATCTTCAAGAAACTCTTCAACTACGATCTATTTACAGAATGATAAAAATTGGATCAATGCTTCCTGATCAATTGATCAATACTTTATGTACAAACCAAGCAGCAGTAATTAGAAGTAGACATAATTTATTGTTGATGTCTTCGAAAACTCTTCAACTACAATATATTTACAGAATGATAAAATAATTGGATCACATCTTCCTGATCAATGGATCAATGCTTTATGTACAAGCAAACAAAGCAACAGTAATTAAAGGTAGACATAATATATATTCATATCAAAGATCATTTTCCAAAATCTATCATTTTAACTTTAAATCTATGTATTCTATGAACATATATATACATAAAAGAGTAAAAGAATAAAGACTTGTGAATTGTTACTAAAGAACAGTATTTTTACCTGTGTGTCTGTGAAGAGGAAGACAGTATTATCATTGTTCACTCCAGCCATGGTGTAAAGCTTCTTCAGATCTTCATGGAAGGAGTCATAGTTGTACCCACGAGACAGCTCGATCTGAAAGCACTTGTAGCCACAGATATGGGAGGCTAACCTTGTCAGAGACTGCTTGCCGGTACCACCCACACCTACCAGGAGAGCATTGCCACGCTCCTGACGGATGATACGGATGATCCTAGAGGTAAAAGAAATGAAATTTATGTTACTTCTACTCAAGAATGGTTTAAAGGTAAAGATCAGTTTTGGAAACACCCCCCTCTCAAAAAATGAAATGGAAGCTCTTATTACCAATCATGTGAGAGAATATGTTTTGACTAATATGTGATGATTTGGTAAATTATTATATCTATTTGGACCTGATAGATATCACGCGCGTGTCACAAGTCCCATATACATCTTTCTGTGTACACAGCTTGTAACTTTACCAAGACTGGGCCAATTTTCTTATCATTTTGATGATTCCAGAACCTTGTAGTTTCTTTCACAAGGCAATCGCATGACTTCTACTTGTCAAGAATGTTTTTCTTCTTTCATACATATCATCAAACAAGGTAATATATATATAGATAAAATATTTGATGGAGTATGATGACCTAGCAACTCAGTTTTCAAAAACAATAAAAGCTGCATAATGTTATTCTTAAATCTACATTAATGTAATCATACAAAACTGGTGAATAAATTTATTGCTAGGTGTCTGTAGGAGCTATGTACAATTTTGTAGAATGACATAGTCACATGACATTGTGATGTCATGGAGATGAACCCAATTAAAGTTCATATAAATAATCTCGGGAGCAGTTTACCTGGCAATGTGCTGGACAGCATCCAAGAAGAAAACCAGTTTCATCTCCTTTGACGAACTCATGTTGAAGTCATCCAAATACTGGTAGAGTTAAAGTAGAACGAAAAGTCAAAAAGTAAACAATACATGTCAATAATCAAATCTAATAAATTAACAACAACCAAACCCCTCCCCCCAAAAAACAACAACAACACATAAACAACTATGAAAGATAACCCCCTCCCTCAATAAAACGTGGATTGTCACCATAAACAAATCAATAGAATTGCATATTTTTAGTTTGCTTTTATCTATTGAAACTACATGTGACTTGAAATTTAAAAGCACCAGCAATGAAATGATTTTTGTTGGTGTACATATCAGTATATAGAATGTGAATAATAGGAGAAGTTGAACACTCACATCACCCAACACATTCTTGAGTTTGTTAAGATCTACAATGTCTTCATAGGATCTGTCAGCTTCCTCAGCACCCGCTTTCATGAAGTCGCCAAAGATGATGGGTTTAGTGACAAACGTCTCAGGCTCAATGTTCTGACTGAAATGCTTGCTGGCCATCTCGGACATGATCTCCATGAAGTACTTCTTGTCCTCGTTGTTGATGAGACGGTCGTGGAAGACGCGCTGGCACTCGTGGCTGAAGATGCGGAAGATGGCTACTTGGTCACGGATGATGCCAGGATCTGCCTGCAGAACACCTGATGGAAGAAAATAATAATATTAATAATATATTAATTTGTAAAGCGCAGTAACTATGTATGCACTTGAAGACTGATCAGCTTTGGTGTGTGCTGGTTAGAGCTTACAATGTTTTTTTTTATAGAATTGTATGAATTTATGGAAATGAAAGATCAAAATTTGAAAGAACCCTTTTTTTAAAATCAAGGGTAACATATAAGTTATACAAAATTACAAAAATGCAACACTAGTTGTTGAAGGGGTTTTATCGTCAAAATGGAATACTTGAATGGTGACCAACTGTGATTTCAATTACATGATCAAACTTCATTACATTAAAGCGGGACTGCACTACTTGTAGCTACTTGTGCCCTCTATATAGCCAACAATGCCTAAGCAGTACCCATTGGTCCCCCATGATTCCCCTTTTCTTATGTTAATTGAGAAAAGATTTGATGAGATAACCACCTGCTAGTGACCATGCAGTACGTGAGGCCTAATCCCTCCTGGCCAAACTAGTGTAGAAAGGCTTTAATAACTTGCTAAAATTTCACCAAAAAAATTTGTCTGTCTGAGGAGATCCACAATACTGACAGCTGCAGATGAGACTAGGACTATATGTACAAGTGAATTTGGTGGTTTGAAGATTCCTCGTACTGGCCATCAAGTAACTGATTCCCATGGAACTTTACATTTGAGACGCTTTAATTATGCACCGTTAGCTTACCCTGAACACATTTGGAGAGATCCCTAAGGTTGAAGACGTAGTGAGATTTAGCTGGTGTTGGCAGGAGATCAGTACTCATACGTCCATAGATATCGACGGCTGCTCCCACGATATTATCCACTTGTTCCCTCACAGCTTGAGGAAATTCAGCCAAGAAGCCACTCAGGATGGACTACATCATTCAAAAAACAGATAAATAAATTCAAAGTTAGATGCTGCTTATAAGTATCGGCTTGCATGGTGATGTAGATATACAGTAGGCTTACGGTTTACCATGTGAAAGAGGGGAAGGATTGGGGAGTCCTGAAAAGGACTGACGGTAATCTTTCTTTCTTGAAAGTTGTTTATAGAAAATAAAGATGGATAAGTCACGAACAATATCATAAGCATTCTTATTGGAAAAAAGACCAACATTATCATAATACTCTCTAGTAAATATATAACAATTTAAATCTAATGTTTTAAATTCTTAAGACAATTTTTTTTTTTTTGCATCACATCATTGAAACTTTGAAATTTTGCTCTTTAAATCACAAAATTAAGCCCCATTTGTTTTCGGTGTATTCAATAAGTTGCAATATTTTTTGTTTTTTTGTTGGGGGGGAGGGAGGGGGGGGGGGGCGGGTTCTCATTTGTTTTCTCTTCCTGAGGTAGATATTGTAACTGGCATGTGATGGCTGCTGCTTCTCACCTTGAAGATATGCTTTAGACTGTGGTCCGAGGCTGTAGGTACACACAGCATGCTGAAGTGACGCATGAGACGGGGTGTGACAGGATTACGACCACCACCCGGCGGGGCACAAGCCGATGCTAGGGTCACGTCCTACATGAAAGAAAACAAATCAAAAAAGCTATCAACATTACATATGCAGATAAACATATACCCATGAGTATGTATCTATCTCAACACTCGATATTCCCTAACTAATCAAATGTATACAGAGTAAGACAGAATCAGATTCAGTGGTATATCTGATGTTTGGAGAGAAGAAGGGCATGAATTCACAACAGTGTTAATGACCCTCTGGCTCCAAACAGACAGTATGTATGCATCGGGACACCAAAAGTGTGAAATTTTACCAACACCCATATGATTGAGACCTAAAATAAGATTCTTTGATCTATTCTTATATTCATTATTTATTTTATTTTATTTATTTATTCATTTAATTATTTATGTATTTAAAAACTTTAAAAAAAATGTTTTTTTTTTTTTTTGTTTTTTTTTTCCTCAGGCAAAATTTATTGTGATCAATACCAGGACAATCAGCACTACCACCACCTTACTCCATAAAAATTATGAACTGCTATACACCGATACGGGCGAATTTTCATGGATGTGAGCCCTCTACGTTTATCATTACACGCTGGGGGGCTTCTATCAGCTTGCGCTTTCATCTTGCATGCAACGATCATTGCTTTCTCACAGACAAACCACTTATTATTCCTTGCCGCTCTCGGACATTTCAACTTCATTTTGTCTAAATTTATTTCATTTACGATGGATGAATGGGTAGATGATGTCCGTCATTGGCGAGTTTTGCGTGCGTTTTCGGCAATCGAAGTTTGGGAGACGCCGTTGTAACGGTGCCCCACATATTCATTATCGTGTATGTTAACATGCAGATGATTTTATTGAATTGAAGAGAGTGAGAGACGGAATGATTTAGAGTTAGAATATAAATAATTCAAGGAATTTTAGCTAGCTGGAGCAGAGTTGTGAGTTCGATCTTACGGTACGGAGGCACTCTCACCACACCGCCAGTAGATGCGGGCCTAAGTATGAACGAGCTCTCGCTCATTCAACTTTCCCATTCAGGTGCTATCCAGAAGCCCCCCAGCTGCCCCCCAACTGTAGCGCCACTTACGGCGGCTTGCGTGGAAGGTCGCCCAAAGTGTATTTGTGTATATTGGTACCTTTGTACATCACTGAAAAGTCACTGGAAGTAGAAGTAATGAAATACTAGATGACTGTTCAAAATAGACGGAGACTATATAGAGGAGGTGAGTGAAAAATGAGTATGATGTTTACCTGGATGTCTTTCCAGAACATCTTCTCCCTGTCGTAGAATCCTCCAAAGTCTTGGTACTGCCTGAGGAGCTCAATGGGTGGCTGTGAACCGTAGGTATCCAGCTTAGGCATGTTCAGATCGTCCACGAAGATGATCACCCTCTTTCCGATGGGGGCACCTACAATCATAATCATTCACAACAGTAATTAGACTCTTTCACAGAGAATAACCATACACAAAGATTTTGCATTTTGAATAACTTGAGAAATGAAAATGCTACCATATAATCAATAAAACACTCTGTTTAAGCTTTATACCTGTTTAAAAACTAGCATGGCCAAGGGTCTTTATTAGATGTCTTTTTTTATAAGGAAATAAAGCCTGAATAACACTGAGTAAATATTGGATTTATTCAGTACATTTTTTGATCACGTAAGATGCCATAATCTATTTCCTCCATCTCAAACAGTTTCATAATCCTAAACTAAAACCATATTTATAACATATAATACAATTTCAACACGTTAAGTGGTTTTCAAATGAAAAATGAAATTTGATTTACCAAGAATGGTCTTTCTCTTCTTCTCTAGCTTGCCCTCTATGATCTCTTGTGTCCTCTGACTGCTGGTCTGAGCAGAGAAATTCATGAAGATGGGAACATAGTCGGCCTTATCTTGAATTCCTTCCAGCAGGGCTCGCGCAATCACAGACTATGAAAACCAAGTGGGAAAAGAGAGGGAAGCAAAACAAAAGAGTCTCATTAGTGTTATGTTAATATCATGTTAATTAACATCTTCTAAAATATCAGAGAGGTTGACATTTAAAAGCCTGCAAGGAAATGCAATGTACGATTTCACACCTTCATCCAGTATTTTGTAACCATAATCAGGAGAGCGTAGCAATTTCAGCAGTGGACTCAGTACTGAAAGTCATTTTGTATAGTGCCTAATATACATGTTCCCTCAAATATGATTTGATGCCACAGGCTCCCCTAGTTGTTTGCCTAAAGGCCTATGCACCTGCTTTTATAGTATCTCCTGTAATATAAACACCATTGTCATGGCATAGACTAGGTACAAAACAACTTTATAATACAATCTTTCTACAGCACTGAAAAGGTTTCAAATTGATTCAAGATTTCTTTATAAATCTTTAGTTTATCATGTAATAACTGGTAACATTGGTAGACGATTGTTAATGATCCAGAAGTGGCCAAGTTATCAAAATATATCACAATACAAAAACTAGTAAAAGCATTGAAGAGTGTCGCAAGAATTTTTCTACACATATATGTATATCTGTAATGCATGTACACAAAATGATACAATCAAAGCAATCGCATGGAGAAAAAAAATGTGCATTTCCAATTTAAATTACCTTTCCTACACCGGTTGTTCCGGTGAACAAAACAGAATGGTTGACCAGGATAAGCTTCTCCATGAGGTATCCAAACCTGACCGTATCCATGGTGGGCACCAACATCTCAAAGAAGGGAACCTCTGGGTCGTACTTGAAGGTGGGGACGATCTTCTCCCACAGATCCATCCGTTTGCTGTCAAAGTCCATGTAGCAGCTCCACAGGTCTCCGTTGATAGGGAGCTGAGTGTATAGCAAAATAAGGCCACCAAAAATATTGAATAAGTAAGCCATTTTATATGAGTAGCACATTATGTGGATGTACTAGTCTTTAATATTTGAATTCTATGAATAAAGTATGGTGCTCCTTCAGCCTATGGTGTAAATACAGAACATAATTCCTTCAAAACCTTGACCTAGGACTGTGCTTAAGTGGTTGAATTTAGTTTACTGCAAGGGTGCTCATGCAGTAAAGATATTGTACTGTAACTTCAAACCTGCAGAAATAGAACAAGATGCCCCAAAAAACTACCTGAAGAATGACTTCTAAATACAGATGAACCCCAATCATCAATCTGTTAATGTCATATGATGTATAGTGTCTAGTGTCTCATGATAAATCTCTGATGTTTAATGCTTAATGCATGATGTCCCGATTGGGTAGATACATTATTTTCATCTCTTAATCAAAAGTAGCCTTTGTTCAGCAGATTGTGAGTTTTTTTCCATTTCTTATCAGTTAAAGGCTGTCTGTAATAGTTTGGCCATGGGGGATTAGACCTCCCTGCAAGGTGGTTATCTCATCAACTTGACGCTCTCAATTAACATAAGAAAAAGAGGATCATGGGGGACCGATGGTCACCGATTAGGCATTGATTTCTATATAGATGGAGCAAGTAGCTACAAGAAGTACATTGGGGCTAATCAAAAGTAGCCTTTGTAAAGAAGATTGCGAGTTATTTCCTTTTCACAGTTAAAATATGAACAAAACTGAATATCAAAGGAACATCTAATTACCTTGGCATCACCATTGTCCTCAAACTGATTCCTGATGAAAGTGTCAAAGGCATCCCAGCAGGACTCTATCAGGTTACCTCCGATGGCCCACAGGTAGGAGAAGACAAAGGTGGAGCAGATCAAAGGATGAAGCTTAGCAGTCTCGAGCTTGAGGTTGACATTGGACTTCTCATGGAACAGCAGAGCCTCCAACAAGCAGCAAAGTGTAGTCACTTTACTGACGTCCACCTGGTTTGGAAATTAACAGAATTGGCTGATTACTACAGATACAAAACTAGTAGCATTGGTTAGTAGCATTGGTTACTACAGATACCCAACTAGTAGCATTGGTTAGTAGCATTATACTACAGATACCCAAACTAGTAGCATTGGTTATTATCTTTACCCTTGTCTTCCTAGTTGGGGTAAATGAAGGCATTAAACATGAGGTAAGAAATGAAAAACACATCAAATTATTTTCTTGCAATGTATAATATCTTGACCATCACACTTGTCGTCTGGCATATTTGGGAAGTATAGATGAAATTATTCTGAATCGTCACTTTACATAGATCCCAGGTTATGAATAGACCAGTTCACGGTTCGCACATGTTCCAAATGACCATGAATATACACAGACCTTCAAAACATGAAGAGGTCCCACTTTGTACATTTTGAAATAATCACTCCTACAGCAATGGAGGTTGTACATAAATAGCCTTTGTTTCCCCTTTTCAAAGAATACTTCCACCTGTGTATCATGGAGTGCACTGCTTGTGCATAAATGATTACATAACTTTCATGAGCACGTATCCAGTATTTTGTCTCCATGTATTTTACAATTTGTTCTGCAATGGCCTTTATCTGCTCATGTTCAGACTGCAACTATGAACTGGCTTATTCAAGAAATTAATAAAGCTGACCTGATGAATGGCTTGAATGCACTTCTTGACCACAAACTTGAGCCCGTCGTCCACATAGTTAGTGAAGAGTTCTAGAATGTAGGTGTAGGTTTCCTCTTGAAGTTTGTCCTTGAATCTGGCAATCCATGTCAAGACGTAAGGATTCCATTTCATCTCACCAGGGTCTATGTACACCATACCACATCTGTGACAAAGAAAAAATACAAACTTGTAATAAAGTGATTACTTGGGGCTATATAGCTGTTAACATCCTTGCTTGAGCGGCCCCATATCAAGATGTACTAAATCCTTAAGACATTCAGAAAATCTTGTAAAAATGTCATTCTTTCAGATATACCATGTATACCAAGATATACATGCCTACAATAATTATGAGTGTGGTCATGCAGAGTAGATGCAGTACAAACAATTCTTGTACAAAATGTAGCCTCCTAAAACACTTTGAAAATTTGGATCACAGAGTCATCAGATCAAGCAGCTTGCCGAAAACCTCTCAAAAGATGATTTTTGTTCCTTCTTCATTTAACATGCATATCTCGATACTATCATCATACTTGAATATTACTGTAAATGCAAAGGTGATTTCACCTTGATCCCGTTCTCTAAATGCTTCCTTACCTGCTGACAGTAGCAGGAGAAGCAACGGCCAAGTCCTGGACTTCAAACACCATGTGAATCGAGTTGGATAGCTTGATACGCTCACCGTTTGCCAGACATAACATCTTGTTATCATCCAAGACAGTGTTCATGTTCTCAATCCACAGGGCATCTACAGGACCATCACATATGATCCACTTGTGATCATCCGTGGTATCCTGGACAATTAAAGGTTGGAAAATAGAAAGCACTGTCAGATCGAGTAGGCTTTTATGAAGTAGTGATATTTTCAATTAAACAGTCATAGTCCAATATTTGCTTAAACTTAATTATTCGATTTTAAATACAGTGTACACAGTTGTTGAATAATACTGGATGCTGAACACATAATGAATACTACAATGGACATTGCTTTTGCTTTTGAACAAATTGTCCTTGTACGAAAATAGTGGGTGCACATAATGAGGATTTGCAATATGTTGACAGTACAAAATTTAAGCTTTTTACTTAGTATTTGGCTTAGATAAAATACTAAGCCAATTATGGTATTCAATTCACACCTTTGGCTAAGTATTTTACTCTAAATCTAAGCCAACTCCATACCAGACTTAAGCCAATTATTTAGAGGCCTTGACTGGCAGGCATATGGTTTTCTCACGCAGTATTATAACCTGCCACAATTATATCAGCGCGCATTTATTGCAATGCATCAATTGCGCATTACTTTTGATTGACCGTGTGACGTCACAATGCTTATCAGTAAGTATTTTACTTAGATTTTGTCTTAGGTAAGTATAAGTCTAAACTGCGATTTGAGTACGAGATAAGTAAATTACTTAACTTAGCCATTTACTTAGTAAATTTCTTACTTATGCTAAGTATTGAATTGAATACCGGCCCAGAAATCTTATCATCATTTAGATCTGCAACAAACTTTTTCTACTCTTTTCAATTCCTTAGAAAATAAAGTGAAGTTAAGCAGTCATGTTATCATACTTTTGGGCCCATATTCATAAAACCTTACTAAGCCAATTTGTCAACTAACTGCATAACATACCTATGTAATTAGTTGACAACTAGCTTGGTATTAAGGTTTTATGAATATGGGCCCAGGGGGTGTTTCACAAAGACTAAGATTGACTTTAAGTTGGACTCAACTATGGCAGGCCGTTCATGCCACTGTTTTCTCTCACCATTATGATCTTTACATAATATTTTTTCCTTCAATAATGAATTATCAAAAAATGTAAATTCTGTAGATTTGTACGTCTCTTGAGAGACCAATTAATGCCAGTAAACGGTGAGCAAACATCGGCATGGTGTATACATGTAGGTCTGGAAAATTCCTTGTTTGTATGATAAAATTGAAAATTCTTTAATTCAGTAAATACTCAAACGGTTTCTCTTGCCTAAATAAATCGCAAATTGACTGTACATTTAGAATACTAAGAAAAAAAATACAATGCCCGAAAATAGAGGCTGACTGGCATTGAAATAGTTTACTTACATTAGTAGCTTTCCTGACGGTAATTCCCATCAGTCCATCCTGCCACTCGAGAGTAAGCTTGTTGATCTCTCCGTACAGCTCACCCATAGTGACGGATTTAGGGTTGAGTACGTAGCGATGAACGGGCTGGTAGTACGACACATCTTCTCCTGCAGCATGTAGGTCCGTCAATGTCTTGGCCAAACACTGCAGTCAGATCAAACAAGGTATTGGCATCAGATATGGAATATATACAAATCCAAATTGATACAGTCAAACCTGCTTTAGTGACCACCTGTCTAAAAGACCACTTTTTATGTTTCCCTTGGGTGGTTGCTATAGACAGGTTTGACTGTACTAGGCTGTGTTTTCCCCTAAAGGTACAAGAGCTTGTTCCGGGTAATAACATTCAAATTTGTATAGTGCGTATCATGTTTAAATATAAGGGGTTTACCCACTTCTAAAGTACTTTGCAAATTGCTTCCCTGGTTTTAATTCATGCTTAACAAATTATTTAGAAATATTTATTCATTAAAAAAAAAAAACAGATTCTTCTACATTGCTATTCTGCTTCATTTCATCACATAAAAAGTTTATCAAATTTCACTTTCAGATTCCTCTTGACGGTCAAATTCTATTTAAACAAAAAGATCTTCATTACTCATACTCATAAGGTTTAAACAAAAAACACTGTGAGTGTCTACTTGATACTGACTACACTTCTTACCTCGTAGACAGTTGTCTTGCCACCCCCTGTGGGTCCAACCAACATGACTCCATGCCTGACAATCATAGTCTCGTAGAGCTGAATGACCTTACTGACCATACACTGCTTCGGCTGAAGACCTTTGGCCAGTAGGGAATCGATGATGGTCTTCTCGAGGATACCATAGTCATGCTCTGGAAGCACGCAACCAGGGAACAAATCTGACAGGATGCCCTGTGGATATTAAGACAGTCAAAGAGATTTCATCTAAATTTTGTACATAATATACATACAGAAAAAGGTTGATCTAAATGAGGAGGATGCTTGAGACAAGAAGAAATGGAGGGAGGGATAGTCATCATGGCGCAAAAGTCAGTGAACCCTCGTATGAGGGAAAATGCTGAATTTGATAAATGATGATGATGATGCAAAGAGGTGATAGAACCCCAAAGATATACATTACGTTTCAAAACCACAAATCGATTCCTGTTCATTATCTGTAACTGGAAATTCTAGCTTTCGAATGGTATTGGACTTATCAACCACTTTCATTACTACAATCGCTAATTAAGTCCGAGATAGTTTGAGCAACAGAGTCAATTTTATGCCACAGAGTCACAGATGAAGGTGATACAGCACGGTATGAAAATCAAATTGCTAATACAAATCTATTCAAGGTACATTCAAACCTGCTTTAGTTTAATATGACCTGTATAGAAAGACCACCTGCATGTCTACCAAGACCACATTTTGTGTTTCCGTTGAATAAAGTTTCTCACTGAAACATGTACTAAAGGAACCTGTACATAAAGACCACCTGCCTATGAAAACAACTTTTCTGGTGGTCTTTATAGACAGGTTTCACTGTATATGCAAGTCATGTTCTTAATATTTTCAAACTCACCTTGAACAAGATAGCATCATCTGCCAAGAACTTGGGCAAGTTACTGTCCCTCAAAGCCCTGATGAGCACGATATCCTCACCCAAGTCTGGGTTACCACGCTTGAGGGCTCCAGCCATCACCAACACAGACTTGACGGCTCGCATCCCAAAGTCATAATGATCCTGTTGCGACAGCTGCTCGGAGCATAGCTTGTACATCTGCGTCATCTTGCGGGCCAGGTTACGGGAATCTTCGAAGCCCTCAGAGTACAAGATCACCTCTGCAATAAGGGCTGAAGGAGGAAAGCAATAATGAGAAGACATTTAAAAAAATATATTCTTTTATAACAAATTCCTGAATAAGTTTTTACTAGGTACAGGCAAACCTGTTTATAGCAACCACCCTAGGGAAACACAAAAAGTGGTCTTTGAAGACAGGTGGTCTTTGTAGACAGGTTCCTTTAGTACATATTTCAACGAGAAACCACTTTCAATGGAAACAAACAATGCAATCTTTGTAGGCAGGTGGTCACTAAAGCTTGTTTGACTGTACTGTACTGTAATGAAGAAAGGTGGATAGACCTTTGACCTTTTCACATTTAATCTCCTGTTTACACGAATAAAACTACTATTACTATTACTATCATTTGTATCTGTTTAATTCAGCATAAAATTAAGTATCCCTTTGTTTATGTAACTATTCTATCTTACTCATGTGCCTTTGTTTATGCAAATGCTTTCATAAGATCTCTCTCTCTATTTATGTTTTTTGTTTTTGTTTCACACAAGTGTTCCTTGAACATTTGCTTTCAAGTGTATTCAGCGCCTTACCAATCTCATAATTGATTTTATTATAATTATTATCATTACGATATGAATTTAGTAGCCTGACTGATTTTGACAGAAAGCCAAAGGTCTTGAAAAATCTTGAAAATTGAAAATTCTCTCTACATTTCTTCTTTCTGGGACCCATTTCACAAAGCCTTCTTTCAATGACAAATATCAGTGACAAATCTGCTGATAGCCAATCAGAAGCAAGGATTTCACTAGCTTATAACAAAAACTGTCATTTGTCACTGAAGTTTTGTGAAACCCCCCCCCCCCCCCTGGTCATCTCTTTGAGAAAGGGCTTACCATAGTCTGGAACCATCATAGCAATGGGTCTAAAGAGAGCCTTGAGGTTGTCAGGTAGCTCAGTTCTTCCTGCATAGCCAGGGTTCATGGTGATGAATGCAGCACATGTAGGGATCAGCTTGATCTCACGACCTTCAAACATGAACCTAGAGAGCTGAAATCAATCAATAAGATAATAAATTATAAGTGAGTATAAGATGACTAACATTGAGGATCCATTGTTTTACTTGTAATGAATGGAATTGCAGTCTTGAGATTTTATCCTTCAAAAAGATTCTGAAAAAATCATGGCTTTTGTGATGGCTTTTTTATACTTTCTTATATCATCTTTGAACATGCTATCAAAAATTAAGGATGCAATAATACAGATTTGTAGGTAATTCCCTGTCTTCTTCCCCCCCCCCCCACCACCATTTTCTGATGAAGGCTATTCATAAAAAATTAAAACAGATATGAAAGAAAGACCAAGACAAACAAACCTTGGCAGCTTTGGCATTCCTGATGGTGATGAGCTGCTGAGCAATTACAGACAACACCTCAATACTGATTCTATTGAACTCATCAAAGCAACACCAAGCTCCAGACTGGGCTAGACCAGAGAAGAACTTTCCCATCATCTTGTAATCCAGGTCATCAGAGCAATTGAACACCACACACTGCTTAGCTAGACCCTTGGCCAGATCTTTGGTGGTCTCTGTCTTGCCAGTACCAGCCGGACCGGCTGGAGCTCCTCCCAGATCTAGCTGTAGAGCTCCCATCAAACACAGGTAGCAACGATCCTATACAAACAAAGAATAGCAATTAAATAAGTGAATCAGTAGATGTATATTAAAAAAATCCAAACATTTTGATTTCAGAAGCATTACTATAAGTAGCTAACAATGAACATTTCAACAATTAAAAAAACTGCTCTCCATAAAAATGAATGGAAACTATTTTCACTAAGATAATGATAAATGATCACTTTCTAATGAATATTTAGGTTCATAAATAGCACCATGAACATGCTAAAATTAGTTTTTGACTACCTATAACTATTATATCTCTAATGGGAACTTTCTTGATCAGAATAGAGTGGTGAAGTGTGACGCCATTAAAAATCTAATTTTAGAATTCCTCAATTTTTTCTTCATTTTCGGAAAGAGCATCAACAATAATGTCCAAATGTCGAAAACCAATTGAATATGTTAAGTATTGACTGATATATTGACCATCTGAATAAATATATGTCCTATGGGAACTCAGTGTTATATGCTCTGGCTCCTAACCATTAGGAGCCAGAGCATATAACATTGAATTCCTATGGGGAGTATATTTATTCAGATGGTCATATACCAGCCAATACTTAACATATTTAATTGGTTTTCGACATTTGGACATTATTTTGCATGCTCTTTCCGAAAATGAAGAAAAAAATGAGAAATTCTAAAATTAGATTTTGATGACGTCACAGCTTCAGTACTCTATAGATAAATAATAACAATTAAAATGCAATGTATGAAAACTATTTTCTTACGGTGAGTGGTGTGATGACCAAACGAGCAGACGCCCCAAGATACTCGTAGCCATAGATGTACTGTGATGTAGACATGCGTACTACACAGTTATCAAGCTCAAGGTCCCAGTAGTAACGCAGTTGCTTGACCCATTCAAAGTTATTGCTGGAGTCCACTTGGTTCTTGACCATGCTGGTGATGATGTCACGAGCATGGACATCAATCGTGATTTGAGCTCCAATGATGGCTCTCACAAGCTTGGGTAGCTCTCCTCGTACCATGGCAGCCAGGGCAAACAGGTTCTGGAGTAAAAGTTAACAAACAAAGAAAGGCATGAGCACCATAGACCAATAAACAAAGTAAAATAGGAAAAGGTAGTGAAAGTATATAATGAAGAAATGAAAGAACTGGAAATGTTATACACTTATATGCAACAACTTCCTTCCTTATTAGAACAACTATATTCTATCAAATGACTGAAGAACAAGTTTTTAAAAAACATTTTTTCATATTGATAATCCTGATTTGTTTTCTGTACAAAAACAAGATCTAAGTATCACAGTAAAATTTGTATTACAATTCATGATGCTGCATTTAATGAATGAATGAACAGGCTTACCTTAATGTTTGTCTGTTCAAACTCCTTCATGGCTTCAAGCCTGTCCCCAGTATTCTCCAGAACCTCTGTCACATCTCGGGCCCACATAGTCTGAGATACGGTCAGCACAACCTGTAATGTAAAAAAACCCAGATAGTTGCATTCTTTTCAGGATCAATCAACAAAAGGATATTATACTGCTTCTAGATAATAGTATTGACCATTACTTTATGATGTTGTCTGTATTTTGTAGAAGAGTCAGCAGAATAATGGCAAACTTCTTCCACTTTTTCCTTTTAATTCAAATTTCTAAATAGAGTCATTTCCACACCACAATCTTTTGAAATCAGATGTATTCATTAACATCATTGTTAAGAAACTCTGCTTTTATTAAGTCAATGACTACTGAATTCTCATATTCCTATGGGCTTAATACAAGGATTATCCGGTTCCTGTAGGCAAAGAGTTAAAACATTTTCTTGAACACGAAATCACTCTTAAAAATCGGGCTCAGAAGGGAAGAAATAGCCTACCTGTGATGGGTTGCTGGCGATCCATTCTTCCTTGGATTTCACCTCGTAATCAGCGAGAGCAGCCTTGGTGATACGCCTGAGAGAAGACATCATGGCCTCCTCCACCTTACCCAGCCAGTCTTCCACGTTACCTCTGGCCTTGAGACCTTTACCTAACCCAACCTTCTCATTCTCAGGAGAGATCATCGCAATGATGTCGTTGGTGCTCGTAGTGGCTTGATCTGGACAAAAAAATCAGAGAAAAACATGAATAAATAAGTCAAACAACAAGTATCTAAAAAAGAATAGGACGTTAAATGGAGGCCCCTTGTAGAGGAGAGTCACTACCTTTGCACGTTAAGAACCCACATCACTATTCGTATCAGAGTAGGGGAAACCCCAGTGTGGAGGTCCACCTGCACACCCCCAATCAGTTTTATACTGGGAGGAGAGACCCGAGTGATTCATTCCGCTTTTTCGCCTCCCAGGCACAGGTAAAATACTAAAAAATAATAATAATAACTACATTACTATCAAACAACTTTTAATCTTTATCAAAGCAGCACTTAACATATCAAAGAAGCAATTAATGGTTGTGAATCTTTTAGAATTCCAAAAAACTGTAAGAGGAGCTGAAGTATTTGAGTATGAAAGAAATAATTGACATTTCAGAAGAAACAAAATTCAATTGTAAATATTCATTTCTGACCTTTGTCTCCGGTTGGAGAGCTCTTGCCATCAGCAGCTACTGTACCAAACTCCAGCTTTTGGATGGCATCAAAACATTTCCTGAGATGTGGCTGTACAGCATGTGGGTTACGAGTCTGGGACAGAATCTCAAGCAGTTCATCATTGGACAAGAAGTAGAACCTGGAATGAAATGACGAGAACACCAGAAATACTGAATTATGTGACTATCACATCTGACAATTAACTTACAGAGTGCAGGTACTATATAAATCTACTCTACTACTCTAGCTGTAATGAAAAGAACTCCTACCAGTGCTTCTTTACGGACACACAACCAAAATCTATCCATAAGCTCCTGAAAACAAGCGCATCTTCAACAAAACTTTGAAGACAGTCACAGATGGAGATTATCTTATGGGGTTTTCCCTCATAGGCATAGCAAAGACATATAATTATTTGATTACAAATCATCAGCTTCACTGATTTGAAAGATGAACATTCACCCCTGTCAATAACACTCTGAATTGCAAACATCACGCATGAAGCTATCATGCACCACAGGCATCAATTCGTCCTTGTTTTCACGAAGTGACGGCAGTGAGGAAAATCGTAACGCAAAGTGAATGCAATTTTTTTTCACTACCGTCACTTCGTGAAAACAGCGACGAATTAATGAAAAACTGACAGTATGGGTAATTTGGAGATAGTTCAACATACTAATAGCCACGGGGGTTGCATTAAATTGCACTGATCGAATTCATAAAAGAACAATACAGACTTCAACAACAATCTCAATAGTATTCCCTTGATTACTACTGACCTTGGGAATACAGCTCTCTTGGACTCAAGGTAGGCTTCCAGACACTTCTGGATCTGGTCCAGAAGGGAGTTGTTGTTCTTGAATGTTTCTAAGAGACCAGGCTGTGTGGCAGCTCGGATGGCTAATGGAAGTCGGTTCACTTTCCGCATGATCTCCTTCCAAGATTTGTCACACTAGGATTGACAAGGAAAAAAGATAGAGATGTGAAAATAATCTACCCATTCTTAATGTTAGTAATGTTTGATCTTCTTGGTAATTTAAGTAATGTTAATTTCTTTAATTTTGTTAGTAATATTTTATTTTCTTGGTAATTTAAGTAATATCAATTCCATTAGTAATATTGATTTTTCTAGAAGTAATCTCGATTAGTGTACAGCGCTTTGAAACTTTTATGTCACAAATGCTATATAAATTTTTTGTATTATTATTATTATCATTAACCAAGATATGTACAAACAATACTGCCAACATCAAGTATCTTGGTATATACATTTCTATCACAGATGTGTCTAAAAAAGAAAAGTTGTTCAGTTGTTATGCTATGACTACACGTTTATTCAACCAAAATTGTCCAAATTACATGATGTCTGTAATTTCAATAAATCATTTTTAATCATAGCTAGCAGAAGCATGGGTCCGGTAACAAAACAATGATGCATACTCTACATCCTGATGTCAAAAACTACAAAAGAAATTTTATTCCCTTCTGGGCCCTGTTTCATAAAACTTGATATCAATAACAAGTTACAAGCTACTGTTATAAGCTACTGAAATCATGGCATCTGACTGGCTGAGAGCAAATTTGTCATAGAAATTTAGCATTTGTTATAGATAACAAGTTTTATGAAACAGGCCCCTGATCTTACCTGCATGAACATCTTAGCCTCAGCTGGAAGCTGTCTCTGGATATCTGGAGCGCTGAAGATACTCTCGAGGTACAACCAGTTGCGCTGACAGTTTATCCACTCTTCCTGTAAAGAGAAAATCAATAATGGTTTGAATTTTTAAACATAAATATCAACATAATAATGCACACTGAAATACCTTTACGTTATTTTGATTTCTTATATCTTCAGGGCAACTTCTAAGAAGCTCCAAATACATTAATCTTGATCTAAGGAGACACGAACGAACGAAGGGCAACTTCTGCAGCTTAATTCAATCATGTATGTCTTCGAGATGATTAAAGTATTAGAGCATGATCAAAGTTATCATCATCATCATTATTATTTCACATAGCACACTGCCTCATCAATATTTTCTCAACCGTGTAAGATGCAACAAAGGAAGTCAATGAACAATAAATAGACTTTACATATTTACTTATTTTTTGTTGATGTAAATATGTATTAAAATTATGGAAATAAAAACCTCGCTTGAGGATAGGAGGAAAAAAAAAGAAGACTTCAATAGACAATTCAACTTGTATAAATGTGTTTAGATAAATCTTGAACGGCCTCTTAAGCTGGACACGATTTCCACAAACTATCAAAACCACACTTCCGTATTCCTCACCAACTTACCAGTGTCTCATTGAAGAGAGCTAGATTCCTGACCCATTCATCCACCCTTGGTTTGATGGGGCCCACATGCCTGGAGCTAGCGATGGTCGTGATGTTGACCTGAGAGTCGTCCAAGAGAACCTGTATGTCATCCGTACCACCCAGGATGAAGACATCTTTAGTGTCACGGTGAGGTAGAACCGTGAACTCTGTGGTTTTCCAGGAGTCCTCAACCTGAAACAAGAACAACCGGATCATGCTGAACCACTTCCGTACTTGATGTTCTTTTATTACATGGTTCAATGTCACATGATATCAAGACTTTGTGTTCTGATCATGTTATTAAGGAAGAACATGTTAAATAAATGAACTTAATACAGAGATATGATTAGTATACGTGTAGTTGCATTAGGCTGTCGATTTCATGAAAATCTGATAGCTTGTAGGACCTGTGGTCTTAGAAAGTACCTGGAACATTTTGTTGTTAAACTTACGCACATCTTTGCTTTCCTGCACTCCATGGAAATTGAAATAAACTTTTATAAGTTTAAAATTAATTTGTTCGAAAGTGAAAAATAATGTGACCAAATGGCTTTTTACTGGGTAACTTGTGATGATTACCATCTTAAAAAGAGCATGATCCTTTCATCAATATTAGGGAACCTGAATACAAGCTTGTATTAAGAATAACTCCTATGACCAAAGTCAAACCTCCTCAGTGCATGGTATGAAACATGTGCAAAATAAAGCAAGCCCACCTTTTTGAGGAGAGATTCCAGGGCAGCTTCACTAGAAGCTTGACCAGAAACTTCCTCAATCTCTTCAGTGAAGTTGAAGGCATTCAGCTTGGTCATGAGGCCAAGGGTCAAAGGTTCCTCTGCAGTGAACTTGTGATTCAAGATCGTTTCCACTTTCTCCCAGTGACGTTTGTTAAGGGATGGGTTCCTCAAGTTGACGATGACTGGAAGCTACAAATACATCATAATTATGGGATTATTAGATTTGAATTTACAGCAGGAATACAACAGAACAAATCTCTTAACGTGTACAATGAAACATGGAATAATGTCATATATACAACAAGCCTGGTGCCAAACACCAAATCATTTAAGTAAAACGAAAATATATATCAGAAACAACAAATAAATACTCATAATATTAAGTATTCTTATAGTCCTTTTACATAGAGTAGGGTAAACATATCCCATATTTTACTGCTCTTAAATTATAAATTCTTTTAACTACTTTTATGAAACTGACCTTACAACCACAAAATATTCTGACTTCTTGTGTGGATCGAGTGCCAAGTCACATTTCACTCAAAAAGGGCATTCCAGCCTCTAAGACAATTATTAATGCTAATTGCTATGTCTTACATTTCTGTTTGTAAACAATAAAATAAAGACAAACCTTTTCCCTCATGACTTCCACCTTCTCCTTGAGTTTAGGAACAACATGGTTAGGAGGCAATCCTTTCTCAAGTTGATTTACTGACTTGCCGTACTTGGCTACGTTGGCTGAGAGGTCCTCAGGGTCAAGGTCATTGAAATCCGCCTATCAAACAAAACAATATTCAAGGCATTATTAGTTGTTTTTTTAAAACTCAGTTGTCACAAGTAGAAATAATGCAATTCAACACCATGGAGGTCCACAATGGGTTTAAACATGTACCAGTGACAGGTTAGAATTTTGGGTTCTAGGACCCCGGAAAATAACCTCCTAGGATTACCCCTTTGGTCGATTGCCCTGTAGCATAATAACCCTCCGGAAATTACCCTCTAGGACAACCATCCCCTGTGTTTGTGGGGGGGGGGGGGGGGGGGTCGCACATCATGTATTGAATTTTCACAATTGTCCTACAAGGTGAATGTAGGAGGGGGGTAATTGTCCAGGGAGGGGATTGTCTAGGGGGTAATTCTCCAGATATTTTGATTGTACAGGTTTGAAAATAAGCAAAAGGTTGATATTTATTTGCAACTAAACTTATTTGTGAAATATTAGTCATAAAGTGTGTTTGAAAATGTTTCAAAACATGGCTCATATTACACCAGCATGTAAGAACCCTGAGCCCTGAAAGTGAGTCCTGGATCCCAGCCACTATTGACTTTGTGCTTAATTTGCATACATCAGTTAACTCTCCTCCCACGCTCCAATTTTACACGGTTGAATATTTTTCTGAGGACCACACTGCTAATGGTGAATACACAACTTGAATGCTTAGCTTTGTTCTGAGATATCTTTAAAAACTTGAGTGGATTCTTAATAAACCCAAATTGAAAATAACATCCTCACAAAAAAGTTGAATAAAATATACCAGTAAAACAGACAAGAATTACTCAACGACAACTTTACAACATCTTTAGTTTTGGCTTTACACACAAATTCTGTACAAGAATTACACAATTCTGAGATCTTACACAATTTGGTATGCAATTTTCAGGACACAACCAGGCATCTTGCTTAAAATCATTCCTTTAACCTGTTGGCATAATTCTGATTTATCATAGGAATTGAACTCAGCAGGGCCCTATTTCATAAAACTTGATATCAATAACAAGTTACAAGCTACTGTTATAAGCTACTGAATCATGACATCTGATTGGCTGAGAGCAAATTTGTCATAGAAATTTAGCATTTGTTATAGATAACAAGTTTTATGAAATGGGCCCCTGGTTGGTACTTTTGTCATATAATGTCATATTGCTTACATCTGTCCATTCAGTAGTCATCACATCCCATTCATCCAGAGAGTCCCATAACAGCTGCTTGAGCTTCAACTCAGCGTGGGTCTCTTCTAGCTCCTCGTACTTGGTCACTTCAACCTGGAGATCGAAAGAGGGTAAATACATCAAGTTACAAAGTTGGAAGTGATTTGGTAGAACATTACATTATTGCATAACACAAAATTAAAGTGTAATGTCATTACAAAAGACATCTACTCCAAATATCATGGTTAGCAGGATCATTGCCTTTTAAAGCAGGACTATAAGTCTATGGCCGTACATGTCATGCTTGCCAGAAGCTGCATCATCCTCTTCATCATCATCATCATCATCATCCTCATAGCCTCATCATCATCATCTTCATCATCATCATCATCATCATCATCATCATCATCATCATCATCATCATCATCATCATCATCATCATCATCATCATCATCATCATCATCATCATCATCTTCATCATCATCACCATGTAGTTTCAATATAATCAAAAACTCAAATCACTGTTTAACATCCATCAATGCAAATAATTAGTCTTCTACCCATTTATCTCCTTTCTCCACAATATCATTTTGAAACTAACATCATACAGCAACGTTTTTATTGTTGGTCTTTTCCAAGAGCAGAAATGAAAATGGAAGTTCCTGATTAATTGATATTACCTTGAAATTCTTCTGGTATGACTTGAAGGTGAAGGCTTGTTTCTGTAGATCATTCAGAGTGGTTCCCAATTTCTGAAGGAGGTTTTTCACTTTGATTTTGTCAGCATTTGCATCCAAGATGATTGGGTTCTGTAATGCAAGTAGAAAAATTGTTAATCTCACAGATGGCTACGATAAACTGTATAAATATTTTTTAAATAAATGTCTCTGATAAACAGCAAAATTATAAATCACAAAATGCTCTCAATCTTTAATAATCTCTGTGCCATTCTTATATTAAATGTAGGAATGACGCAAATTTGTTCTTCGTTAAATTTCCTACGTTTTACTTTAATGCTAAACTTGGATCCTTGACCTAGCATTATACCTAACCCTAACCCTACAAATAAAAACATGGAGTAATGTTGCCTTAGCAACCACATGGTAATTGTTTACTGACCTGTGACTCTTGCTTGACCGATTTGACCTCCTTGTTGAGCTGGGAGATATCCTTGTCCATGTGGTTACAGAACTTGTCAATGTTGCCATCCCTCTCTCCTACAGACTTATCAATAGCATTCCTGATAGCCGTCACCGAGGGTGTCAAGGTTTGATAGACGGCAAAGTCCTCCGGAGGGGTGGGCACGTGGTACTTGTCAATCTGATCATACATCTCCTTGACAATGTTTGACTCCGCCTCCAAGGCATCAATCTGTATGGACAGTGAAATATCAAATTTTGATGTGTTGGAATAATACACAATTGTGCATCAAATAGACATCTGTTAAACATAATTCTAAAAAACATATTGGTGCTCTGTTTAAGTCATTCTACCACAACATTTGCCTATGCCTTTGATCAGCACATACATGTAGATTCATTGCACAGAGTACAAATGGAGAGTGAGATTTCAGAGTCTGTATATTGTTTTCTACATATTCTTAAAAGTAACAAGCATATCTGTTGCAAAATGTTATAAGTGACAGTGACAAATAGCTCAATCTGTCGGCATGAACTTAAATTGTGGAATAAATCAGAGCTCATTTGATACATTTCCAAGCAGAAACGCCAAGCAAAAGTCTAAGATGGTGATAATATGACTTACCCTGAGCTGAATTTCATCCAGGAAAGTGAGACTCTCTACAAACTCTAATGTACTGGTAGGAATGACCTCAAGCTTGTACTGAGCATCCTGGCATTCTGCGATCAACAAGTCCATCTGTTTCTTACTCTGCTTGGGTAACATGTCATTGATAACCTGCCAACCAAAAAGAAACAATTACATATATATATATCAGTAAAAGTAAAAAATAAAATTTATAAAAAATAAGCGTTTCTTATTTCAAGATATACATCTACACTTAATTTGATATTTTGAACTTGCTCTTTTCCATTGTGTGAAAAGAAACGGTATTCCTGTTATGCCTTCTTTGTTCTGTCTTAAGTCACTGTTCCAAATTCTTCGAGTAAGACCAGTTTACTACTTTCTCAGAATATTGTTAATGATCTTAAAATCATATTCATGATAATCAGTCACAGCAGACCATACTCAAACATTCACTGCTTGACATATCTTTTTCCTTCTGATATGTCAAGCATATTTGATATGGACTGAGCTATCTGCAGATAACCTAAACCTTGCAACATGTTTTTGAGAGTACATTCACATCTCATATCTGCAATGTATTATCATTCACAGGAGTGACAGGTGAAAAACATTTCAAATCCAACAATAACTTGACTGAATTCTCTTGGATTGATTCTGCCCAATAGAGTTAAGGTACATCAGGGTAGTGTTTCACAAAGTCTAAGATTGACTTTAAGTTGGACTTAAGTATGACAGGCCATTCATGCCACTGGTTGCTCTCACCATTATGATCTTCAGATAATAGTTTTTCCTACAATAATGAACCATCAAAAAAAAAAATTCTGTAGATTTGTGACCATGACTTATATGTCCCTTGAGAGACCAATGCCAGGAATGGTAAGAGGAACTAGTGGCATGAAAGGCCTGCCATAGTTAAGTCCAACTTAAAGTCAATCTTAGTCTTTGTGAAACACACCCCCCTGAGGCGATACAAGCCAGTGACGTTTCACTTTGGACTCACATTGAGACATCTGAGAGGAGATGGGATGAGTTTGTTCTTCATCTGAATACAGTCTACCAGCAGCATACCGATACTGCGTCTCTCCTTGATGGCTTCTGCCTTATTATGCTGGGAGTGATAGCGCTCCAAGGCTTCACCAAAGAACTCCACATCTGAAGTAGAGAACAAAGATATCAAAACATAAAAACATGAAATATCAGTCATAACCTACTGTCCATATATCATTTTTATTAAAAAATAGGACAACAAAATAATGATCAACAAAATATTTTGTAATCACCATGAATGATTTTTCCTTCTTTGTCACTGCTTAAGATTGGAAAGATGCTCATATATAAAATCCCAAATAGCAATAATTTTTTGAAAAATTACAATAAAGCTGTACCAATGAACATCTGTAAAAAAAAAAAAAGCATGGTACAAATAAGTTTAATTAGACCTACAATATATTTTAATTGAAATGTTCCTAGAAAACTAATAATCTTCTATTGTAATCTTTGACTTGATTTATACTCGACTCTTTATAGAAGAGATGTAAGGCATGAACTTACCCGGTTCCTGTGCACTCAGACTTTCCAGATCGGTGCTCTCATTTTCCCTGTAGAACTCTCTGAATGTTTCAAAAGTATCAGCATACTGGTTGGCAGCATCAAAAGCTTTGTTGACAGCATCCTAACAGAATACAAAGGACAATATTTAAATAAAATTAAGACTAGAAAATATGTACAATTTGAATGTAAGGAGGGGGGATATTTTCAGTGCCTAATGTGGGGGATTCCTACATAAATTCTTAGATATATGCAAAATGTAACTCTCGTTAAAATTATAAATAAGTATAAATGCATCACTGGATCCTGTGCCAAAAAGACTTGCGATTGTTGAAATCAACTGCACTTTCAACCTAACTTTCATATCAATCACATCTCTGTACATGTACATTAGAGACAGGATACAATAAGTTTGTGACACATTTAGTCAATTGCTACACCTTATAAGACAGAGCCGAGGTGTCTTTTCCCACAAATAGATTTCAAATACATACATATGTGCATGAAACTAACCCTGATACTCCCGATGACACCCTGAAGGTGTTTGTCATCTTCAAACATGGTGTCCAGACCAGGTCCATCTCCAGCTGTCTTCTCCTCTAGCTTACCATTGATGATTGGTCTAAGGATACAAGCAGAGAAATGCATCATGAACGCTATTGTGAAAAGTGTTTGGTGGAACTCGTTGGTGTGGATCTCTCTTCATACTTAGGTTTAGAGACATTATCCAACTAGATGGAACTTCGACTGCGCGCAGTCGAAATGATGCCTCCGTCATAGAGCAATTTTACAAACCAAAATAGAAGAAATTGTTCAAATTCAAGTTCAATTGTAATCCATTAACAGGTTCTTAGAATATCGTGATTACAAGCAATTTCTCATATACATATATGACCCTTTGATCTTTGACCACATGACCCTAACATCTACTCAGTTCATTGGCTCTGCAAGATGTCCCGAGTTAAATAGTAATCCATCTGTCAGTTCTAATGAGAATGCGTTCACAAGCTATTTTTGCATACATAATGAGCCCATGACCTTTGAGCTTTGACCTCATGACCCAAGAATCTACTCAGTTCATTGGCTCTGCAAGATACATACACGATCTAAGTTTGGGAGGAATCCATCAATCTGTTCTAATGATAATGCGATCACAAGCTATTTTTGCATGCATAATGAGCCGCATGACCTTTGACCTTGACCTCATGACCCCAAAATTTAATCAGTTCATCGGCTCTGCAAGTAACATACATGACCTAAGTTTGGCAGGAATCCATCAATCGGTTCTTGAGATAACGCGATCACGAGCTGTTTCAGCATACATAATGAGCCCTGTGACCTTTGACCTTTGACCTCGTGACCCCAAAGTCTAATCAGTTCATCGTCTCTGCAAGATACATACATGACCTAAGTTTGGCAGGAATCCATCAATCAGTTCTTCAGATAACGCGATCACGAGCTGTTTTTGCATACATAATGAGCCCTGTGACCTTTGACCTCGTGACCCAAAAATCTAATCAGTTCATCGGCTCTGCAAGATACATACAAGACCAAAGTTTGGCAGGAATCCATCAATCGGTTCTTCAGATAACGCGATCACGAGAACGGGACGTACGGACGGACGGACAACCCGAAAAACATAATGCCTCCGGCTACTTCGTAACGGAGGCATAAAAATGGGGGAAGGTTAGGAAAATTAAGCAACTTTAAAGTCCAAGTATCCACATGAGGAAATAATAAAAGATGAACAAAGAGCTCTCAGGTTTTAAACAAAGAATTATATCATTTTCTCATGTGCTATATAAGGAAGGATCAACAAGGATATCAACACAAAAAACTATATCATTCTCTACCAACATTTAAAGGTTACGAAGTATCATCCAATAGTTCTATAAAATGGACAACTAATGAATTTTGACTTCCTTTTCATTAAGGAAATCCCATCAAAAGAAATATAGTACACAGATGAAAACAGTCATTCCAAGGGTTAAGTGACACAAAGACGTAACTCCATATTTTGCCAAAATGAGTATTTGATATCAAAATGTTCAGAAAAATGTGGGCTTTCCAGGAAACACAAAGACTTAACTCCACCCAACACCCCATTGACGTCAATGGCTAGTGAAGCACAGTTTTAACTTCTTAAGGCCAAGTGCTCAGTGACACATAAACCACATTTTCTCAAAATAGCCAAAATGGAGTTACGTCTTTGTGTCACTGACCCCTCGATTTGTATTACATGAATACAATGATGAGATCTTGGTGTATAATTTACCTTGTGAAGGCATCAAAGTAAGTATCGGGTACAAGGTTCTCTACTCCCAGGACACACTCCTGGAAGCGTTTGATGGTCTCTGCGATGCCGTCCTGGTAATCATCCACATTGGGACTGAAGAGGATGTTGAGAGGCTCCAGGACAAACTCAGTGAGGTACAGAGGTGAAAGTACGACCTGCTCAGTGCCTCCTATGCCATCATCAGCAATGGCAGCAGGTCCTCCGACCACGGAGGATGCGCTGTTGGTTCCTGCAACGGTTGTAGCCTGGAGAGGCCAAAGAGAATTCATATATAACTTTTAATGTACAAAAAAATCTTAGCATGGAATATCTTGATTAGCAGTACATCATACGGACATATTGTATCATATTGTATAATATCAAAAGCACTGCTTATGTTTACAAAACATACATCTTAATTTTTCTTAACGGGGAAGAAGCTTTTATGAAAACAAATCTATGAATCTGTTATTGTCTACATTTACAACCTTTATTGTTATTATTATTTATACACAAATGATTCTCTTTTTGTATTTAAGGGAATCTGTGGGGGGAAAACTACCATCACTATTGCTTCCTTTGATATACAGCTTTGACTGAAGTACGTACAAACTCACATCATCGTAGTTGTTAACTGCCATTAAGCAAATAAAATGACTAATTACAGTACCTTCTCATCATCCTCATCTTCTTCATCTTCTCTGCCTTGAATCTGAGCTAGAGTTGGTGTGTTCTGAAGCTGTTCTCTCAGATAGTTAAGCAGTGTGGTGACAGAATTGACTGCTAAGACATGCATGGTGTTCACAATCAGGTAGTCAGCTAGTCGAATGAAGCTATATGACAAAAAACAAAAAGACACAATTTAACCCGTGCAAGAAACTGATATTTAAAAAAAAATGCTTGTTTCAATCAGTGTGAATTAATCCAGTCTGCATGCTGTTCATACAGAATAAGAAACTAGATGCAACTTCGACTGCGCGCAGTCGAAAATGATGCCTCCGTCATAGAGCAATTTTACAAACCAAAACAGAAGAAATTTTTCAAATTCAAGTTCAATTGTAATCCATTAAGAGGTTCTCAGAATATCGTGATTACAAGCAATTTCTCATATACATATATGACCCTTTGATCTTTGACCTGATGACCCTAAAATCTACTCAGTTCATTGGCTCTGCAAGATGTCCTGAGTTAAATAGTAATCCATCTGTCAGTTCTAATGAGAATGCGTTCACAAGTTATTTTTGGATACATAATGAGCCCATGACCTTTGACCTCATGACCCATGAATCTACTCAGTTCATTGGCTTTGCAAGATACATACATGATCGAAATTTGGCAGGAATCCATCAATCTGTTCTAATGAGAATGCGATCACAAGCTATTTTTGCATACATAATGAGCCCTGTGACCTTTGACCTTTGACCTCGTGACCCCAAAATCTATTCAGTTCATCGGCTCTGCAAGATACATACATGACCAAAGTTTGGCAGGAATCCATCGATCGGTTCTTGAGATAATGCGATCACGAGCTCTTTTTGCATACCTAATGAGCCCTGTGACCTGTGACCTTTGACCTTGTGACCCCAAAATCTAATCAGTTCATCGGCTCTGCAAGATACATACAAGACCAAAGTTTGGCAGGAATCCATCAATCGGTTCTTCAGATAACGCGATCACGAGCTGTTTTTGCATACATAATGAGCCCTGTGACCTTTGACCTTTGACCTCGTGACCCAAAAATCTAATCAGTTCATCGGCTCTGCAAGTAACATACATGACCAAAGTTTGGCAGGAATCCATCAATCGGTTCTTCAGATAACGCGATCACGAGCTCTTTTTGCATACCTAATGAGCCCTGTGACCTGTGACCTTTGACCTTGTGACCCCAAAATCTAATCAGTTCATCGGCTCTGCAAGATACATACAAGACCAAAGTTTGGCAGGAATCCATCAATCGGTTCTTCAGATAACGCGATCACGAGCTGTTTTTGCATACATAATGAGCCCTGTGACCTTTGACCTTTGACCTCGTGACCCAAAAATCTAATCAGTTCATCGGCTCTGCAAGTAACATACATGACCAAAGTTTGGCAGGAATCCATCAATCGGTTCTTCAGATAACGCGATCACGAGAACGGGACGTACGGACGGACGGACGGACGTACGGACGTACGGACGGACGTACGGACGTACGGACGTACGGACGGACGGACGGACGGACAACCCGAAAACATAATGCCTCCGGCTACTTCGTAACGGAGGCATAAAAAATACATGAACACATTTATTTGGCCTGCATATCAATTTTCAATTCCCCTCGTGATGGTGCTTTAATCAATGAATTAAGCTAAAAGAAACATGAATTCTTAGTTTTTAAACAATTTGAAGCTTCCATACCATGTAAGTCTCCTGCAGTGACTGCGTTTGTTAGCCTGCTCAGTGTATGTCATCTTGTCAGGGGCATCCTGGTAGAGATCCATATCAAAGTTGCTCTGCATCATGTAGCTAGAGTCAGCAGTACCTGGTGGCATCCCATCCTCTGAAACAAGTATGGATACAGAAATACACGAAATGCAAATATTTCTTTCCATAAAGGTAAAGACCAGCTCTAGTCATGCGATTGAATTGTGAAAAAAATGTTGTGGAATCGATCAGAAAAGGTTGATCATCTAGCATATAAGTATTGGTGTGTACTGCAAGGTTCTGGAGTCATCAAAATTTGGCGAAGTCTTGGTAAAGTTGCAAGCACTGTACACAGAAAGATGTATATGGGACTATGCGACACGTGCACGATATCTATATAATAATTTACCAAATATATCAATTAGAAGGCGGTCTCCCGGCAGAATTCGTATCATCACGTATTAGTCAAAAATTGTTCTTTCACACGATTGGTAATAAGAGCTACCATTTCATTTTTTGATGGGGGGGGGGGGGTGTATCCAAAACTGGTCTATACCTTTAAACAAATACGGAAATAGTCCTGTTAATCCTATATCTTTCAAAACATTTGTGGAATTAAAGAGCAGCTTGATCATTTCCTACTAAAAATTAGTCAGTGTTTTAGAAAGGGAGGTTGGTTAAAAAGAGTCTCTTGTGTTGTTACAACCAGTAATAACCAAGAACACTACCAACAATTTACCATCATGGGAGGTCTAGGGATTGTTGGGATGATCTAGTTCCTATATCGCGTTTGGAAAGGTGTTGAGGCTCCATGAAAGTCATATTGAGTCAAGTAATTTGTACCGGATGAATGTTTCTGTTAACACACATACCTCCATTGGCTTCATTATCCAGGAAGTAGTCATCAGGTGTGAAGCCTGCCTCTAGAAGAGCTGTCCTACAAGCACTCCTTACAACCTCCTTGACAAGCTCACGGAACTCAGCAAGGCGACCTGACACCTGCAGGGAGAGAAATTACCAAACCAAAATGTTATGATAGACCACTTTCCACTGACAAGGTCACAGGAAAACAAAAGACATGGTTGATTTCCCCATTCTAATAAAATAGGAGACGCGATACCCAGTCGGTAGAGCAGTGGTCTCGTAATTTGGTGACCCTGGTTCAAAACCAAGCCAAGGTAAGGCATTAATCCTCCTTACCAGGTCCCTCGGAGGGGACTTAAAGCCGTCGGTCTGCTGGTTGCTTACTAACAAGCATTTATTGTTGTCTTAGCTGTCAGGTAAAATAACCCCCACCACTATACATATGTAATCATATTATTCCTTGATATTATTAGATAAAATTAAAAAGCTGCATACTAGTACGAGTGATAGAAAATAGACAAATGAGTTTAGGCTATTGCCATACAAAGAGTTTGAATTACCATTTCTACCAAAAATAGAATGTCTTGATATCTTACCTCATTGAGCTGAGTAAATTGTGCCATGGTGAATTCATTGAGAGTATAGGTGTGTCCTTTTTCCACTTTACATAGGCCCATGTCACTGATCCTGTAACACATCTCTCTTACATTCAGCAATGCTGGTCGTAGTGACTGAAAGTACACAAAGGTATAACAGGTAAGAATCAAGGTACACGTCCCAAATATAAACCTTACGTCATATAACTGACAAAAATATCTTTGACAGCAATTTGACTAACACAATATGGTCAAATACTGATATTCACTACAGACATTAAATATCAAAAAGGGGGAAAATACAATTGCAACCTAAAAACATTCAACAATCTCATATAAAAAAATATTTATTCTACATCTTCAGAGATTGAAAACGATTTCGCCACATAAGTTTCTTGATGACCGATGTTGATTATCTCAACACTTTGTTATAAAAACATTATCTAACATGGTATAGATATGAGTCCTAATCAGCACAGAACTTACTGCATTCACAATGAAGAGATTCTCCTGGAGCTGTTTCTTGCATGAAGTCAACCTTCTTGATCTCACATTTTTTCTCCAGGTTGAGAAAGCCTTCCATTTACGGAAGAGGTGGAAGAGAGGAATCTTGATGAGCTTGGTGTAATAATGGTACTCCTGCTCCCATCGGTCAAGCTCTGTGAACTCAGCATCGCTTCCATTACGGACTCTTGTCACGCCCTTAAGACTGATGGTACAGTAGTCCGGTGCATGGATGTTATTGTGTGAGACGATTCTGAATGAAGCAAAAATAGCAAAGTGATTTGAAGACAGGGTATACCTCTAGTTCATATTTGATATCAAGAATCATTATAGTTATATAAGCTACGACAGCAAGATTGAACATTTTATATTAGAAGTATATGTACATTAAATATTACATACATTTATGACTGGGTACACTGCAGCATAACTTTCAGAAATCCTATACATGTGAAAAATCATGATATCGTAAACTCACTTGAGACTGTAGGGATGATATTTGATAGATGACTTGGGAACAGCTGGACTCATGTAGATGAAACCAATCTTAGGTTTGTCTCGAATCAGCTTGATGATTCCTTCAATATCTGACCATCCTTCTAGATGAGCCACACCCTGAGATGCAGGCAAGGACATGGATACACCCCTAGGTATCATACCAGAAGTGGTTTCCTTGCGCTCTTTGGGTGGGGTTGGAGACCGCAGAGGGTGTCCCGCCAAAGAATCCTGAGAGAAACAAACATTGGGATGAGTTGATTTTTTTTGGTGGTGCAATCTATTCTACACAAATCCTTTCACCTGCATCATATCCCCCAAATACAAAAATTAAAATTTTCTTGTGATGGCATTGTAGGTTCATCATGCCTCTAACTTTATCTATATTCTTACAAAATTCTTCTCCTTGTAATTAAGTTTGGCAAATAGTGAAACACACAGAAAGATAGATCGATGCCCTTCCTAAATCTTGTGAAAAAGTCATGGTTGGCGTAAGGACTGCTGAAAATTACATAACAAATTTGTAAAATTTAATGTACAGAACAGATTTTAAGGGATATATCAAAGAGTACTAAATGCACGATTAGTTGATAAAAGGACCAAATCAAGGTGAAGATGATCTTCAGTTAGTTGGTTATTTTGGTATTAAGTCTCTAGTTTTTATTTTGCTATTGGAGTCAAAATCCTTTCAATACCTGTTTCTGCCTGAGGTCTTCTGGTAGGTCTGGTAAGGGTGAGGATGAGGGTGGTCTCTCCAGGGGCTCCACCGAGGAAGCCCTTTTTGTCTTCTTACTGTCTGGTTCACCATTGCTCTGAACGGGAGGGGGTACCGGCTGCCCCCTGCTTGCACCGAGGGCCTCTGCTGCTTTACGCCTTATGTACTCTGGTTGGTGCTCGGCTTGGAACCTGGCAAGTCCAGGCTGAAATGGAATAGTGTATGATGGAGACACTCTTAAAATGTGGCAAAAAAAAAAAAAACTTGCTTTGACAGTAGAGCAACTGTGAAATAAATAAAATAAAACCTGACTTATTTACAGTTTTAAGCAAGTATCTCTTTGTGAAAACAATCTACCAATGTATATATTGTTTTTAATCATCATGGCGGGTTGGACACCTTAGACGGTGGTATTCTGAAACTATTTTACCTCCTATTTTATTGAAGGAATTTTAACTGCCATAAAATTTCAATCTAAAAAGAAAAAAGAAAAAAAGGACTAATCCATGTATGCAGCCACCACCGCAGCTGCTATGACAACAGAAATTACAGATAATTATTTTCAGAATAACATCTCAGGTATTAATGAAGATAAACATAATTACATAATGTACTTGCATAAACAGTATAATGGATATATTGATAGGAAATTAGAGAATGGGCAAACTCACCAAAGGTTCTAATTTGGCCAGTGTAGGTTTAGCTCTTGTATTGCGCTGTGCTGGTGTTATTCTTGCAAATTTCAGAGATTTCTTGACGACTGCTGCCTCTTTGGGGGCATACGAGTAGAGGCGTCCTTTCAGCTTCTCTTGATCCACACCAGGTAGATTCAAACTCCTGGTGGGAGAGCCATTCATCTGGCCATTAACGCCATCCACTGACCGAGACATGACTGTCTCTTTCTCCTTATCTTATTTTCTGTGGTTGAAAAGCATAAATATAAAATGGTAAAAAAATGAAAAACAAATATGAATCATAACAAGAATATCAATGAGTTCTTCCCTGTAATCCAACCAACAACAAAAACTTGCTTCAATTATTTGTTGCAAGGACTGCATTAATGTGGTTTAAAAAAAAGAGAAAAAAATAAAGAGTAATTAATGGACAATGGCCCCTCCTCTATCATAGATTGATCACACAAATTATATGTGCTGTATGAGCAAGCCAGAAGCCTGGAAAAAATTATTGAAATATTAATCTCAACTGATTAGTAATAGTATTAATTAGGACTTAGAAATCTTAAACTTCAACAACATATTATAAACATGCATTTCATAATCTGTGACCTGATCAACCGATCCATTAATGTGGGACCTGAGGTGGGGCATGGCATATCTCATAAAATCATCATAAATAGGTCTAAGATTAATTAACACACTTATGATAAAATCTAAAATGTTTTCAATGCCCAATTTTCAGCCAACACAAACATGACAACCTTAACATTTATTACAACACTAACATTTACACTTGTAGGCTTAAATCTAAGATGGTTTTGTGAGATTAAGAAATTGCACAGGATCTGGAATTTTACTTTTAATTCCTAAAACCTAAAGACTTAATAACTGATATCTTGCAGCTGCAATTAAAAATATTGAAACCGCGCTTTGACGTTTCATTGTCTTTATTAATATTATTAGGGCATTATTTATTTCAAAAGACATCTCCTCCAACATCGTGATCAAAGAGCCATTCCATGGGCATGGGTCTAGACTAGTAGTATGGCGGTGTGACCAAAGTTCGCGCGTGACCAAAGTTCGCTTTCTCAAAAAATCGGTAAGATTTCGAAAATCTGATATCACCAATGGAATGAGGGTCTTAAAATTACCCAGAAACGAAATTTTCTTTAGAATTGGGTGCGAAATTGTTAAAATATTGACAAAAGATCGGCAAATTTTGCAGTTATTTGCGTCCGTTCCGAAAAATTATCAACTTACCGATAAGGGTCTGGAAATCTTCATTTTGAGATCAGAAATCCTCAAAATTGTAAGTAAAGAGTGGTACTAACTGATTGTACGATATCTTGCCTGGCAAATTATGATATTACCTTATTTTTGATGGATCGCATTTTTTGATAAATCGACTGTAAACCACCGTGCGTGAAGTTAGGTCTCATTGTTTTTATGACTTTTTTTAGATGCAGCGCGCACGCACGATCGGACATCAAATTTTTAGATCGCGATATCTCCGAAATCCTTCGACGTTAAATTTTTCTAGTTGAACCAATCTGTAGTAAAAAACTTTGCCGTCCATTTGGTAATAATTAAAAGAAATCAAGTTGTGTAGAATGTGAGAAATCATAGATCGAATATCACATTTTGTAATATGTTCTAAAATGTCCGCGAACTTTGGTCACCCCTTCATAGGACGAAGATTGTGTGTCTGGACACAAGTCACAAGTCTTAACAAAAGACAAAGAAAGCTATCACGTTTGACATTGAAAGTCTACCAAAACTTTGTATCATTCAAATACCATTAGGCCTAGACCTAGATCTAGATCTAACCATCATACGTATTCATCCTTTACATTTTTCAACGTAAGTCTTGAAAGATGTATGGAATATTGCATGTAAACTCTTTCATATTGCTGTTCTCAATCAACATGATCAACTGTCCGAAATAAGTCACAACACCTGTTGAGCTGTCCGGATCGGAACCCACCAAAACCTAAAATTAACACAACTTCTGGAAGAAGAATGCCAATTGAGCTATCAGATAAAAGAATCATAAACGTTTTAAGATCTAACAAATTTTCTTGAGCAAAAATGCATTAAAAATACATAAATTCAATAAAACTGCTTGGATCTGAAAATGCAGTGCGCAGCATGGATGTCTGCGGAGTGTTGAAAAACCGCAGCCCGTTAGCTGCGGCGGTGTAGACATGGACGACCGGCGAAGGTTGCACGAGCAAGGTATTTTCGACCAAACATCGTTCGCATAAACCAGTTTAGCACAGAAAAAAAAACTTACTCAAACATTAAAATAATCAAGTGAAAATCATTAAGCTTGGATGGAAGCAAAACTCACTGTGGAAAAGGTAATTGTAAGCTCTTACCTTTGTATGTAAACTTCAAGATTATTTAATTGATGGGTTTACTCCGCCATGTTGATTTCGCTTCTTCAGACCATGGCAACAACATAAGTTAGACGGAAATTCCCGAACAATAGCCGAACGCTAGCTCTCGATCTCGCGTCGAGATTTCGGTCGAATTGTAAACGCCCTCTGCGTTTTTATACCGTATGAGTAAATGCCACTGACGATTGTAATGTTTTTTGGTATTTTCTATTTATCTTTCTAAACGAAGTATAGAAAAAGAGAGAAAAATATTAAAAAGGCCCATGTACATATAGAGAAAGGTGTATCTTAACTTTAATTTGTAGATATTTAAGACTTGATATTGCTATTTGCAAAAAAAAAGGTGGAGGTCTGTTCAAAAATCGCTGTTTCGTTTGTGATGTTACCGAATTAATTTAACAATGACGTTTTTTGCAGAAAATTCTATTCTATGATTAAGGGGAATAAGGCTTTTATATCAATTATAGCAACTGTCACATTGACATTATAATTTATATTATAGATACTGCCGGTAATCGCTTTCTGCAACACTATCATAATTAGCTGATAATTCTTTGGATCTTACATTTTGCACTTTGGGTCCTTCCGAGGACTTACATAGAAAAAGGAATACTAGCTGTGAGTGTCCATGGGCTTTTTAAAGGGATCTAATCCTTGAAATCGTATTGATATGATTTACTTGGGTTTGAGCATGTTTTTGGTAAAAGCCGGTGGCTAGTAGTAGTAACGCGCATATAAATGTATTTTGTGACATCACAATACGTTGCGCAGAAATACAAATCGAGCATGCGTAGAGAGATTTATTGGACGTCGTCATGGCACTGTAATATTCAGCTTCCACTCATCAATCAAATTCAGGAAACTTTAACTTAATAATTTTGATCTCTTGCAACATGGCAGCAATGCTTAAGATATTTTTTGTATTAATTGCAAGTGCAATGCATTTGCTTCCAACTGCTATATGTGGTAAGTATCAGAGTAAAAAGGAAATAATAATCTTTTAGAAAGTGGTAATTTCGAGATTTCAAAGTAAGCCAAGTAGTAACAATGCCCAATGGTATGTTGTCTTTTTATGTGTAAAATACTAAGCGTACAGTACTAATCTATAACAGTTTTATTTGTGAATGAATTTTTATGAATTCTTTAATCACATAGTATGAGCTATTGATAACCTTTAACTTTGTATCTGTCATATTTTTCTTTCCAAATTATTTCATGCTGTTTATCAAAATTTGTAGAAAACGATGCGATATTCAAAAGGATGCGGCGATCTGGAGATCGATGGCCAATGAGACCTTTGTCCACAACAAGGCGACATCGAAGAGCTTCGTGTGATTCTGATCTTGTCGAACCTTTGGTGATCTTTCCACATCAACATGTACAGTTAGAATGCTCCAAATGGTAATTAGTTATAATTTAAGTCTTCATAAAAATTTAAGAGCCGTATACTGCTTTTTCAATGCAGTGAAAAATGATAATAAAGAGACCACTTGTACAACTAATACAAAACACAAATTTTGATGCGTTTTTGATGTATTCCTGAAATAAACTTTTGATTATTCGAATTATTATACTGATATTTTGAAAAATTCTTAGCCATATATACCAGGATCTTATTATTGAAAGGGAAGCATCATGTATTTCGATTGCTGTCCACAGCCTGAATCAAACGTATTTATCTATTTTTTCTGTATTGTCAATGATTTGTCTCGCCGAAAGAGGAGGGGTGGGGTGGGATGGGGCGTCCATGAAATTAAAGTAGCGTGCTGAAATAATCTAGGAGATCAGTACATGTAGGCGCGGTTCTAGGAATGATATTTTAGGGGGGAGGGGTTGTGGGTTATTTGCATGCATTCATTTTCTAAATGTGCATCGTTAAATTAATCAAGGATTTTTTTGGTGGGTGGGGGGGGGGGGTATTGATCTCCCAAGCCCCCCCACTGAGCGACTTTTCGGCCTGCGCGATTTTCAAATTTTCGGGAGCAAAAAAAAATAAAAGTTGGGCCCCCTCCCCTAAGAAATCCTGGATCCGCGCCTGCCCTCCGCTATAATCGCTACTGAGTACATGGGCATATAAACAATTTTGTTACCGCTGCTGAGTACATGGGCATGTAAACAAAATATTCTGAAGCGAATGAAATGTATATTTTAACAAAACAATTCCTGACATAATCACGCAAGGACTTTATTTTTCATTATTACAGCCCAGGGTCATCACGAGGCGTTTCATCGGCCACTTGGCGCTTTCAGTCTGCTACTGCTACTAACGATGAACAGATCACGTCTAAACTCGAGGCCGTATATGATTTGAAGATTACAGAGGATGGAAGCAATCGACTCATCATCAAGCAAGCAGCAAAGAAAAATAAAGGAAGATATTATTGTAAGAGTGGTGCCAACTATCTCGGAAACTACGATGTTGCTTGTGAGTATATCGTCGGCTCGTTCATTCTCTCTCTCTCTCTCCCTTCTATCTTTCTCTTTCTCTTTCCATTTAATTTCTCTGTCACTTCCGTTTCATTCCCAATTGTTGCGAGAGATTATGATGCAGTACTTTGTCGGAATTGATATGCCAGGCTCTTGCTAAGTATTTAAAAAGAAGAAGAAAAAAAAACACATATTGGTTCAGTGGGTACAACCTAAGTATCAGCATCAAGTAAAATCAGATTAAATTTACCCACGAAGTTTGATCATGTTGATTGAAAAAGGTATTCAAAGCACTATTTTTTGTTATCACCATGAATAAGAAAAATAATTTTTATGAAATGCACACCTGTTTTTCCGAATATATAAAAACCAAATTGTATTTACGTCACGATATAATTACTTCTCCTAATTAAGTAACACCATAAGTGCAATAATGATATCCTTTCTTCCTACCATCATCTTTGTTTTTCTTTATACGTAGATTCTAGTCATCCTAAATTTCACATTGGTAAGTATTACTGAGAATAAAATCTCCTTGTCATTCAGTAATAATTTTATATCCGTAAATCATGTTCAAAACATTTTAAACATCAAGTGACCGATTAGGTGTAAATAAAGCATTGATCCAGATTTCATTTTGGAACTTACATTTTATTTAATAATAATAATAATAATAATAATAATGTAACTTATAAATATCGCGCCAAATCCACTCTGTGGTTTACATAGCGCTTACATATCGCTTACATTCGATGTGAACACAAATTATCTAAAATTATCTAAAATGGGGCGGAAAAAAATTGGGCTGGGCTGTTTCTGAGAGGGGTTATTATGACAATCATTATTTTTATCTCGCCATTGTCAAACATTACAATGAGGTGGCCACGCCACGACACTCAATGAATTATGTAAGAGCTAGGCCCCATTTCACAAAGCTTGTCATCAGTGACAAATGACAGTTTTTGCTATAAGCTACTGAAATCTTTGCTTCTGATTGGTTATTAGCAGATTTGTCACTGATTGTTGTCATTTGTCATTGAAAAAAGGCTTTGTGAAACGCGTCCCTGGTTGGAAAGTAAAAATGCGTTTTAAATGTTTCAACATTTCTTACTTTAGTTGTCGCGGGAGACGAGGAATATTCGCCCCTGCCTAAAACTCACAGTAAGTGCTATCCTTTTCCTGCGAGAAATATTCAAATTTAAAATGAGAATACGAACAAAGAGAGAGAGAGAGAGACAGAGAAGGGAGAGAGGGAGGAGAGAGAGAGAAAGAGAGAGAGATGGGAGGGGGAAAACAAGGTAAAGGAGGACGGGGACATCTCAAATTGAACTCACATTAATATCTGGCACTCACACAAGTTTTATTTAATGGAATCTCTATCGTGATATATATTATCTGTTATTGGATCTGGTAAATAATTGTTAAGTCAGAATATGGTGCGCTTAGAGACACCAGTATTAAGCGCCTTATAAATATTGTTTATTATTATTATTATTATGTATGATTTATTTCAGATAATGTAACGAATGAAGTCATAATGTATACTGAATGGGGTTCATGGAGTTCCTGTAACCACTGTGGAGAACCAGGAGAACGAGTTAAAATGGGTAAATACTAAATTACAACAGATCATAAAATAATTATACAATGTCTGTTGGCTACAGGATATTATGGCGAATGTAATGAATGTAAATATGCCAGATTCATCGAAGAGTATCGATAAGACTACAGTTTCGGTCGCAAATCATACAAATACTTTTGTTTTCTTCTGTACATTGTCAAAAGCCCAATAATGTTAAATCGGGTGATTTAGAAATTGGACACAGTTTGACCAAGCTCTATGATATTGGCTTAGTTTGAAGACAACCATGTCTCTGTTAAAATATTGTTTGGCGCCGTGGACCCGTTGTTATCTCCTCCCTACCTCACTGGTTGAAAAAAAGTAGGTGTATAGCGACACTGTCAGAATAGTGCAGTGGATTTGAAACTTTGGGTACAGGTAGCTTTCCCACACGCTGTAGGACCTCTATTTTATCTCCTATCCAAGTAATAAAGAGGGGGCACATTTACACACAACACAGACTTCAGTCCTTTACACAGACTCTATTCGCCAATGAATCATGTTTTTTAAAGTTTAAACGCGGCTGTAGGTAATGCAGATTAAAGCCTCGGTCACAAATGCCATCACGAACACCGTACGAACGATTTTCAGACAATGGAAAAACAGGGAGATTCGTACGAAATAATCGTTCATACGAACCTTTGAGACCGAAGCTTTAGATAACTTGGTTCATCTCCACCTTTCACATTATAGGTATATGCTACGCCCGTACCAGACTAGATGAGTTTCGTGGTGGTGTTCCTTGTCGTTCTAACGCAGTGCCCTACAAAGAGAGGTCTAAATACAGCTATGATAAACGAAAAGATGAGAAGGAGATTGGAACTTGCAATGCAAAATGTCCTCGTAAGTATAACAAGAGGGGGGGGGGGACATAATGGGCCCTCTCTCCAAAAATCGAAAAGAACAATGTAAAGGGGGTGAAAAGAGAAAGAGGAAGAGGAAATTAATCTAGTAGTAAAGTAATAGATGATTCTCTCCTATTTTGATGGCTTTTTAAAATCTCACATTTTATAAATTAAGTAACCCGTTACCCTCTTGACACCAGTTCCCTCTCAGTGGCTACACCGATACGCTACGCCACGGCCTCGTGTGAAATATCCATTTATCACTCCAGTACACTTTTTAAATAAATAACATATTTGCTCTGCTACATTCTTTTTAGGAATTGCTCCATAATAGAGATTAGCTATAATAAATATTGCAAGAAAGGGTTGTGACTGGATCTTATCATTCATCTCAAGAGTAGTCGGCTTTCGTTTGTCGATTATGACTTATTATTATCATTATTGTATGATATTAATACAAAATTTCGTAATTTTTTTCAGCCAAACCTAAGGCGACTGGTAAAAAGGCGATCGTAAAGACCTTTGCCTTATCTGCGGGTATTCCGACACTGCCTAAACTAGGTAAGAAATACATTCTCTTCACTTCAAACTTCTGTTTGCCAGAAGAAGAAAACAAAACTCATATGTCATGGTATAGTATTAGAAAGAGGCTTATCAATAATTGTGTGAGGAAGTCTTTCTGCAATGAGTTATGTTTAAAGCCATTTTTTAATATAAATGTATACATTCACATATTTATATATAATATTTCTGCTGTTGCAAGCGTCACTGAGTAGATATTTTGGAATCAGATGATTAGGAACCAATAGTAACCAATATCAATATGGTAGATGACTGGCTCAAATAATCATTGTTATCTTAATATCAAAGATCTCGTGCTTTTTTAGGGAGAATTCCCGGAGTAAAAGTGTCAATCCTTAATATTTACTAATTTATAAACTTTACAAAGTAGTTTTTACATGGGTATAACATCAATCAACATAATAAGTACTTAAAAAATATATCTCGTCCAACCAGACCTATTACTGCTTTGGTCTTGAATACGAATTTCTCATTAGATCTTATTCATGACGTCCCTGATTTGTCTGAGGGAACACCGGGGGGGGGGGGGGGGCAGTCCACATGGCTCTCTATTTTTATTTTGATGGGACATAACTATCATGATATATCTTCTTGTTTGTCTTTAATAACAGTTAAGCGAAGGGTGTATTATGAGGATGTTGGTAACAACGCTGAACTTGTTTGCCCCGAGTAAGTCGCCTTTACAGTATATTCTTCAATCCATTTCTTGTCACACGCAGCGACCTCAATTTCTTGTAATGTTAATGTTCCAAGTTGGAAATTTCGGGGGGGGGGGGGTTACTTTGACTTCTTTCGTCTTCAATTTACATCATAACCTTAAACTGTTTCTTTTGATGAAAATATGACATATTCATAGAAGAAAAATTATTACAATATAACCTCGAGGGATAAAATATTTTGCCGAAGTCCTTCAGTTATCTTTCATAATACATGTACAATGTGAATTAGATTAAAGCGAAAACAAAGTATTATGGCTGGACCTAGATAACTTTATGATTAAGTATACTATGGGACGATATCATTCATTGTAAAACGCATTGATATACTGTTAATGTCGAGTGGTCATTATTTTTCAGAGCTGGAGTAACTCACGGCGTACGTTGGATGAATGGTTCTAAAACTCTGAGACAAATGGAGTTTATAAAGGCAAACAGCCGGTTTCGAATCGACCATCTGAACAGACTGTACATCGAAAATGTTCAGTTTTATGATTCAAGGAACTATACGTGCTGGTTTGAAAACAAACAGATAGCTGTTGTTATAATAAAAGGTGGGTACGAGTGCTCTGTCAACTCTTTTCATACCTAGGAAAGAAACTAAAAGGTGAAGAAACGCACACCGATTGGATATAGCATTGACAACTAGTATTTCATGCGGAAGACATTTTTCGAATAGTTCATCCACTTCTGATGTTATTTCAAATGTATTGCTTATCGCATCGGTTTGAACCCCCAAAAAATAATAACATGAGTGCGGTGTGTATTGTTTTAAATTTTAAGCCCTTATCAAGTATAAATTTGATATTTGAATATAAATCCACGCTGTCATTCTCCGTGCCGATTTCAAGGTAAAACAGTTTTATTGTCTTTTCTGTTTCAATATAGTTGTCGAAGCCCCAAGTATTGATGAAGGTAAGTCCTGGTTCAAATATGAATTTGTACATTTGTTGTCAATGTTTATAATTGATTTGGAATGACTTGTTGGAAACATAAATAAGTTTAGATTTAAATTTAAATTGAATTGAAATACGTACAATCGTTGTTTATGGCGGTTGAGTAAGCATTCTGTTTAAAGTTAGCACGAATTTACCCAAATTGATTGGCTCATAAACAATTTAATCCTGGAAAAGTTCACTGCCAGGCTATCTTGTCCTTATCGATGGATGCTCCCCCCCCCCAAAAAAAAAGGCGAGGATTTTATTTTGTAGGATGGTGTTCTCCCTTTAATTTCCGAAACTATACAAAAGATGAGTAAATAGCGTGCGTGTTATTTTTCATCTCGACAGACATGGAAGGCAACGCTATGTACGTGGGGATGGTACTAGTGTTTCTTGTCTTTTTCTACATTGTTTTGGGGGTCTGCAAGAATCGTAAACTTCAAACTATTCAGTGAAATTCAGTGAAACCAAGGCGACTGCATTAATGAAGTGATTTCGACCAAAATCATCCTGTGCAGACCATCAAGGAGCGACATAGTGCCGTTTTTTCTCTTCCTGTAAGACGCTACTCGGGACGAAATTCTCTCATGAAACTCCAAAGTGCTAATTTAGATACATTAACACGAGTTAGGCGTCACTTATGTCTGTAAACCTCAATTTAAAGAAGAACTGGATTGGGAGTAGAACCATTATGCATTGTAAAGTTCTCATGTCCTAGAAGTTATTAATATCCATGATAACTCACTCACATTAGTTCCTCCTCCATCTCATTTCTTCTTCACAACGGTATTTGAACCGAGTACTTTGTTCAATACGAATAACAACAAAGATAGGATTAACAGATGTTTTTATATAGACTATATGTATAAGTATAATTTATTCTTTAAAATATCCATACTCATTTTCATATTACGTACATTTTTTCATACAATGTTAAAACATAAAATTGAAAGAATATGAAGTGGAAGACTTTAAATTAAAAGACATTCTGATTATGTTCATTTTAAACATGGCGATGCTTCGACAACATATAATTCCTTTCAACAGGACAATAATATTTGAAAAACATATTAATATTATTGAAATCCTACCTTCGCATTTATTTTATAATTCTTAGGAAGACACGAATGTACGTGATGTGATCTTAAAATAGTAACATTAAAGGGTAACTGTAAATGATTCAAGATAAAAACAACGAAATTAATTCACAGTGACAGAGTGCAAAATGATTACCAGAATACTTAAGTACTTATTGATGAAATATCTCAATATAGGTTGTGGCATTTATTAAAGAGAAGATTCTCACCACATTAAACATTTTGAGAACAATAGTAATGTTTTGAAGATACCTCATTCACTTGAAGTGAATTATAAACTGAGTATACTGTTGATATGTAAAATTGGGTATGAAATGTAAAGCGAAACCGTCCTTTAAGTATAATAAATGTGTGGTTGCTCTTATTATTGGTATATGAACTTATACGAGACCTGTACACATTTTAAGCATGTATCTACATTACAATTGTTCTTAGGAAAATAAGTACGTTCGGATAAAACTATTTCATAAAGAAACATGACAATTGTTAGTATCTCTGTTACATATAATATTCCATAATATCATTAAGAATTCCCCCCAAAACATTAAGATTAAATAAATTAGATAAATCTACCTCGATTTTAACTTTTTTTTTCACGCGAGCAAGAACTATTACCTTTTAAATCTAAAAGAAATTAGACACATACAATTCCATTACAGCAATTTTTACAAAATACATGTAAATGGGAAAAAACACAGACAATCAGATTGCAATGCTATATTGCATGGAATATTGCAGCATCCTTTTAGGAGTGTGTGTCCAATGTCGAATATTAATAGGTTTCCTTGAATAATGAGTATCTTTACGACAGATGTGATGTCACTGATTTGCCTGTACCAACATTCCGCAATTTTCTTGAGATCATAATTATTCTATTCATTATTCTATAGCTGAACCTTTGTACCTCTTTAACATTACAGGGCCCCATTTCACAAAACTTGTCATCAGTGACAAATGACAGTTTTTGTTATAAGCTAGTGAAATCCTCGCTTCTGATTGGTTTATCAACAGATTTGTCACTGTTTTTTGTCATTTGTCATTGAAAACAGGCTTTGTAAAACAGGGTCCCAGGAGTGGGATTCCACTTTCACAGGGAGTCATGATTAAGGCTCACTTCGTTTGGAGTCAAATCCCTACTAAGAAAAGTGATTCAAACGATCCGTTGGAGTGGATTCCACTATGATTCGTAGTGGATTCAAGTCCAAAAGAAGCGATCCCTAATTATGACTACTAAAATTTAGTAGATTTCCGATAAACATGAACACATTTGAAATGGTTAAACATGAACACATTTGTAATTGTTATAATGGATGGCTGTATATTGGATATCGTTAAACTGTGGTTAGTATCACAATGTTGCCCATTCATATACATATTCTCTGCAGCCTATCTCATTTGATCACTAACCCAAAACGTTAAATTAACATCGAATATAATTAAAAATATTGCTGACGAACAGAAACTTACAAGTAGCACCACTGTGGTAGAATATAATTGTACATTACTATGGACGGAATATTGGGTTTCTTTTCTTGATATTCGCCAAATGATTTGTATCGTGAAATCTTCCTCTATACTGCCCTCAAATTGACGCCATTGATCTGTGACGGATTATAATCCGCACAGAACTTTACACTACGATCAACTTGGAGATGCCAATTGTAGATGAATGTGAATGCCAATCCAACTCCATACCGACCAATAATCGGCAAAGTCTCGTCGATTTGAGGTAATAAAAATGGCTCATTCAGTCTTTTTTCGGTCTCGTCGTTGCGACTGGGTTAGAATAGAAGAAGTAGAACAAGTAGAAAAGGGAGAAGGAGAAGAAAAAGAAAAAGAACAAGAACAAGAAGAAGAGGAAGAAGAAGAATAAGAAACAGAGAGAGAGAGATGGCCTATCGCTAGAAAGGGAATACCCCGAAAAAAAATAAAAAGGAAATTCGGAAGGACACATAGTACAGTTGAATATGGTTTTATAGTACAGTTGAATATGGTTACATCACTCAGATTTTATCAGAACAGAATGACGTTAGGCCATAGCTCTAAAGATCGACAAAATTGTCATTTTACAGTTTCAGAAAGACGAGGAAGATCTACAAACAAATCCACTTGGCGAATATTATATAATACTGTGTGTTGGTGACGAAGGTGAATTAGGCTAAGCTACCATCATCACGCTCTGATCCCCTTAGTCTGACTTCTTTACTCCAGGTTTTTCTTTTCTCTGTTTCAATATTTATCTCTGTTGTTTGCGTGGTCGTTTGATTTCACGGTGCTTTTGACAACGTGTAAACCGGTTTGTATATTCTAAGGCAATTCCGTTTGAGTTTAATAATTTTGTTTCATAAAGTAACTCCCATTCTAAATTGTAGCTAAGCATTTTATTGCAGTTTTTTTAAAATTTAACCCCGGAATACAATTCGGAATCCTTTTTGTGAGATGCTGCACGATCATTAATGTAATCCCTTAAAAGGTGAAATGAAAATGAATGAATTAATGAAATGTTTAATTTTGCTATTCAGCATTAAAGAATAATGGAAGTGAATACAATTATGACAGTGCAACATAAGTATAATTATTTAAAGATATTCTGAAGAAGATTGTGGCATATAAATGCTACAAAGTGCTTTAGAAAAATTTGGTTAGTATTGATAAAATCAGTATGTGTTAGTGGGGCTATTACCACAATCATGCAAACACAACAGATGTTTTGTTAGTAGAGTATTGAATAAAAGATGAGAAAAATAAACCTTGCCGAAAACACATCTTTTAGAAATATGTATCGGCGAGGTTCGCTGGCAAGCGAGGCAAAGGGGATTCTTGAGAATTCTCAACAGAGCTAGGTGATGGCAGCGCGTGCCGTCATGCATACGTCTCTCCGCTAAGACCACCCCCACCTTTATCACGCTCATTGTTAACATTTTGACCATTGGCATCATCAGTGGTACGGTTTCCTCCGACCTGAAAGTCCCATCGCATTTGAAAGTTGTTATTTGCATTGGGGTTCACTGCCTCATTGCCGAATGAAAAGTTCTCGAATCCTATGCGATCATCATCGGATATCACTTGTTGGATGTCGCTGAAACTGACAGATCGCCCTCGCATGGAGTTTGATAGCGGTTTGTTTGATGACATCCTGTTCATGACATCCATCTCATAGTCTGCTGCTGATGCCAGCAGGTCAGGAATACTCCCACTCCCATCGAAAAATGGAAAACTCACTCCACCTTCGATGATTTTAGGACGGAAAACTCCTGAATCGGAGTCTGAGTCAGTCAAGTAAAAATTGCTTCCACTACTGGTATCGATATCATCTTGGATAGCGACTAGATTGTGTTGTAACCTGGGATCCGGTTCATGCCGGATGTAACTGGTTCCAGCCACTCCTGACAGCCCATCAGCCGTCTCGTCTCCACTCGATTCGGCGTCACGCTGGGCTCTCGCTCGACGTGATCTGTTTTGCCATTTGGCTACCTGAGCAGGATCTTCTTCTATTACTCTGTTGAAATCAAGAATAAATAATTCACAGATAATTTTTTTTGTAATTTCAAATACTCAAGCAAAACATGCGTGGTTGACATGGTTGTATGAACGAGTCGAAAACTTTCAAATAAATGAAATGAAAAACAATGACCTAAATATAACTCAAATAAACATGACGGGCATTTTAAATATTTCTATTTCATAAAAGAACAATTTAACATCCACAATTCTAACGGAATCATTAGAATGGGCGAATGATTCCCAATAGGTGTCAGAAGATTTTTTCTTCTGAAGAGGCTCTTCGATTTGTCATTATTGCCGAACAACAGATAAAGGTATTATATCCAAAGGTTTTACATTAATATCTTTCATTTTAGAAAAGGTTCAGACTTAATCTTACCTTTTGGAGTATCTTAATTTGCGACACCAACAAATGAGAACAATGGCAAGGATGAAGAAGAGAACTGCCATGATTCCACAAACAGATGCTAAAACTATTACCAGTCTGTTTTCTAAAAGAAAAAGAAAGAAGGAATATTTACATGTATATTAATAAACTGATTCCAGTCGACAATTGGTAAATGACGAAGTGATTTTATTGTTGAACCGCATTGCGTTTTAACATAAGCGACAGCAATGTTTTCCGATCCTACTTACTACAAAATAGCCACTAATAACCATTATCGAAATCACATAGAACAATACAAACTATCTACGAGCTAAAACGACAACAAAATAAACAAAACAAAACAATCATCTCACATTTTAAGTTACTACTTGTATAAGAGAAAATTAATAAATATTTACACTTACGTAAATCAGGAGGTGGGGCAACGTTACTTTTCTCAACCTCACACCGCCTGCCCTCATAGTCACTGGCACAACTGAAATAAAAATTACGTCAAGTCAACAACAACGTTTACAAAAAGAATTGTGTATTAATGTACGCATTAACAATAATTTTTGCTATTTTCAGACAATTTCCGGTAAGCGTTCTGATATAATAATGACAATACTCCGTCATGAAAAATCTCTAGGCATTGATGACAATAAACAGTTTGGCGATGATATCTCGCATTCGGAATTACCCTCTTCGGTATGGGCGTAGATCTTTGAAAGTCCTAGAGCATTTCCTACACTCCCTTTAAAGTTTAATCAGTGCCTACTTCGAATAAACGCGTTTGCCCCCTTCCCCACCCCGTCCATCTTCGTGTAAAAATCCTTAAAGTGGGAAGATGCCCATGCGTAATTATGATAAAAGGATCTAAACTTTTTGCCAACATGGGGGGCGTTTCACAAAACTTGTCATTAGTGACAAATGCCAGTTTTTGTTATAAGCTACTGAAATCCTTGCTTCTGATTGGTTATCAGCAGATTTGTCACTGATTTTAGTCATTTTCCATTGAAAAAACGCTTTGTGAAACGGGTCCCTGGAAATCATTCTCCCATGACGTTAACTCACCTGCATGTTGCGATGGTTTCTCCGTTACCCGGTGGAACACATGTTCCTCCATTGAGACAGTAGCCTGAGTTTCTATCACATGTCAACCAGCATTGATTGTCATTGGGATCTACATAGCAGTAAGCACCGGACGGACAAGGAAGGATGAAACACGCGTCTACTGAATGGAAAGAACCTGCCGAAGAAAAATTAATAAAGATGTACCGACTATTGACAAAAAGACATGATAGAAAGTGACGTTATACAAAAAATGAACACATTTTCTTATCTTGTGTGTTCTTTATAGTATTATATTTGCTAGCTGGATACGAGAAATAAAATGAATTCAAAATCACATTGTTAACTAGAAATATGCGATGAAACGCGCTATATGATAATAATATATATATATATATATATATATATATATGTTGTTGATATTAACATCAATAGTGGAAGAATTCTCAGTACATATAGATACAAAATTAAAAGTGAAATTCACCCAGACTCATATCACGAGGATCCAACTATGGTAATAGAAATATTATTCTTTGGTGATAATTTCCAGTCTCATCTGAAGAAAAAAAATCAGCAACCTACTAGAACGATAAACCACCCCCTTAACAAAACAAAATGTATAAAGAAACAATATTGATATACCCTTACCATTTGCATCGATTGATGCGACGTTATCGACAGTAAAGTTTCCCAGCCGACCGCCAGACTCATCGACCGTGTCGTAGAGGACACCGACGACGTCGCGCTTGGAGTCTTCATCGAGAGAAGATGTGAATTCTAACCTGACTTCGGGAATCACGCTACCTTGCCTACAAGAATTTGAAAAAGAACGAAAGAGAAAGAAAGAAATACACACTCTGTCATAGTGTCATTACAATGTAAAAACCAAGCATTCTAACATTAATTAATCACAAACAAATGTTAATTGATTTTAACCATCGCAGAGACTATTTAAAAAAAGAAGATTGTACTGATTAAACAAATCAATGTAATATTAGTTTTGTAAAATATTTACTAAAAAAATCCCTAACAAGCAAGACCGAAATGCTTTAGAAAGATAAATGAAAATAAAAGAAGAAAACTCTAATACAAAAGGTATTTTCTTCAACAAGTAATTCATATTGAAAATTTAAACATAACATTTAACAGGAGGGAAAAACGCCAAGGTTTGAAGTGTCGCACGAAAAAATATACGGTGTTTGTTTGGCAATCGAGAATTGATTATGATGAATTAAGTAATAGAGAAACTTCCGACGGTTTCCTTTAATCTACAGTGTTTATGCATTGTCCGAATTCCTTCTTCGATTGGTTCTACAAATATTCTTAGAGTGTAATAATGTATGCATGACAGTAACGATTCCTGCAGTACTACGATGGAATATCATTCAAAAGGAATAGGGAGACAAGCGTTTTTGAAAAGAGACATCTAAGAAAATACCACCCGCTTTTGAATTTCAGTAAAAGTTATATTTTACCGACGCTAATGCACATTACTTAACATAATAGCTCATTACAAAGAGAATGAATACGATTAGAAACTATAGCTTTCATTGAATAAGGATCCAATTTACAGGGTAACTGTCTTAACTTGAGGGAATTTGCTAACATACGGGAACTTTAAGCAGATTGAATGTATGGATGAAAACGGTGTAATGTAATACGAATAAAGACCATGTAGTGAAAAATGAATCGTTGTTTTGTTTAGAGGGCTCAAAAGATAGCCTTGAAACACGAGGTAGACTGGCACTCTTGTTAGCTTATTTTCAGCTATCTTTTGTTAGATTATATTAAGCTACCCCTTTTTAAATAGCACACAAAAACCAGACAAAACGAGGGGCGGTGAAGCATTGTAAAAGTAAATCGGTATGTTTCAAGGAACTGCTTCATTATGTAAATTTGTTATTGGAGTGAATTCTCACAACAAAAGTGCCTTCCTGTAGACGGAATACATAAATGGGAGTATTTGCTGTAAGCTCGAAAAAAATCAGGTTGTGATCTTGATACACTTCTGACGTCACACTTCCCTCAACCAGTCGTTACAAGTTTTGTTTTCTTCAAATGTTATGGTATATCGCCCAATTAAAGAATCGAGTTAAAAGGGGAATCTATGAAGTGCGCGTGACAGAGAGTGAAGATTAATTTTCTTCGTAGCACTCCTTTGATAAATCTTTAAGTAAGAAAGATTAACTTTCATCTACACCTTAAATTTTCCGTACCTAATCAGAAGCGTTAACTCTTTCAATATTCCTAGAATATCATTTTTACCAAACGCACAAAGTATTGAATGGCCAAAAGCCCCATTAATGACAGCTATTTTTGGATGGGTAAGGGAGGGAGGGGGGGGGGGGGGAATATATACCCCCACTTCATTGCCAATGAACACAGGTATACATTGAAATTAAGATACTTACAAGAATCTGGTGACATTTACACTCCTTAAATCGCTGGTTGTACTATAAACCTGCTGCATCTGTAACGCAAAATTTAAAATAAATTGACATAAATAAAATCATACTTACAAAGATTTGTACATAAAAATGGTATATTTGTCCCTTCAAAGTTGCTCACTTTGTTGCAAATGTATAGTAGAACGTTTTATATTTGCAGGCCTTCAAACTGTAAAAATTTCCCCAATTTGAAAGATTGCATTACACTGAAATTGCTCCCTTTTAAAGGTACACGTATTAAATTTTTATAACATTTGTCTTCGCTGTACAATCTAGGGATAGTATACTAAAGATGAAAGTGATTTGAATCGAAGCATTGAAAAATTTTGGACAATCAAACCTTTGTGTTCGATTGAAGATTAGGTAGGTGATGTGGTTCTATTTATTTTAAAATAATTGCTTTACCTGATTGATACATGCTTTTATGAAGGTGCACTTACATGGATTCGTTATCAATGGCTTCACAACCTTGCTATGGAATTAAATACAAATGCGCTTAAAAATGACGAACGTAGAAGAATGGCTTGATTGTCTTGTTATCTACATTTAATGAACAACACAATCAATTCACGTACCAGTGGAATAACTTCTGCTTCAAGGTTCCTGTATTGCGGGGACGTAGGTTGGGTCAGAGCGTTAGTAAATTCCATTCCGGTGATTCTGAAGCGAAGAAATACTTCGTTGCTGTTTTCTGTTAGAAAGAAGAAGACGAAAACAAAAAGGATTGAAATTACTAGACTCTCTATCAAGTACGACATCATTTGAACATCAAATTAATGGTCCAGGTCCCAATAATTTTATGTTTTTAGACAACTAGGCATCCCCGGACAACTATCCCAAATGGAAACTGTCATGCACAACAAGTCCTAAAACAACTATCGTGACTTCCCCAACGAACCTTTACTTCGCAGCACAACTATCCCGGAAGCTATTAGCCCACCCCAAATGGATGCTGGATAGGTGTTCAAATCTAATGGTCATGTGGTAAAGTTGTCCGGGTGAAATTGTCCTTATGGCCTTGGTTCCATAATGACATTTCAATTATTATTATTTTTTTTTTTATTAAGAAGAAACAAGAAAACACATTTCAAACATAATTGAAAAATACTGTTTATATTATAAAACATGAATACATTTTTAATAAAAGATGTTCGTTACAAATTATCATATCCTGTATATTCTCTACAACCTTCGAAACTTAACGACAAATGAAATCCTCGTACAGTTCACAGAGACATCATGGAAAGGAGAACGTGAATACCCCAAATGTATTATTAATATAACAGAATAACATCATGACCTTATTTTCTTACCAACTATCGGTGATTGGGCAGTGGTCTCCAAAGGTGCAGCAGGGGTGACTGATGTCCGCAGGCCGGTGGTGCTTCCTGTAGAAGTCTGTGGAACCGTGGAGGGCATGTCACTTGACGTTGAAACCGATTCCGTGTTTACTTCTGTAGCCTTTACCGTGGACTGTACATTGGTCGTGGCTGCAGACTGAGTAGTCACTGGGTCTGTAGATATGACTGTGGTCATTATTGCAGGTTCAGTCGACGGCGTAGATGTGGTGGAGATCGTTGTCGTGCTTGTTGGTTCGGACGTCGAAGGAGCCAAGCTCGACATCGAGGTCATGCTTTCTGTTATAATTTTAGTCAACTTAGATTCAGTGGGGGTTGGACTTGTATAGTTACTCTCAGCTGTTGTTACCATTGTTGTTACGTTTAAAGTGGTACTTGGTTCTGTCACCATTACTGTTACGTTTGAAATAGTTGTCATGTCATCGGTAGTTATAGATGAATCGTTCGTCACAGCTGACGGTGTGGTCAATGACACGTTGGTAATTGGCATTGTTGTTTCAAACGTTGTTGCCATTGTTGTTACGTTTGAAGTGGTACTTGGTTCTGTCACCATTGCTGTCACGTTTGAAATAGTTGTCATGTCACCGGTAGTTACAGATGAACCGTTTGTCACAGCCGGCAGTGTGGTTAATGACACGTTGGTAATTGGCATTGTTGTTTCCATTGTTGATACGTTTGAAGTTGTACTTTGCTCTGTCACCATTGCTGTTACGTTTGAAATAGTTGTCATGTCACCGGTAGTTACAGATGAACCGTTTGTCACAGCCGACGGTGTGGTCAATGACATGTTGGTAATAGGCATCGTTGTTTCAACTGTTGTTACCATTGTTGTTAAGTTAAAAGTGGTACTAGGCTCTGTCACCATTGCTGTTACGTTTGAAATAGTTGTCATGTCATCGGTAGTTACAGATGAACCGTTTGTCACAGCAGCCGACGGTGTTGTCAATGACACGTTGGTAATAGGCATTGTTGTTTCAGTTGTTGTTACGTTTGAAGTGGTACTTGGTTCTGTCACCATTACTGTTACATTTGAAATAGTTGTCATGTCATCGGTAGTTATAGATGAATCGTTTGTCACAGGTGACACTGTGGTCAATGACACGTTGGTAATTGGCATCGTTCTTTCAACTGTTGTTACCATTGTAGTTACGTTTAAAGTGGTACTTGGTTCCGTCACCATTACTGTTACATTTGAAATAGTTGTCATTTTATCGGTAGTTATAGATGAACCGTTTGTCACAGCCGGCAGTGTAGTCAATGACATGTTGGTAATAGGCATCGTTCTTTCAACTGTTGTTACCATTGTTGTTACGTTTAAAGTGGTACTAGGCTCTGTCACCATTGCTGTTACGTTTGAAATAGTTGTCAGGTCATCGGTAGTTACAGATGAACCGTTTGTCACAGCCGACGGTGTGCTCAATGACACGTTGGTAATAGGCATTGGTGTTTCAGTTGTTGTTACGTTTGACGTGGTACTTGGTTCAGTCACCATTACTGTTACGTTTGAAATAGTTGTCATGTCATCGGTAGTTACAGATGAACCGTTTGTCACAGTCGACGGTGTGCTCAATGACACGTTGGTAATAGGCATTGTTGTTTCAGTTGTTGTTACGTTTGACGTGGTACTTGGTTCAGTCACCATTACTGTTACGTTTGAAATAGTTGTCATTTCATCGGTAGTTACAAATGAACCGTCTGTAACAGCTGACAGTGTGGTCAATGGCACGCTGGTAATAGGCATTGTTGTTTCAACTGTTGTTACCATTGTTGTTACGTTTAAAGTGGTACTGGGTCCTGTCACCGTTGCTGTTACGTTTGAAAAAGTTGTCATGTCACCGGTAGTTACAGATGAATCATTCGTCACAGCTGACAGTGTGGTCAATGACACGTTGGTAACTGACGTTGTTGTTTCAGTTGTTGGTACCATTGTTGTTACGTTTGGCATAGTTGTCAATGACTGGTTTCCACTGGTAGTTACAAATGAATCGTTTGTGACAGTCGGAACTGTCGTTTTAGCCATAGTTGACGACACTGATGTTGTATTCATGGGTGACGGTGAGGTTGTCATATTTCCAACGGACGTTTCATTGGGTGATAGCATGCCCATTGTTGTGAACGTCCCATTCGTGTCTGCTTCATCCATTGTTGTTGAAATATCAGCCGTTGTAGCATTACTAGATTCTGTAGTCATTTGAGTTGTTTGAACGGTAGTAGGAGCCATGATAACTGTCGTTACGGCAGGCTCTTGAGTTGTGGTCATGTTATCAGCTGGTACTGTTACATTAACTGTGGAAAAACTGGATGACGTAGTAACATTTTCAGGATTTAATGACGTAGTAACGTTCTCAGGATTTAATGTCGTACTAACATTCACAAGATTTAATGTCGTAGGAGAATCTGGCTCTCCAGTTGTAAAATTCAAACCAGGTGAGTTACTGGTTACGTTGGTTGTATCAGAAGTAGTATTAAGGGTCGATTGCGTTGTGCTAACTACGTCATCTGTGGTGACATCATATGTGGTATTAACGATATCACTAGTTGATGCGAGTGTAGTTGTTACACTTTCAGTAACGTTACTGGACAATGTCGTGCCATATGTAGTAGCATTTGTCGAATTTGTCACATATCTTGTCACAGAATATGTAGTTGTATTTAAATATTCAGTCGTATAATCTTTGGTGGTAATATTTGACGAGGAGTCAGTAGTGCTGTCATTAGTAATTGGGGCTACACTTGTAGTAGGAGTCATATCTGTTGTCATGTTAGACCCATCTGTTGTCATGTTAGACCCATCTGTACTTGGCGCCATCGTCGTACTATTTTGGAACAAAGTCGTAGAGTTCATAGTCATATTTTCAGTGGCTATTTGCGTTGTTACCACGACAACTGGTGTGGTCTGCCTCTCCGTGGTAGGAATGGGATCCGTAGTTGTGTTGTCAGGGTCGTTCTTATCAGAAGGTGTCGGAGAGACTGCAGGAAACAGGACATCAGATGTTATGTTCGTCCAGTAGAGGTTGTAGGTCTTCACTATTGTGGCACTGTAGAGATTAAGCAGGGGGGAATCATTGAAGATTAATTAACCTTTGTGACGATTGTGCTTTACCAATGATAGATTTATGTTCAATTCATGAAATTATAAACTTGGATTTCATAGGATCCGCAAGTATAAGTCGCAACACAGTACTCAGCTCTAATGTCTCTAAGCCCGCTACCTTTTAGTTACAAATGTATTAACATTGACGCCATAACAAGGACCTCCTCGTATAACAAAAACAGTTAAAATGAATCGAAATTGTGTTTATTTTTTCACATGAAGAGTAATGCCAGAACGTAATAACTTTATGAAGTAGTCACTTTAAAGGATTCTTATAGTAGACTAAAATGACCTGAGGTCATAAATTTGAAATGAGAAAGAAAAGGATTGCAACAGAGAATGTTTATTTAAAATAAAAAAAATTACACTAAAAATAAAAGATGGATTAAATGACCCATAACTGCGCCCATATTCAATATATTCTATTTAATGAGATATTTTTTTAGTTACAACTAAATCTGGACTTAACACCGATATTTTTAAATATTTTGATAAGGATATATGCATATTTGTTTTAGTGTCAGTTATGCAACTTTCTGATAGACCATGTTTACTAAAGAGCTACGTCATTCATAATTGTCAAAGACAGGGCGAGGGTTGTTTATCAACTAAATTGATATACAGTGTTCCATTTTGAGCGACAGCCATGTGTTTGTTTTCAATGAGTGTCTCGCCCTATCAGTATAGTCGAATCCAAACCTTTGACGTACAGCGCACTCTGAAAATAGCAATGTTCACACTCTCTACGCCTAAAATAGAGTCACGGCCTTTTTTTGCAATTTTTTTGCAATTTTCATATGATAATGCATGCTATATAAGAAAATCGATTAAAAACAGGGACATATTGTTTTAAATAGACCGGATAAATGGCCTAGTTAATTTTCAGAAGCAACGCACATGTATATTTCAATGATATGTTGATTTGAGAGAAAATGTGAATAAAAACAGATGTCTGTCTGAAGTCGGGTCTAGTGACGTACAGAATTTCCACGAAATGGCAGACAAACAGTCGACACTTTAACCCAGTTTTTCGTTTTGTTAACATGGGAACACAATTTTACTTTTCGAAATATCATTATGAAGTGACGGTTGAAGGAAAGTGAATTAGAACTTGGTTCTGTGAAAGTAAATGCATATCTTGACCAGTGGCGTACGCAGGATTTTTTCAAGGGGAGGGTTTTCAAATCGGGCCCAAAATTTCGCAACGACTCAGCCAGCCGCTGAATAAGCGGGGGGGGGGGGGGGGGGGGGGGGGGGGGGGGGGGGGGGGGGGGGGGGGGGTAAGAGGACACTTTTTTTTGGGGGGGGGGGGGTCTCGAAATTTGAAAATTTGACATTTTGTCCAGTGGGGGGGGGGTAAGGTCACCTTTTTAAGGTCACCTATTGGCAATTTTTTTTTTTTTTTTTTTTTAAATTTATTTTTTTTTAAAAATTTAAAAAAAAATTAAAAAGGGGAGGGTTTTCCAAAATAACATACAAAAACATACACATAAAAAAAACTCGAGGGGGGGGGGGGGGGTTAACCCCAAAACCACCCCTGCGTACGCGCCTGATCTTGACACTTACATGAATACCAAGTTCGTCATGTCATCTTTTTTCTTCGACGGCCTCCAAGAGAACGATACACCGAACTTTTGATCATTATTGGTATGCGTGACGGCCGAGTTCTTTACACCGTTACAGTCTAGCCCTGTTGACCCTCTGGTATCCTGGTAAAGCTTCCTACAGGTGTATTGCCTCCGACATGACGGGCTTGGATCATGAATCCTTTAAAGAATCCCCAATTGGTTGGTTTCCCATCAATGACACTGTGGGATAATAATAATAATAGGCATTTATATAGCGCCGTCTATCTTCCGAGGCGCACACGAAAAATATAAAGAATGAGCGAGTTTGGATGAGTAAAAAAAAAAATTAATAATTTCAGCTTTGATTTAAAGGTCTCTAAGGAAGTTATGATTCTCAAATTAAATGGTAAATTATTCCAAAGAGAAGCTGCTGCAGCTTAATAAGCCCTTTCGCCACATGCTACTCGTTTCTTGGGGATCTTAAGAAGATGCTGGTGTGATGATCTTAGATGATGGTTGACATAAAACGTGTGACCGAAGAAATGATTGAATATAATCACGATTTTATTCACATTTCATGATAATGCAAAAGGTTATGCACCGGCTAAAATTGCTCTGGGAATTCATTTCGCCAAAGACATGGGGTTAGAGTAAGGGTTAGGATTCCAATTTAATTGTAGGTTAGAATTGGGGTTGGGGTTATGGTTAGATTTCGTGTTTGGTCCAGACGTAAAGTTAGGAATTCGTTTAGTGTAGAATACACTGGGTGAAGCAATGTTTGCCAGAGCACAAACTGCAAATTAATATAACATTTCAAAGTATTCAAATTATTTTGAGTACGTGACCCCTTCTATATGTTTGTTTACATTGGGGGTTGTTCAAAACTGGGTTGCATTGTCTTCTTAAAAGAAGTCATTTTTCAAAAGAATTCGATGAAAGATTTCAACAATGAAACACAATACATTTATTTGCTTATCCACCTATCGATAATACTGCCAACTGTCTGATGAAGCAAAGCATGAGGAAAAATATATCAGTGTACTCATCTTTTGACAAAGCTTTTTTTTTCTTCAAAGAATAAATTCGAATATTTCAGCAACTGTCTCAATAGAGTACATATGATATAGTATTCCATGCAAACACGTAAACAGCACGTTTTATTGCTCCACAGATATATTACATGTTAGTTCTGAAAACACCCAACCATTCCTTTATATGCTCCTATGATACTGTTAATGAAGACGAGTTCTATTGCATAATCACCGTTTTATCCACATGTTATCATAAAGTATAATGCAAAAGGTTTAAGCTCCCGCAAAAATTGCTCTGGGATTTACTTCGAAAAGGTATAAGGAAGTAAGTAAGGAATTTCTTCCTGCAAGGTAGTTATTTTCTACTCCTGTGTGAAGAGAGGCAGTTGTAGAGCAATGTCCTACGAAAAATATTAGGTGCTATATTATACGGCTGGTTTTTAGAAACCGTATTCTATGAAATAAATGAAATTTGAGCAGTGAAGTTCCGGTGAAGTTGATTTATTTTGAGGTACAATGTAACGAGCACCCTTGTAGCCGTCCTTGTTTTGAAATAATACATAATAATTTGAAATACAATCGAATATTGCTATTTTTGCTTAAATAATTCACTTGAATCCTGAGCTTCGATTCTAGAGAAGGAAAAGGTTGTCTCTTTTCAGTAATTAGATCAATGTGGAGATAGATACAACTTAACAAAAATGAAATGTACACATTGTATGTTAGACTACACGCATCTTTGATACCATTAAGTTGTAAATTTGAGACAGGGAATATCTTTACTTCTTGTGTACATTCATCAAACAAGTACTAGGTCCAAATATTGTAGAATGAATTTGTTTCCTTGTAATGGGCGACCATAAACGAGGTGATTCGGGTGACTCGTTCAGCCATTACACATTTCCCCTTGAAGTTAATGAAGCCTGTTATAGCCTAGTGGCAACAATACCAGAGAGAAACCAGGTAAAACATGGAAGTACATATACATTATATCTCGAAGGGGTTTTCCCTAGCTTAATATAAAATGCCAACTGTGTGTATATTTCATTTTTCATTTTCATAACGAAGAGAATGTGAAGGCCTAATCTCTACTCGAATTAGGAATACACGTGTTAGGTTTATATCGCATATCCAGACAGCTGTTCCCGGACTACCATCCATCCAACTGCCTTTGGGCCAACTTATACACTAGAATAACTATCGTTAAACCATATGCATAGAGCATTTGCTTTTTTGAGCAATAACAATTAGCTCTAAGAGAAGAAGAAAAAAACTTTCCCGAAATAATGATACAATATCATGGACTTAAAACATTCTAGTGGCCATGTGCATACGTCTTGCCCAGGAGTATATTTTGGGTAGTTTTTTTCCTAGGGGTAAATTTCCCTGTACCAGTTGTCCAGGTATAACTGTGCAAAGGCCATGGTGAGAGTCTGTTAGTTGTGAAGACTTTACAGGGAACCATTCTAATGATCATGTAGTAAATTTATACAAAGCTATCTTTTTCAACAGAATTATTAAAAATGAAATAACACGGAAGTGCATTATTTTATCTGAATGGACCAATTACTGATACTTGATAAATAACACTAAGAAAAACTAACTGCAAACTTTTTCTATTTTCATTTACAGATATATAAAACTATTAGTTAATAAATAACTAAATAGTAATGTTTATATTCTCAATGTGTGTCTCAATTACGTTCCCAATGTGTATCTACCATAAAGAATACGTGGATTCGGTTCTTACAATGGTACTGCAATATAATAAATCTCCTATATATTTTCATTTGAAAGGCGTCGTTTAATATTTGACAGAATGCCAGTCTATGCTATTTCGGACGTTGCTCCCGATCAATTTTAGAGTGGAGAAACTGACATACATGACTGTGTGTCAAAAGAAGTTTGTGGAGTTTGAATTCATCAAAAACAGAGGACGACAAAGTTTGTTTTAGAACTCTCTGTTTACTTTTGTGAACTGCTCTGACGGTGAATGTCAACTTTGCACAAGGTGGCACACCTTGAGTCAATATGAATTTATTATTTGATATTTCAAAATGATTTGGTGAGCAAGAAGGTTGTAATTGCTTATTTTCTGGTCTCACGCCACGTAGGCAAAAACAAAAGGTTTGTTTGCAAATGCAGTCGAATACACGCTGTAAATAAAATGGCGTTATTTCCCCCAAAAATGTGTGTTTGTTTTTTCGGTTAGATTTTATGCGCGAAATGCCCACCAAAATGTTACATCTTAATTTACCTACAGATAAGACAAGTATAATCTTTGGAGGTAGATTGAAAGAACACCATCTCCTCCGAGTCGACGCTCTTGATTAATACCAAGAAATTGTATCAATTGCACACTGGACAATCAAATACAAAAGAGGAATACAATGGAAAGAAATGCGGAAGTACTTCCACATTTCTAAACAAAAGAAAATGATTTACGCTACACAAAGAATTAAGTATATCTAACAACGCTATTTGGAACCGTGAACAGGAACATTATCACATCTACCATGTAATGTTGTTCTCAGCAATCAAATGCTTACAGTATATATTTGTCTTTGAGTAAATTTAACCTTAGAAACTGAACATATATATATATATATATATATTTACTATACTATACATATAAATATGTAAATATTCAAAATCGACCATTGTTTCCAGTTCTACAGAAAGCACATCCTATTCAACTTGTATTTCTCTCTACTTCACAAAATACCACCTGTTAATAGCGGTTATTGTCCCTTCGTTTTAAAGTACTGTACAATAAAATCACAGCTGCTCAGTACACCTCCAATACAATATTCCAATTATCACATCAAGACCATGTGTAATAAATAGTAGTAGTAGTAGCCTAGTAGTAGTGATAGTAGTAGTAGTAGTAGCCTAGTAGTAGTAATAGTAGTAGCCTAGTAGTAGTAGTAGTAGTAGTAGTAGTAGTAGTATTATAAGTAGTAGTAGTAGTAGTAGTAGTAGTAGTAGTAGAAGTAGTAGTAGTAGAAGTAATAGTACAATGTAGTAATAGAAGTAGTAGTAGTAGTAGTAGTAGTAATAGTAGTAGTAGTAATAGTAAGAATAATACTCATAATAATGAAGAAGAAGAAGAAAAATGATTATAACAATTATAGATTGATGTCAATAATAAAAATAATAATAAGAAGAAGTATGATATTATTGATAATGATGACAATAAAATGTATAATAATAATAATAATAATATTAATAGTATTAGAAAAAGAAGCGATAATAATGTTAATGATACTTCTACATGTACTTCTACTTCTATGACGATACGTATTGCCTTGTTGGTGCGTTAAAAATAGTACATGTAGTCGAAGTAGTAATAGTAGTAGTAATAGTAGAAGAGGTAGAAATAGCAGTAGTAATAGCAGTAGTAATAGTATGCAGATATACTGTACAATTAATACTACAAAATACTTTTCTACTTTTAAATCTATTAACCAATTGTTTAAAACAATTATCTTTGTATTGGATCATACATTAAAACTATGAATAAATTGCTATACTGTTTGTGCATAATTGCGACATAAATGTGAAGCCATATTATCTGTAATATTACCATGAACGGTAGTTTTGCCGTCATCGTCATCGTCGTCTTCGTCGTCGTCTATCATCACACTGGTTGTCATGGTAATACCAAGTAAATTGATGTTAACTTGAGGAGGCAGAGCGTGTCCTGGTATCAAATCCCCACACGCCTCTAGAGGAGCACCTGCCGGGTACCCAGTAGTAGGTATCACAAGTAGTATCAGCAGCAGCAGACCCACTATCGTGCCATCCCATCGCACTGGGGGTCCTGATATGAGCGTCCGTATCACCATCGCCGGCGAAAGACGAGACTTCTCCCGTCTTCATCGACTACGATTTCCTTAAAAAAAACACTTCCGTAAAGTTAGTTCCGAGGATGACAGTGTCTGTCCAATGCGAATGCATCCCCATAGCCTTTGAGTATCTGCCTTTGAGACGCCTTACTCCACTCTCTAGTCATCGTTGTATGGGCTCTACAATCAAACCGCTTGCGATCCCACTCACACAATACGCTGTTATGTCATGCTGCATTGTTACACTACATTCCAAAGAAAGTCCTCGCTGGGTATTGTGTTTTCTAACTCTAACGAAAAAAGGGTGTCACGGCGAAACGGTGTTCACTTCCTCCGCTACTGTTTAATCAGATATCTACCTCTCTTATAATTTGCAATAGACAAACCCCTTTTCTGTTATAGAAGTACGATTAGACAAAAAGGTATGTCTTTCAATTGGTAAAGTTTTTAGAACGTAGATGTGTGGCCTTCGGTGAAAGGTTAAAATGTGAACTACCCAAGTCCACGAATCCATAGAGCCGCCGTTTCGAGCTGATTGTCCCTTCGCTGGGCAGGGGCGTATGCTCGACTCGCTATTCACTCAGCCTGTGTCACCAACCGACTTAAAAGGGTGGGGTACCTTTAACTATCAATAGAAGCTCGCGAGCGCTATTCAAAACCGCCAACCAACCGTGCGTTGCATGACTCAGATTTACCAGTGTGGCGATGGTAAAAGGTAAACATCTTACTTTTGTCACACCGCCTATCACTGCTGATTCAAACATGTCAAATGGCCCATTATTCTGATTTAGTTTATTCATTTATGCCACCATGGCGGTACATACTCGAGATTGGAGGATATACGTAGGCAAAGTGGGCGAGCACAATCACTTATTCATATGCGGTGGTAGGAGCGAAAACTAAAGCTTGTTTGTTACTGCTCTGTTTGTCCTGGGTTATTTGCTAACAGGTTGATATTCGTTACTTCGTACAACTGAGTTCAAACAGATTATTACAACAGGGCTTCTTTGCAAACTTGTTGAACATGTTTCAGGAGTCGACAGTACACAATATTAAAGATCGGTGTATTGGGGTCACTATGTCTGGTCTGTTCGGTGCTGTAAGCCATACGTTCACGTCTGAAATGTTTTGCTTTTCTACATTTCCTTAAAGCCAACAATACCAATATACTAATATTACCCCAAATATAACAGTTTAAATCTCTTATATTCACGAGGGGTTATTGTTTTCGACACTTTAACTAAACATAGTTAACCGTATAGGCCTATATATTTTTTTAACACAAAATGTTATTGGCAAACTACGCAGTGACCATCCTCAATATCTGTTTCTGTTGTAATTGATCTTTTAACTTCCATGTGAGATATATCGGTGAAAGATAATATCAATATAACGTTATGATCACATAAATGGAGAAGTATGAAATACCATTAATAGAAACAGCATAACATAATCATGATAATAGATATTTACTGTTGCCTTACGTAACTAATCTGTCTCAATAACGATGATTATTGATGATAATAATAATAATGATATAAACAAAAATGATAGTAATAATAATGATAATATATCGTAACTGTGATAATATTAATACTGATAGTAATAATAATAATAATGAAAGTAATAATGAGTCTTGTTTATACAGGGTAGCCTCGTCAGTATTAACACTGTTCTCCCTGAGGGCCCTGCAATGATAACAATGACATCATACGGATGAAGGCACAATACTCCAAGGTCAAATAGAACACAAGGGATAAAATTACAATAATTTGTTTGGCAAGTGGAACCATTGATTTTTGTTCTCTTTCTCGATTAGCAATCCCTGCGTAGTTAAAAATCAGTCAAATAAGTATTGCAAATATTTACACAGTTCATTCAGAAAATTGAAAGAACTGGTCGCCATAGAAACTGTTTAATACAGATCTACGACTGTTACCAGTATCATTTTGCATTGTAATAATGAGACAAAATGTACGATTTCATTCAATGATCTTTAAAAACAGGCTAAATAGTTGCTCTTTCAATGGTAAATTTCATTATAGGTTAAAATTGTGTATTCATTGCTTTTTATTATTCCTATTCTCATTCGTTCAAAGCCTCGATGAATAAATATGTAATATCCAAATATTCATAAACATTTTAAAGGGAAAGTCCACCCCCAAAATAAGTTTGTTTCGATAGAGGCAGAATAATAAGAAAATCAGGTGAGTGAAAGTTTGAGCAAATTCTGAATGAAAATAAGAAAGTTATGAATTATTGAAGTTGTGATCAATCAAATACAAATTGGCAACTCTGTGACTTATCATACGAGCTCTCCTTCATTTGCTTTGTGCATAATATTCCATAAAATCATGTTTTCTTCGTTATTGATGACGGAATATATATTTGTTCCTTGCAGAGGGAGTATAGAAACATATTTGCAATTATTATATTTAGGGTGCATGTATGGTTGAAATTTTTCTTGAGGGAAAATGAAAATTTTAGATTTTTTTAGTACTGAGCAAATGGAAGTTGAGCTCGCATGATACGTCATAGAGTTGCCAATTTGTGTTTGATTGATCACAACTTCAAAAATCCTAACTTCCTTATTTTTAATCGGAATTTGCTCAAACTTTCACAGACTTGTTTCTCTCATTTTTCTACTCCTATTAAAACTAACTTAATTTCAGGGTGGACTTTCCCTTTAATTGTTGGTTTATAGAAATTGATTTAAGATGACCAGTTCATGAACAAAAACGATTCGAACAATTACTTCACCTACACACGTGCACACACTTGCAATTTCTTTCTCTTTCTTTTCTTTTTCCACATCTTTTATTTAGATACTTTCGTGACACTCTATTCTCATATACATACTCCTATAACAGCGCCATGTACCCCCTCCCGGCTGCTATCGACTCAACCATTCATGCTTATGATCGTTGACCTCTGCATGTATCTTGATTCTTCCATTTACCTCCATACTTCCAAGTTTTCAATCATATATATATGCATTCAGTTGTCACTTTTAATGTAAATCAATTATATCATATATTATTATTGTTATTTGAATATTTTTTATTTGATTTTTCAATAAATGCAGTAACATCTGCTAAACAAATAATCGTGGTCATTAATTATGACACTAGGCTGGAAAACCTAGATGGAAATGTATATGCAGATATTGGAGAACGAGATCCTCCATACGGTAGGTTGTAAACGATGAAAAAAGAAAAATGATTTTTAATTTTTTTTCCCGCCTGTTTATGTGATATGTTTTTTTTAAAACACTATCCTAAATTTCTAAATTCAGCAACATTTGTCATTTTCTGTTTTGATGACATAAAATCGCCCAGTGTATAACTATGCAAACTATGAAGTATGATTTAACGAAAGCAATGAACAAAGAATTTGGGAAATGATACCATGATTGTGCTGTGCCTTGAATTCAATAACTCACAAGGTCGGTTAAGGCGTAGCCAACACACTGAGACCGAAACAAATCGATACAATAGACCGGAGCTTTTTATCATGTAGAATCAATAAAAATACCTCCATTGTGATGTGGTAAAAGTAGAACACAATGCGAATGAGCCACGCCCAATCGGCTGTGCTTCGTACACGTGCTGGTCGAGGTTATCAAATCAAACCTACCCACACGCATACCCTGAAAAGTAAATATTGAGGGTGTATATGGAATGCAATGACGTGTATTTAGAACGCATAATATCAAGTTCCATTTTTACGGTGCTGACAATAAAGCGCAAGCATAATATAAAAATTGTATACAATTTGATAAAATTCAATGAGATTGACATGTAGCGATAATGCACAAACAATTTATGGTATTGAAGTCTTCTGAATTTTGGAGGAGCCTCATCTTAGAGTGTGGAATAAAATAGTAAACACCAAACCCTCTATATATCAGTGGCGGATCCAGGGGGGGGGGGGGCTGGGCCCACTTCCCTGAAAAACAGGTAAAATCCCGGTGCTCAAGGGAAGGTGGGGGGGGGGGGGTGGTGCGATTTTCATACCCCCCCCCCTCACCACTGAGCGAAATATCGGCCGGCGCGATTTTCAAATTTTCGGAGGTAGTGCTCACTACCACCCCCCCCCCCCCCACCCAGCTTATTCACCGGCTGGCTGTTTCGCCGCTTAATATTTTCTTACGAATTTGGCCCCCTCTTTGGCCCCCTCCACTGCCGCCGGCTAGATCTGCTCCTGCTTTATATCAATAACCAAAAAGCATAACACTATATTTGATAGGCATATACAGCACACCATTATATTATAGAATGTGGAATAAACAGTAAACACCGCACCCTCTTTATTTCAATAACACAAAAGCATAATACTATATTTGATATGCATATACCGCAGGCCATTATATTATAGAGTGTGTAATAAAATATTAGACTTTACACCGAACCCTCTTTATATCAATAACAAAAAAAGCATAATAATATATTTAATATGCATATACCGCATACCATTATATTATAGAGTGTGGAATAAAATAGTAAACAGCAAACCCTCTTTATATCAATAACAACAAAAAAAGCATAATACTACGTTTGATTTGCATATAAAAGTATTAATCCTTATCCCCAACCTGATACCTTTCAAAACGTTTTATCATTTATGTCACAGATAACAGTACATAATATTATGTGGTAAATACAATAACTCGATTGATTGATTGATTGATTGATGAGTTCTTTACCGACTGATAAGAAAGCAAATGGTATATAGGTAAGAAACCGAGGAAAGTTTGCTGCTTTAAGTTTAAGTCCTACCAGAGGAAGTTGGTAGAGGATTAATACTAGCGCTTCGACTTGGTTTTGAACCCGGGACCCCCAGATTCTATCACGGAATCATCAAGCATCCTCACTGGAGTCTTTGCACCACCAAGCCACCCCCTCTGGGTCAAGGATCAACGCCACCACTCATATCGTCAAGATTGACATGTATCGTTTTGTATGAACAATTTTGCTACAACTATGACACGCGTCATATTCAATCATCCCATTCTATACTATAGCACCTCGATGTTGGACAACCCCTGACCTTCATTTGTATCATTCATCGACATTAAGAATGACGCTTTTACATTTCTTCGTTTACTTTTCTCGAGTATTTGTTTTGGGCGCGGCGTGTGATTTTGACAATGCCTACTGCTGGTTTTTAAGTATGTATGAAAACGATGTCACCTACATTAGAATTGCATTATGTTGAGTCGACGTGTGTGTCAAATATATTTGTATTTTTCTTAAAGGTAATACAAAGTTTTGGGAAATTTTGAGAATTGGGTGGATAGTGATTCTTGACAATTTTGATATATTTGGGTGCCCCTGTGGATGTAATATAAGGACTAGAAAATTTAGTCTCTGAAACACTTCTGCTTTCGAGAAAAAAAATTGAAAATATAACAAATTCAAATAGCGCCTACGGCCGTACACTGGTAGCTGCGACCAAGCAAATCTCAGAATATGTAGTTGTGATATACAATTTCCAAAGGGTATGGATAATCCGTCGATATTAGTCAATAAACATTATTTCATAGCTTAAATAATATCTTGACCT